GTGTTGGGAGGGTAGAGATGGTGGCGTGGAATGGGAGTGAACGGACGGGCTGGATGTGTTGTAGCCTTCTAATTTCTATTCTATTTTCTGCTGCCTTTCCCATTCCCTTCATCCCTTCATGTCCTTTTTGTGATTTTCCTTACTCCGACACGCTGTCACCCCTGGTCAACGCTGGTCAACGCTGGTCAACGCGCTCTGCTTGTTCCCACCCTGCGTCCACCAGCACGGCCACAGCAGAGTGGAGCCGTCAACCAACCCCGCCCTGGTTGAGGCCAGGGGCCAATCAGACGCTGCCACGTCAGCGGACGGCCACACCGCAGCAGCAGCAGCGGCGGGAAGAGGGGCGGAAGGGGAAGGCAATCGGGGAATAGGGCAGGCGGAAGCAGGAGAAGGAAGGACAGGGGAAAGTGGAGGAGGGGGCAATGGGGGGAAAGGGGCAAATGGGGGAGGTGGGGAGGTGCCTCGGCCGAAGCCACTGAGTGAGGAGGAGGAGAGGGTGATGTGTCGGTACTACGAGGGCAAGATCCAAGAAGTGTGCGCCGCCTTCCGCTTCCCCTACAAGATCTACGTGCGTTGCTCTGCTGAATAATACGATTTACGTGCGTTGCAAGCTTTCTGCTTTCTCACATTTGTGTGCGTGCCTGGGCCATTGCGGATTAGGTGAAGGGCAGGTTGGAGCGTTTTCATGGTGTATGTCATCAGTGCGTATGCGGGTTTTCTTTTAAGAGAGACAATGCTCGTTGCAAGTGATGAGCCTTCATCATCTCGCACCACACTCCCCATCTCATCTTATGCACTGCCTGTCTTGCCACCCATCCTTAACCACCACCCATCTGTACCCCTTACAGTCCACCTCGCTACAGTACTTCAAGCGCTTCTTCCTCGTGTGCTCAGTCATGGAGCACGATCCGAAAAGCATCATGTGAGTGCAGACGGAGAGGTGGGGGCTTGGGGACAGCACCACGGATTAAGGGCTGACTTGTGAGTCGACTCAAGAGTCAACTCGTGTGCTCAGTCATGGAGCACGATCCGAAAAGCATCATGTGCGTGCATACATACACAGTGCAGGGGGCTTTGGGTGGGGCAGGGTTTTTGAGGCGCCTCAAAAATCGTCTCAGTTCACGTGGGCTTTGGGTGGGGCAGGGCTTCTCACAAGGCGCACACATCAACCCCACCCTCACCTCACCAACCCGTTCCCACCATCTCTGCTCTCCCCGCACTCGCCAGGCTGACAGTCATCTACATAGCGTGCAAGGTGGATGAGGTGTATGTATTAGCGGAGGAGATAGTAGAGTCAACTCACAAGTCACCCTTCCACCCTCAACTCGCTTCCCTTTCCTCTTCCCACCCTCTCTCGCCAGGCTGACAGTCATCTACATAGCGTGCAAGGTAGACGAGGTGTATGTATCAGCAGAGGAGTTTGGGAGGGGCATAGGGCAGGACCCGCAGGTGGTGCTGGGCTGTGAGGTGCAAGTGCTGCAGACACTCAAGTTCGACCTCATCTGCTACGGGCCCTATCGGGCGATTGATGGCTTCCTGTTGCAGCTGGAGCAGGTGAGGCGGGTGCTGCAGATAAGGCGTTTGGTGTGCATGGGGTGCAGAGGGTGCAGGCATGGGGTGAGTGAAGGGCCATGCAGGGAGGGCAAACAGGGGCTGTGAAGGTCCACACAGAGCCATTGGTGGCTTCGTGCGTGAAGGCATTAAAATGCTTCACCCGCTGTGTGTGCACTGCACTTGCCCTTGTACCATCCCCTCACGCTGCTGCTCTTGCCCATGGGGTTGATTCACCTGATGCTCCTCCCACTGTGCATGCGCTGCGCTCGCCCTTGTAGTAGCATCCCTTCACTCTGCTCTTGTTGTTCTCTGCGCTCGCCCCTAACACTCCTCTCGTCCTCCAATCCCGGCCTCCCCTCGAAGCTGCTAGGGGAGCCATTCGCGTCTCAGCCTGAAGATGTGAAGAAGCAAACCATCCAGGCACGTGGTTGGCTGCCATGGGGCATGGGGCATGGGGCATGGGCCATGGGCCATGGGGCATGGGGCATGGGCCATGGGCCGTGGGGCATGGGGCATGGGGCATGGGTCATGGGGCATGGGGCATGGGTCATGGGGCATGGGTCATGGGGCATGGGTCATGGGGCATGGGGCATGGGGCATGGGTCATGCGATCAAGAAGTGTGCGCTGCTATGCTAACTAATCCTGCTGATGTGGAGTGAATGATGAGTCCTGGTAGACGTTTGTCAGGGGAATGCTTTCTTCCCCTCTCTTCCACCCTCTCCCTGTAGCATTCACTCTTTCATCTTATGAAACTTCTAATTCTCCCTCCGTCTCTCTCCATCTTTCTCCACCTCTCTCCACCCCCCGCTGCCCTCAGGCCCTGACACATGGGGCATACGCAGCCGTGGGATCGATATTTCTCACCGATGCGCCGCTGCTCTTTCCTCCGGGGCAAGTATATATTCCCCCTTCCATGCCACTGCCCTCCTTCTTTTCCAGCATCTCCGTTTCCTTGCTGCACCCTGTCTTCCCACCGTGCCTCTTTCGCCTTTCTGTCGTGCTCGAGCCTCCAAGCTCCCTGCCGCTATACTCCTCTGTGTAGGCCATGCTCGCTCCCCCTCCCCCTTCACCCCACTCCACCGCACTCCACCCCTGGCCAGGCAGCTGGCGCTGGCAGCCATGAAGCTTGCCAACAACGCCTCCTCCGCCATCCCCAACTTCCAAAGGTGCTCCTCCCACCACTTTTGTAGCGCCTCAACAGTGCTCGCCCCACCACACCCCACCTCTGTGTCGCATGGGTCACTCACCCCTCACACCGCGCCAGCATCTCGCATCCAGACTGTTCCCTGGGAACATGGGGATGGGCGTGGGGCATGGGGATGGTATCATGCGCATGGGCTGGTCATGGATGGTATGGCATGATGTCATGACCAGTAGACCACAGCACTAATGCTCCTCCTCTCCCCTCCACTCACCCACCTCTCACTCATCCTCCATCGCCACCTCTCATCATCCCTCCGTCTCACTCTCACCTAACCCCCCCCCCCCCCATGCCTGTCCCCACCCAATGGCCCTGCCTCCAGTTTTCTTGATACAGTGGTGGCTGCGTCTCCCGCTGCCAAGGGAGCTCCGGGGAAGGTGGTATCTGGGGGAGGTGCGGGAGGAGGGGCGGGGCAGGGGCATGTGGGGGCGGAGCTGCTGGCTGCTGTGAAGGCAGTGGAGAGCATGGTGAGCAGTGGAGAGAGGTGGTGAGAGGTGGTGAGAGGTGGTGAGAGGTGGTGAGAGGTGGTGAGAGGTGGAGAGAGCATGGTGAGAGAAATATCGCATGTCAATCAATCGCATTCCAAAGATTTACTTGCCAATCACTTTCGACGCTAGCCACCCCACCAATTACTGGGCAGGTGAAGGCGTCCGGTCCGCTACCGGCAGCAGATGTGGTGAAGCGTATCGACAGGAAGGCATGAGGTCACTCACTTGCCAATTGTTTGCCACTCTCCCCACTCCCCCAATCGTGCATGGACTCGGCAGGTGAAGGCATCCGGTCCGCTACCGGCAGCAGATGTGGTGAAGCGTATCGACAGGAAGCTCAAATACTGCCGCAACCCCGCCCTCATGCTGCACGAGTGAGTCACCCCACACCTGTGCACTAGTGAGTTGGCACCTAGGGATAAGTCACCACCGCACATGTTTGTGTCTAAACAGCAATGAGCCTCTTCTATATCAACTCTTTGCCATTGGCACTTTTTTCACTTCCATGCTGCTCTGCCTCCCTGTCTCCCCTCTACCTCTCTCCCCCTCTCATCTTCCCGTCTCCCCCTCTTCCCCTCCCCACCAGTCGCAAGTAGCGCAAGGAGAGGAGCAAGTCCAAGCGGGCATCGCACAGCGTTGCCCTCACTGCCTCCCCACTTTCCCCCACTCTTCCTCACCTCCTCTCTCCCTCTCTTCGTCCCCCCCTGCCCCTCTGCATATCCCCATCAGTCGCAAGGAGCGCAAGGAGAGGAGCAAGTCCAAGCGGGCATCGCACAGCGTTGCCCTCACTGCCGCTCCGCCTGTTACCTCCTCCCCCCTGTAAGCCCCATCCGCCCTGTAACCTGCATCTCCCCTGTAAGCTCCATCCCCTCTGTGACATCATCCCTGCCTGTAATCTCTATCCTCGCTTTAGCATCAGCCTCTGCCACAGTAGTAGCTACATGTGTTGCACTGCTGAATTCTGTAAGCTGCTGTTCCATCTCTCTGCTGCATGATGCATCCCCTCTGTAAGCTGCAGCTTGTTCATCCTTGTAAGCAAGTCTCTTCGTAGCTTTTGTAAGCTGGTACCTCTTTATCTCACTCATGCTGATTGGATGGCTCGCTCACGTGCATGTTACCGGCATGACTCTCATGCTTGATCCCATTTTGTTCCGCTTGTCCGCATGTCCGCATGCTCACATGATCCCATGCTCGCATGCTTGCATGTCCGCATGCTCACATGATCCCATACTCCCATGCTCGCATGCTCTAATGCGTGTGTGGTCAACAGGGACGATGCAGCAGCACACAATGCGAAGCGAAGGCGAAGCACAAGTACTCTTCCACAGGGCACATAGCGACCCTAGCCGTGTCTCACGGCACATAGCACCACAGAGTCACATCAGTCGCTGTTCCAACGGAGCAGGGTGATTCTGCATACCTAGAAGTTTATTCGCAAGAAGCAGTAATAGCTCGCCCTGCATAGATAGAACACAACAGCTTGCGGTATATAGGTTTCTCTTACCAGATTTTGTGAAACAGTATGAGTCACTATGAATCATTATGACACCTCTAATCACTAGCCTTTGCCCATGTCATGCACATTAGCCTTGACATGGGCCTTCATGGCCATCATGCTATGCTACGCTACCATCAACCCATCATTACTACCTGCCTGACATTTTCTATCATTGCTGCTGCCTATCTAAAGCCACCCAACCAACCAACACAGAGAGACTCCAGTCGGCTGCCACGCACCTGCACACTTTCGCATGTCTCAGCTGCCTGCATAGACTTTGGACCCCGTGCAGTCATCAACACCACCACTCCCTGCACACACGCTCCCTGCACCACCTTTCCGCTCTTCCTCCACACCCCCCGACACTGCACCATTCATCCTCACCCCATCACTGCTTCCCTCCACCATTCCATCCCCACCCGCCTCCGCCCCTCCACACGCCTCCCTGCCTTCCCTTGTTTCATCCAACGAGACTGCTGCTGCCACCTGCCGTTGCAACGAAGGCGGGCCTTCATGCTCCTCAGTCTTCTCCTGTCCCTCCTCTTGGTTCTTTCCCCCACCCGCCTTAGGCCCCCCACTGGCCTCAGCCCCCCCACCCATCTCACCACCTCCACCCGCCTCAGTCAACCCACACTGCCCCCTGTCTCCCTTTGCTTCATCCAACGAGCCTGCCGCTGCCACCTGCTGCAATGAAGTTGACCCCGTGTGCTCCTCAGTCTTCTCCTGTCCTTCCTTCCAGTTCTCCCCACCACCCACATCTGCCGCTTCACCCACCACACTGCCTCTCCTTGCTTCATCCAACAGGCCCTCCCCTGCCACCTGCGGCTGCAACGAAGTTGACCCTGGGTGCTCCTCAGCCCTCTCCTGTCCCTCCTCCCGCTTCTCCCCTTCCCCAGCACAGCCCTCCGGTATCTGGTCAGTAGCATGCCTCCCAATCTCAGCCTCCCCATTTCCAGGCTGCTGATTTCTGAGATCCCCGTTCTCACAAGTAGCAGCAGCGCCATCAGCTCCAGAATTGCACCTTCCACTGGTAGCTTTCATATCTTTCATATCTTCTTCACAGCGAGCAGCACTGCTGGCAAAATCAGGAGCAGCAGCAGCTGCTGCAAGAGCAGCACTAAGACTAGAATCAGCAGCACTATCAGCAGCAGAGAGAGCAGAACCACCATGCCCGTCTGACAGAACCCCATGCAAATGCATGTGCTCATGCATGAGAGCTTCATGCTCCTCTGCCGACATCACATACTGCCCCCCCACTGCATGCCCCCCTGCCACCACATGGCTCCCTTCCAGCAGCACATGCTCTCCCCCAGCCAGCACATGCCCCCCCTCAGCGAGTGCATGGTGCTCTCCCCCCATGCTGCCACCGCGCAGGTACAGGTGTTCGTAGTAGAGCAGCAGGTGGTGCAGCATCTCGTTCTCTCGCTCCACTGCGGCCTTCCCTGCCACCAGCTGCGCCTTCTCCTGCAGCAGCACTCCCAGCTGCTCGTGCAACTGAAGGGTGGCCGTGGGCAAGAGGGGGACGGAAAATCAGGGGCGCATTATGGAAAAGGAACCAGCAGACAGCAAGGAGAAGAGGGGAAGTCTTGTAGCATCTGCTTCTCTCGCTCCACTGCTGCCTTCCCCGCCACCAGCTGCGCCTTCTCCTGCAGCAGCACGCCCAGCTGCTCGTGCACCTGCGGGCGATGGGGGTTCAGGGTGTGAGCGCAACACAAGGGGAAGGACAAGGAGGAACGCCCTGAAAATTCTTCTGCAGAATGCAGCAGCACACGCAGCTGAGGGTGCAGGGGGCATAGCGGGAGAGACGTGAGATCTGGGAGGTGCGGAAAGGACCTGCTCTCACCAGTGACCCCCCTTGTGACCATTTTTTAGGCGCCTAAAAAATCGTCTCATGACTCGCGGATTTTATACAGGGAGAATTTTGAGGCGCCTAAAAAACCTGCTCTCAACAGTGACCCGCCCTTGTGGCCGAAACAGCCAGCAGGAAAACGAAGCAAAACCACCACCTCAAAACATCCAGCCAGAAAAAACACCACCACGCAAGTTCCAGCCCTCAAAAGCACAACACAATTTCCACCTCAGCACTCACCATATCTTCCAGTTCGGAGTGATGGTAATTGTCCATGCCTCCCTACTTTTTCGAGTCGACCAGAGAATCAAACATTGTTAAGCCCATCACTCACCATATCTTCCAGTTCAGAGTGATGGTGGTGGTGATGTGTGTCCACGCCCCCCTCCCCTTCCAACCCCCCTTCCGCCTCACGCTCTCCCACCCCCTCCCCCTTCGCCGCCTCTGCAGCAGCCAGCGCCGCTCTGAGCCGCTCATTCTCCTCCTCCACCGCTCTGCACCGCTCTCGAGCGTCCATGGCGTCTCTCCGAGCTGCCTTGAGGTCCGCCTGCAGCTGCTTGGCCCGCACGGCCATGGCTGTCGCCACCTGGAGGGAGGGGTGGAGAGGGGTGCGGGGGAGAAGGGATGAGATGAGAGACGGTGGAGATGAGGTCTGCCTGCAGCTGCTCGGCCCGCATGGCCATGGCTGTCATCACCTGCAGGCATGAGATTGGTGGAGGACGGGGGTGGAGAGTGGGGGGGAGGGGGAGAAGAGGAGGGATGAGAGGAGGGGGAGGAGGCGCGATGAGAGCAGTGACGTTAGAGTGAGTTACCTCGCCCACATGGCCATGTATGTATGTAAGTGCTGGATGCATGCCCCCCCAGGTGGCTTCGCATACACGCAGCACTCACATTTCTGCACAATTTCCATTGCACCGGAGGACTCACATTCCTGGACGCCACGAGCTGTGTCTCTTTGGGCACATGCACTGCCGCCTCACTCGCCCGCTTCACCCCCTCCTCTCTCCCCCCGTGCATCTCCCTCACTTTCGGTAACCGCACTAGCAGATCATCTTCGGCTGCCAGCTCAGCACCTGACGTGGCGGCTAATGTAGCGGCTGACGTGGCAGCTGACGTGGCAGCTGGGCCAGCGGACGCATGGCCGGGAGCTTGAGGGGGAGGGGAGGCAAGAGGCTCGTCAGGCCGTGCAGCAAGGGAGGGCGGCGAGACAGGGGAAGCGGGAGAGACAAGGGCGGGAGGAGAGGCGAGTGAAGCAGGAGAGACGAGGGAGGCAGCAGCTTCTGTATCCCATACTTCCCCCTCTCGTCCCTGCATCCGTTGCTCTACAGGCGCCCCCACACCACTATGCCCCTCAACCATATCACTACTGATTCGCTCTGACTCTTGAACTGCTGCTGCGCCTTCTACTACTGCTACTGCTCCTGCTAATACTGTCCCTGCTGCTGCTGCCCCTGCTACTACTGCTCCTGCTGCTGCTGCTGCTTCTACTGCTGCTCCTGTTACCACTGCTGTCACTGCCTGTGTGGGTGCCACTGCATCTGTTTGTGCCTCCACGGCCTTTGCTGCGCCCACACCTGTTGCTCTAGCTGCACCCACCACTGTTTCTCCTCTATTCAACCCCCCTGCTTCTGGAACTACCCTCTCAGCCGTTGCTGCTGCTGCTCCTCCTCCTCTTCCTCCTCTTGCTCCTCCTGCTCCTGCCACTGCTGCTCCTGCCGCTGCTGCTGCTGCTGCTTCTCCTACCACTACTCCCCCTCCGCCTCCCGATACTACAGCAGCATCAGAGCCCCTGTCAGCCGCCCTCGACTGCACGGGGCGGGGGCGCGCGTCTCTGGCGGGCGCTCTGGGCGCGGACTGCCTGGCGGACGCGCCAGGCTTGGTGCTGCCCGGTGCTGCCTTTCTGGGGGGCGGGTGGTCGTCCACCGCCACCTGCACCACCTTGCCTATGCCCTCCTGCCGTCATGAACAGAGAAAATGGGGTGGAGGTAGGGTAGGAGGGAGGTAGGGGAGGAGGGGGTGGGAGTGGGGGTTTAGAGACGCCTTAGAGAAAGGGTGGTCGTCCACCGCCACCTGCACCACCTTGCCTATGCCCTCCTGCCGCCGCGTATAACGGGGAAAAATGGGAGAGGGGATGGGGATGAGCGGGGAGGAGATGGGGAGGGCGAAAGAGAGGGGAGACGAGCGGTTTTGGAAGGACTGAACGCATGGTGTGTGTGGGGAGGGGGGGGGAGGGGGAGGGAGGGGGTTGGGAGGGATGGAAAGAAGAGGGCGTTTGCATGTGTGTGCATGTGTGCGTGTGCGCGGCCGTGTCAGTGACAGGCCAGCTTACATCGAGAGCAGAGCCAAGGGTGTCACCGAGCAGCGAAATGGAGTTGATAATGGCATCCAGCCCTCCCTGCACAAACCCACCACCACCACCACCGCCTCCTCCTCCTCCCTTAGCACCCCCTGTTGTTGATCCAGCTGCCGTGCGACCTGACGCTCCACTCCCTGCTCCTGCTGCTCCTGCTCCTGCTTCTCCTCCTGCTGCTGCAGCAGGCTTGGGATCTCCGGCTCCTCGTTTCCCTGCTCCCGTTCCACCTGCTCCCATCCCACCTGCTGCCATTCCTGCCGTCCGTTCTGCTCCTGAAGATTTCGCGGTTCCGCTGCTTCGCGCCTGCGTGGGCTTCGATTCTCCAGCATGTTTGCCGCTCCCCGGCTGTGCTAGCGAGGGGCTTGTCTTGGCGCTCACCCTCCGCGGGCTGCTTGACACACCACTTCCCGCAACAGGTTTCCCTAGAAGATCCTGGCGCGGAACGAGAAGGATACAGGGATTAACGATTGGGACTTTTAGAATGCCAAATTCCGCAATAAAGGAAAGACGGGAACACGCGTGAGACAGAGAGTCCAGTAAGGACTTCTTTGGCCAAGCCCAGGAAACGGAACTACCGGAACGCATCGGAAACGGCAGCAAGGCCCAACAACCCAGGCAACAACGCTCCGCGGTCACCTCGGCATTCTGACCGTTAGTGGAAGCGTCTCAGAGGGAACCTGCCCTGAATCAGCAGCCGCTGCTCACCTCCGCGTTGAGCGTGGTTGACTGGTGCTGCCGCGGTGTAGACGCGCGCGACGAGGGGATGTCGTCCTCGAGCACAAAGTCCGCCACCTTCTTCACCAGGCTCGACCAGAAGCGCTACGAGTCGACTCAACACACACCTGAATCAGCAGCAGCTGCTCACCTCCACATTGAGCGTGGGCGAGTGCTGATGCCGCGGTGTCGACGCGCGCGACGAGGGGATGTCGTCCTCGAGCACGAAGTCCGCCACCTTCTTCACCAGGCTCGACCAGAAGCTCTCCTGCACCGCCGGGATCGGCGCTTCCGCCTTCCGCCTCGCGCTCACCGACCGATCCATCGTGGCGTGCCCGATTACTGCTAGCAAATCGACGAGTTTATGTGCAGTGCAGGCTGCTGCAGACGCAGGGGACTGAGCAAGTGTACCTGCGTGTTGTTACAGTTGCTAAGGATGCCGCTACAGTTGTTCGAGGAGATGTTTGTCAGTTTGACCAATAACATCAACACTCACTGTGAATTTTGATTCGAATGTCCCAACCTAATGTCATCGCTCCCTAGAATCATCTGGTCTCAGGTACACCACCAGGTCCATGTAACGGAACGAAAGCCTACATAATGGTTCAATGGTTGAAAACCTCGCTGTGTTTACCCATAGACCTGATCTAGCTGGTGGAGACGCAGAATTGTCGTGAGGACAGCAGCGTGAATGCAAAGCAAGTCCGTGAAAGCTGAAGTCCACGACGAGTGGTTGAGGTGAGTACTCCTGTCAGCAATAATCATTACTGTTGAATGGCTAGTAACCTTCTTGGAACGCTACGGAACCCACTCAAACGCACTGAATGCCGCGTGAACGAATATGAAATTCCTGAATGACAATATCGAGGTTTGGAACTCCAGAGGTTGGGGTGAAAGGAGAACCCGCACAACCAAGGTTGACTCATGGAGGGAAATGCAGCGAGTGGCTAGAATATAATGTCAGGCGAAAATGAGGGACAGGGCGGGACCAGTCATGGGTGGCTGGAATAGCCCAATTGGCGCGCGGTTGTTGGGAACCAAGCAGACGCTATTACAGTAATAATATTTATATGGAGAGGTGCACAAGCTAGTATAGCGAAGAGATGCAAACACGAAAGTGAAACTATTCGTTTAGCTGCTTGTGGAATAGGCTGTTGGTGAGTACATAAGGCTACGTGGAAAGTCGCACTTGTTTCCACGTGTCGGCGGATGCATCACACTAGGCCTTGTTTGCCTTTCCATTCGGTTTGCTGTCGGTGGTGCTGTAGGTTACTCTAGTCGCTTGTCGTCAGTGCAACCAAACGCCCTGCCAAGCTGTAAATCGTTCAACGAAGTCGCGACTGTCGCTCCACCTCTCCATCACCGAAAACAGCCGAACACAAACCAGCAACAGACAAAAGTACTGCCACAATCCAGCGTGTCTGTCTGACTGTCGCGGAGGGGAAGGTGAAGTGAGTGAGAGTCAAGGCTCCGACGCTCCACGCAACATTGCGCAAATGCGATGCGTCGGCGTGCGGCCCGACCAAAAATACAAGCAAGGTCCATCCCGAATTCCCTCCCCCTCTCCCCACTCTTCCCCCTCGTCCCCCTCGCTCTTCCCCCCTCCCCCCCCCCCCCTTCAGCCCAGGGTCACGCAAGAGGGGTTCTGCGGGGGGAAATTGCGCCTGCTCCAGCTGCTAGGGCAGGGTATCCCAGATTCGCGAGCAGCGGAGGCGGGGGTGGGGGCGGAACCAGAAGCGACCACGAAGCCGACAGCTTGACGAAAGCAGGAAGCTGACCATTGTTACCCCGCCGCAAATCTGACGTAGCTGGATTCTTACTTTTGACATCACTTCTTGCACACCTTCTCTCCGCAGTATCTACGAGATAGTGGCACAGAAACCAGATTACCATAACTCCTCGTCCTGAACACAGTTTCTCTAGGCGGACTTTAGAGAGCTTTTTATAACCCGACTGTCCTTCTCGCCGATTTGTCTTTCGAGTTGTTAGTCGTTTAAGTTGGCCCGAGTGATGCATCTCGCTGGTTGCTTTCCATCCAGCGGGCAGCTGAAACGGCCACCGTCACTATCGTCTCTTCGCCTAGCTTATCCGTTGCCGTACTCCTGCTTCAATACATCCCAAACCCAGATCGAACCTGTAAACGAGCCACGTAATAACGAGGTCCTAGTCACCGAGCCTCTGGACACCTGCCCATTGCCACGTCGGTCGCCAATAGAGGGGATCCACGTGGCCGACTCTGGAGCCTTATCCGAGAATCCGCACATGCCACGTCATACGCAGCACCGTCAAACCTCCTCCCTCGATTTCCCTCCCACCAGCAACTCCTTAACTCCGCCGCTCCCCGCTTCCACCCCGCCCCCCCTTTCCCGTCCCCCGGCGACGCGCTTCCCTGCCCCCTTCTCGCCGGGAGCGGAATTTCCGCACTCCCCCGGCGCGCAGTCTCCGCCGCCCCTAGCAATAGCGGTATTTCCCGCGCACCCGTTCAAGCGCCGCGCGGTCGAGGGACCTTCGCCGCCCCTTTCCCCCCTCCCCCGGCTCAACGAGAGCCATCGCTCCCCGCTTTCCTCGCCGGCTTCCGCGGTCCATGGACTCCGTGCTGCGCCTCTTATCCCTTGCGCGGGGGAAGCGGAAGGAGTGGGAGGAGGGATTCGGGGAGGTGGGGGCAGTCGGGGGAGCGGGGGAGGTGGGGGAGCGCAATCCAGAGCGCACGTTGGTTTCGCGAGAGCAGTCGCAGGGTCTTCCGCATCTCCCGCACCGGACTCCAGTGTAATTTGGCCAGCGAATGCGCCACGTGGCGCTCAGATCCGCGGATCTCCTGCGCCGTCAGGCGCCAATAAGGCGGAACCTTTGAGTCCTTCAGGCGCGCGGGAGCAGGGGATGCCGCTTCCGCGCGCGCAAGAGCAGGAACGGCGGGTGGGCGGAAAGGCCTTGGCTTCCCCGCAACCCCGCGATGCGCCCCTCAGCACAGTGACGCTTGAGTGGACTCAGAAGCCGCCTTCCCGGCGATCCCGCGATGTTCCCCCCCGCGCCGCGACTCTCTCCAGCGCGCTCCTCGCGCGCATCGACGCAATCTTTCTGAGAAAACGGAGCAAGGAGCGCGCGGAAGCCAAGGCGCAGGCGCGGCTGCAAGCAGTCGCGGGCGGCGGGTCGAAGCGGCGCGGGCAGACTGACTCCGCCACCGCCGCCGCCGCTGCAGCAGCAGCAGCAGCAGCAGCAGCGGGGAAACAGGAAGCTCCCGTCACAGCTGAAACGAGAGTGGGAAAGAGCGCGGGTGTGTGGGGGGAGGCGGGTCCAAAGGCGCGGCGGTCACTGTCTCTGGATGGCACAGGGGCAAGCCGCGGGGGAAGGGTATTTGAGGCGCTGGGAGAAGGAGGAAAAGTGAAGGCGGAACCTGAGGTCTGGGAGGTTGTTGGGGGAGGCTCGATTGGGGGGAGTGGGGGAAGCGGAGTAAGTGGGGGAAGTGGGGGAAGCGGGGGGAGCGGGGGAAGCGGGGGAAGTGGGGGGATGAGTGGTACCATTTCTGGTGGTAGCAGCGGATTTGATGGCGAGCTGAGAACGCGCACAGCTCTGCACTCTCCTGCTACCACAACTAACGCCTTTGCTGCTGCCTCACCAGCTGCTACCCCAACAGCAACAACAACAGCGGCGGCAGCAGCAACAGCAGCGACAGCAGTGAGAGAATCAGAAGAAACGGCGGACGCACAGCCGATCCGGCAGGCAGCGGGCAACAGAGGAGTTGAGAGTGGTGTTAGAAGCGTTGCTGGCTTTGCCCCTGCGACCAACAGCAGCCACATCAGCGGCAGCAGCAGCGCAACCGCACTGCAGCAGCAGCAACAGCAGCAGCAGCAACCCGCGTGGATGATGGTAGCAGGCACGCTTACTCGCGCTGCTGTTGTTGTCCCCATGCCCGGCAGTGCTGCCATGCCTGCTCCCATGGCTTCTCCCACGGCTCCTCCTCCACTCACTCTCACGCACACCCCTACTGTATTCACATCGCCGCTTTCACTGCCACCAACAGCCACCACAGGCACAGCCGGTGCAGCAGGGCCAGCAGCATCGACCTCACCCTTCAAACAACCCGGCCATGAGCCCTCTTCAAGAACCCATCCACTGGAACCCTCTTCTCCTCTGCCTCCTCCTCCTCCTCCTCCTACTGCTCTCGGCACCCCTCCCCCTTCTGCCCCCCCTGCCACTCCCCCTTACGTTCCCCTTCCCTCTCCCCTTTCTCTTGCCCCCTCTGCTTCCCCTGCTGCCCCGCCCGTTACTCCCCCTGCTCCGCCCGCGCGCCACCCCTTCCCTCACCGCTCCTTCCCCCCCCACCACCCTCATCCCCCGCACCATCCCCACCACCACAACCACCCTCGCGTGCGGTACCGGGGGGTGCGGCAGCGGCGGTGGGGGCGGTGGGTGACAGAAATCCGCGAGCCCACCACTCGCACGCGCATCTGGCTTGGCTCCTACGATAACGCTGAGGAAGCCGCCCGCGTGTACGACATGGCCGCCCGGCTGCTCAAGGGCCGGGCGGCAAGGCTTAACTTTCCCCACAGCGTGCAGCCAGTCGCGGTTCCCCGGGGGATTGCTGATGCTCTCATGCGGGCTAGCCGGGCGGCAGCAGAGGCTGGAGGGGGTGAGGGTGGTGCAGGTGGGATGGACGATGGGGAGGGTGGTGGGGAAGGTGTGGACGATGGGCATGGTAGGGATGGGGATGGTGGTGGTGATGGGGACGGTGATGGGGACGGTGATGGGCATTGGGGCAGCAGTGGTGGGTGCAGTGGTGCTGTGATGAGGATGGACGTGGTTGGTGCAGAGGCGGTGGGGGAGGGCGAGGCGGGCGCAGAGGCACAGGAGGGTAAGGCGTGGAGTGGTGAGAAGATGGAGTGTGGCTCTGAGCAGGTGCAGCAGCAGCTGAGGTTGGTGTTTCAGCATGCCGGGCAACCACGAGCAGGCCTACAGGAGCATCATTATTATCATCAACAGCAGCAACAGCAGCAACAGCAGCAGCAGCAGCAGCAGCAGCAGCAGCAGCAGCAGCAGCAGCAGCAGCAGCAGCAGCAGCAGCAGCAGCAGCAGCAGCAGCAGCAGCAGCAGCAGCAGCAGCAGCAGCAGCAGCAGCAGCAGCAGCAGCAGCAGCAGCAGCAGCAGCAGCAGCAGCAGCAGCAGCAGCAGCAGCAGCAGCAGCAGCAGCAGGCGAGCATGGTGGCACCTGAGAATCCACCTGGCAGGCAAGCGCCATCATGGGAGGAGACCCTGAGAGACCTGGGCCTGGACCCACCTCTTCCACCTACGGCCCCTCCCATTCCCCTTTCCTCCGCCCCCACTGCACCTGCTCAGCCCCTCTCTGCTGCACCCACCGCTCTCCACCGCTCTTCACCACCAGAAGCACCACTACCACCGTGTGTGACCCCATCTCGCCCCTCCAGTACGCCCCCTCTTCCCCTCTTGCGCATGCCCCTATCGCTGCTCGCTTCCCCACGTGCCTCCACCCACACCCCTCCTTGTCAATCAGGCAACCCCCTGCTACACCTCCCGCCCTCTTTCCCTGCTGCTCGCTCCACCTCCGTGCCTGCTGCGACCACCACAGCTACTACAGCACTCGCACCTGCCACTACGCCCACTCCTCCTGCCATCTCTAAATCCTTCTCACCGCTCCCCTGCTCCAACCCCAACGAACGGACGGACCAGATTGACCAGAACAGCCAGATGGAACGGACGGACCAGATCGAACGAACAGACCAGATGGAGCGGACGGAGGCCCCCTTAGAACCTTTTACATTGGAGCTTCCCCAGGTGCCCTCCCACAACTCCACCGCCACCACTGTAACCAGTGCTAATGGTGGTAACACGGTTACCACTACTGGCACCACCAGCGGCACTGCCACTACCACGGCTTCTGATTGGTCGGCGAACGTTCTTGTCGACTCCAATGATTCCTCCATGCAGACTTTCGGGCAGACAATGAATGTTTTCTGCCCGAACCACCAGTCGCCTTCTGAAGTTTCTTGGAATTCTCCAACCGAACCATCTGCCCGAACCTCACTCCACCAAGCCTCTCTCTCTCGTCCAGCAACCGTCCCAGCCAGTCGTCCAGCCATTCGCACTGCCGAACCTCCTCCTCTTGTCCTCCCACACTCGCTAGATGCCCTGTCGTTGGCCAGCCTCAGTACCGAACCTTTGTTGTTGCCAACCCTTCCGGAGAGGTTCGGGGGAGGTTTGGAGGACGAGGGAGTGACAGGGGATGAGGGGTGGTTCTTGTGGCCTGACCTGTAAGGTATGGATGGCATTGGTGCTACATGCAACCGCCTCCTGATGCTGTCTCACAGTTGAGCTTTATGGCGGGCCTCAATTTTGTGGCTTTCAAGACGCCCCACCCCACACCCTAGAATATCCTATTCTTGACAGAGACAGCCACCGCACTTGCCCAATTATGCTGCTGTGTTCCACGTGTCCAAATTCCTCGTGATGCTCCTGACTCCATTTGAGGCGCCACGCTGCTTTGTAAAGGGTTCCCACGGGCTCGCGAGCACGAGGACCCGGTATGGACCGGCAGGATTTTTGGGCAGGATGTCAACACTTTAGTTTGATTTTCTCTTACGACAAGTGGTGCAGTGTGGATATTTTAATCCATTCATGTTCTCGAAACACACATGGGATCCACTTTGTATAATTTCAGCTTATCCTAGTGGATAAACGTGCCAGGTACGTACCCGATCTACTTGCACAAAAAAATGTGTTTGAAATATTATAAATTTTAAACACAGATAGTGTTTTTTAAATTTGTGTATTGTGAAAGCGAAGCTGCTTGTATTGCACAATTGGCATCGTCGAAGCGCGCTAAGCGCCCTTCTCCAACTACAAAAGCTGTGGGTTGGAGCTCATTTCCCTCCACCCACGTTTCTCTATTTTCAAACGGCTCACTCAACATTCTCACCACCCACCCCAGCGTAAACCGTTTCGCGCATGCCACTTGGATAGGGTATATCGTAGCTAGTGATATGAGCATGTACTAGCTTGTGTTCAATTGTGATGCAAATGTTGTAAACAGCCATTTGTAATGAGAACGATGCCAATTGATAAGAATAATAAATAAAGCTTTCTCAATGTGGCCAGACGTGCACATCTACCGGATCGGGATTACCGGCCTCTGCATTTGCATTATTGGAGCTTCCCCCACCCCTCCCACCCTCCCCCCCACCCGAGCGTTGGAAGTGTTTGACTTTCCGCTATTGTACTTCCGCTATTGTACTCGCATTATTCCACCCTTGTGGCTTGGTTTGGCTTCCCCTCTCGCGCGCACCTCTTTCCCCAACACCGCCCGTCCCTTCCGATCCCTTCCCGTTCGCTCACTCCGCATCCAAGCCAAGCCAAGCCACATACACACCCTATCAGACGCGGTGGAAAACTCTACCACCACACTTGACCATATGAAAACGACAAAAAACTCACGAAACCACACCACACCAACCAGGAGGAGCCGGCAGCAAAGTCGTGCATGAATCATGAACATCACTCACTCCTCGCTGAGGTGCTTCAGCCAATGCTATTCCAACCTGCAGCTTTATACCAGCAGCGCGAGCACACTCCATCCAAGCTCACTTCGAAGAATGCACCTCCCAGCTTGGCTGGGAAACAAGTGGCTGCTATTCGTAGATGAAACTCAAGAAGGTCTTGAAATGTTTATGTACTAGAAGTGAATTGCGTGGCAATGGAGGTATTATTTCGTTCTGTCGTGGTAAATACTTCGTTAAAAGGTTATTGGAAGCATTATTTCCCGTAAGAGGAACCAATAACCAATGTCCTCAGGTAACCACCTTACGTCTCTTCACCAAAAATTGATCGCGGTTACAGATTCCTCCTAATCCGCGTCCCTTAGTAGCAGCACGGCCGTTGTGCTCGGAGCTATCCACGCCGCATTCAACGCGCGCACTTTCGTTGCGACACAAGCTTCAATTGAACCCCCATCTATCAGACTTCAGCATTCATTCATGGCGTTGCCGAGGCTGAGAATCGAACCGGGGGCGTTAGCATTCAGCTGTAAGCGCGCAGCTTTCAACCTCACACTTCAACCTCACATTTCAACCTCTAGCCTAACCGTCGTCCCAGTCCCCCTCTTGGTCATGCCGTGTGGAGTCCGCACCACCGTTTGTTTGTTCTCCATTCGTCCCAGCATCCTCTCCTTCCGCACCTTTCTGCGGTCCAGACAACTTGGAATTTACCGCGAACTCCGCGGCTGAAACTCTTTTCCACCTCTCTCGGATCGCCGCTTCCCTGCACGCTCCCTGCACGCTCACTCTCTCATCTCCCATTCCCCTCCTCCCCTCTTCTTCCCTCCCATTCCCCCGCCTTCCCCCGTACTACCGCTTCTCTCCCCCTTTTCCCCGTGGCGGCAGTCGAGGCGGGGAAGGAGCTGCGCACGCGCGTGAGGATCCACAACGACTACTCCAAGGATGTCGTTATCACGGTCAGTTTCCTCCTACCTCGGGTTGATTGTTGGGATTGATTGTGACTGTCTGATTTGAGTCGACTCAAAAGGAGCTGCGCACGCGCGTGAGGATCCACAACGACTACTCCAAGTACGTCGTCATCACGGTCAGTCGCTTCATAATCACTGTCAGCCGTCCCCTTCCTCGGGATGATCGTGGGGATGATTGTCGGGATGATTGTTGAGATGATGTTGTAGATGATTTCTGAGTTGTGCGTTTTTGGCCAAAAAACAAGGCCCAACAACGACGGTTAGACTAGAGGATGAATCTAGGTTGAATTTTGAATGAACTTACAGCAGAATCAAAAGTTACTAGGACGTCGTCATGACTGTCAGTTAAAGCGACGGGCAACTTTTGGCAGTGTTGGGTTCAGAAGTTTTTTTTTTGAACCAGGCTTGCCAGCGCGAAAGTGCTGGCTGGCGAAAACCAGGATTTCGTGCGGACACTTTCCATCCGCAGTAACAGTTCGCCAGGGTTCTGGGTTTTGGGTGGCAAATGTGCACCGTCGCTTTAACCTTACCTCGTATCCGTTTGCGGCAGACAGTGATTTAATTAACGAGTGTTTCGCTGCGCGAGTCGTAACAACAGTTGCTCACAACGACTTCTCCCGGCAGCACGTCGTCATCACTCACTGTCAGTCGCCCCGTACCTCGGGATACACGATAGATGCCTTTTGAACGATTGTTGAGATACCGTGTTGGTGTTTTTTCTAGATGGAAATTTTAAACGTTGTCCAAATGTTTTTTTAGTCGAATCAAAAGCAAAGGACGACTAGTAGCTGCTGCTCCCTCCCTCGCTTCTTCCCTCTCTCCCTCCCTCCCTCCGTCTCTCCCTCCCTCCCTCCCTCGCTCCTGCGCCACCAGATAAAGCCGGGCACGGTGCGCAAGTACGAGGTGAAGGATGGCACCAAGATCGTCGTGCCCGAGGGCTCCTCCTTCCTTCTCACTGGTAACCACCTGCTAACTGGTAACCACCTGCTCACTGGTAACCACCTGCTAACTGGTAACCACCTGCTCACTGGTAACCACCTGCTAACTGGTAACCACCTGCTCACTGGTAACCACCTGCTAACTGGTAACCACCTGCTAACTGGTAACCACCTGCTAACTGGTAACCACCTGCTAACTGGTAACCACCTGCTAACTGGTAACCACCTGCTAACTGGTAACCACCTGCTAACTGGTAACCACCTGCTCACTGGTAACCACCTGCTCACTGGTAACCACCTGCTCACTGGTAACCACCTGCTCACTGGTAACCACCTGCTCACTGGTAACCACCTGCTCACTGGTAACCACCTGCTCACTGGTAACCACCTGCTCACTGGTAACCACCTGCTCAGTGGTAACCGCCTGCTCACTGGTAACTGTCTGCTCACTGGTAACCACCGCCTCCTCACCGGTAACCACCGCCTCCTCACTGGTAACCGCCGCCCCCTCACTCGTAACCACCGCCTCCTCACTGGTAACCGCCGCCTCCTCACTCGTAACCACTCACTCGTAACCACCTCCTCACTGGTAGTAACCACCTCCTCACTGGTAATCGCCATTTCAGTGGTAGCCACCGCCTCCTCAGTGGTAACCGCCTTGCCATCATCCGCACTCGTAACTGCCTCGTTCCTCTCCATGCTTCTACGAAATGGCCTGTGCATCTCTGGTAACCACCTCTTTCGCTCTTCCCCCCCCCCACCCGCATTCCCTCCTACCCCACCCATCCATCCACCCTCTCATTCCGCCTGCGCCACAGTAACGTGCAGGCCTCTGGCGTCAATCTAAAAAAATACCCCATGCACTCACCTCCCTCTTCCCCCTCCTTCCTCCTCGCAGTGTCGTGCTTGCCGCTGTCGTCCATGCCCTTCTGGCCCGATGCCTTCGTGCTGGCATGCCACATGCCCGCTGACAAGTTCACCCGCCGCCTCACGCTGCACACGGTGAGAGCTACTGATGGGTAGGAGGGGCTTTGCTGCGAGGGGCTTTGCTGGGAGGGGCTTTGCTGGGAGGGACTGTGGGAGCTTCATCTTTAAAGACACACGACAGAGAGTGCAGTGAGTCGCGTTCGTGCTCGCATGCCACATGCCACATGCCACATGCCACATGCCACATGCCGCATGCCACATGCCACATGCCCGCTGATAACTTCACCCGCCGCCTCTCCCTCCCTTTCGTCCTCCTGCACACGGTGAGCCACTGCACTACCGAGCGTCCACTGTGCCATCTCTCCCTCCCTTCAGTCCTCCTCTTCCTCTCACCTCGCCCTTTCCTTTTCACCTCCTCCGTTTCCGTTTTCCTCATCCTCTCAATCATCCCTTCCGTTTCCCTTTTGTTCTTTCCTCTCACTCTCTTAGCAGTCCCTTCCGTCCTACCTCTCCCTCTCGCCCCCTACCAGCCCAAATCGTCACTGCGCGCCGTGTGCCAGATGACGACTCCGGTGACTTTGTACCACCTGACTGACACTCTGTCTTCCCGTCCGTTTCCCCCCTCCCTCTCTTACCACCAGCCCATGGCATCACTGCATGCTGTGTGCCAGATGAAGCTTCCAGTCAATCTGTACACCTGACAATTTCTCTTCCCCCCCTTCCCTCCTCCCTCCCTCCCCATGCTCCCCCCCCACCAGCCCATGGCATCACTGCGTGCCGTGTGCCAGATGAAGCTGCCTGTGATTTTCACAGATGAGGTCCCCAAGGGGGTGGGAGAGGAGCAGCACGCGCAGGCCCAGGCGCAGAAGACCAAGGCCCAGGCCCAGGCGCAGCGTATCCCTTACACTCCCCCTTCGGTTTTTTCCCTTTCCACTCCATCTCGCCCACCCCCAGCCCATGTCAGCACTGCGTGCTGTGTGCCAGATGAAGCTGCCTGTGCTCTTCACAGACGAAGTCACCAAGGGGGTGGCAGAGGAGCAGCACGCGCAAGCCCAGGCGCAGAAGCAGAAACAGAAGGAGAAGGAGAAGGAGAAGGAGAAGCAGCAGCAGCAGAAGCAGGCGCAGGCAACAGCACTGAAAACCGTGAAGGAAGGAGAGGAGGGCGGGAAGGAAGAAGGCGAAGGGACGGGATCGCAGGGGGGGAAGGGATGGAAGGGAGGGAAGGTGAGATTTGCGGCAGAGGCATCTCCCAAAGGGGGCCTATCGCGTGTGTGGAAGAGCAGCACAGCAAAGAAAGAGGAGGAAGAGGAGGCGAGGAGGAAGGAGGAGGAGAGGAGGAGGGAGGAGGAGAGGAGGAGGAGGGAAGAGGAGGAGAAGCGGTTGATGGAGAGGGTGGAGAGGAGGGAGGAGTTGAGTGGGCAGTCTATGGACCGCCTTCTGTCCTCCATTGCTGGAAAGGACAAGAGCCACGTCTATGTGCGTTCCCTCCCTTGCATGCCTGCATGCTTATGTGTGTACTCTTGCTTGTATGCATGCTTATGTGCGTACTCTTGCTTGTATGCATGCTTATGTGCGTACTCTTGCTTGTATGCATGCACGCACGTTCATGTGTTTGTGCCTTTCTCCCTTCATCCCCCACACAGCTGTGTCCGTCCGTGTCCTTTTCCTAAGAACCTCATGGGCCGAATTTGATCAAAACAGCTATGTCCGTCCGTGTAGCTTCCCTAAGAACCTCATGGGCCGAATCTCGACCTCTTATTGCTCCCCTCACCTCGATCCCCTCTCACCTCCCTCCCCTCCCCCCCTCTCCCTCCCTCTCGCCTCCCCCTCTCCTTCCCTCTCCCCTCTCCTTCTCCCACCCGCTCTCCTTCCCTCTCCCCTCCCCCTCTCCCTCCCATGACATCTCGGGTGGACTTGCGACCTCCTGGTCTCCTCCTCACCTTGCTCCCCGCCCGGCCCCACCCCTTGCAGCTGTGGGAGCTGTTCCTCAACACGTCACGGGTGGACTTCTGACCCCTAAGTGCCCCCCTCCACCTTGCTGCACCGTTCTCCACTCCCCCCCTCTCCCCCTCCTCCCCTCGCAGCTGTGGGAGCTGTTTCTCAAGATGTCGCGGGTGGACTTCAAGCTTCTCTCCCTTCTCCCCCACTCTTCCTCCCCCCTGCCCCCGTTCCCCCACTCCCCCTCTTCCCCTTGCAGCTGTGGGAGCTGTTTCTCAAGACGTCAAGGGCGGATTTCAAGCTGCTGCAGCACCGCCTGGAGGCCGCGCTGCTGGAGGTGCAGGCCGTCAAGTCGCAACTGGTGCGTCCCTGCTGCTCCCTGCTCTTACGTGCTGCTCGGTGCTGCTGGGTGCTGCTGGGTGCTGCTGGGTGCTGCTGGGTGCTGATGGGTGCTGATGGGTGCTGATGGGTGCTGCTGGGTGCAGCTGGGTGCTGCTGGGCTGCTCTGCTGCATCATGACATTGCTGCTCTGCTTTCTGACCAATGCCTCGTTGCCGCACGTCCTCACCCCGCTCGCCCGCCCCCCATGATAACTACTAAGTCAGACTCGAGCGTGTGTTTTTAAGTTGACTTTTGAGTCGACTCAAAAGAGAATTCTACAAAAACACACGCTCCTAACTCCGCTCGCCCCCCATGATAACTTCTAAGCCAGACTCAAATATTCCCTCCCTTCTCCCCTACCCTCCCTCCTCGCCTTTCCATCCCCCCCCCTCCCTCCCCCTCCTCCAGATCATGGATCTGCCAGCCCTCACCGTCTCCTTCTCAAGCCTCTCCAACTGCTCTTGCTTCCTGACTCGACTCATGAGTCTGTTCCTTACCGCCTTTTGAGGCGCCTCAACGACTCGACTCATGAGTCTGTTCCTTACCGCCTTTTGAGGCGCCTCAACGACTCGACTCATGAGTCTGTTCCTTACCGCCCCTTCTCCCCTTTATCTCCCCCCCCCCCCGCCCCTCCCACCCCCCTCCCTCCCCCTCCTCCAGATTATCGATCTGCCACCGTCTCCTTCTCAAGCCTCTCCGACTCCTCTCACTCCCCTCGCCTACCAAGGTGACTTATAAGTCGACTCAAAAGTCTCTCCCCCCTCCTTCCCCTCCCTCCCCGGCAACCAGATCATGGATCTGCCAGCCCTCACCGTCTCCTTCTCAAGCCTCTCCGACTCCTCGCTCCCCTCGCCCACCAAAGCCTCCTCCGCACCCTCCCGAGACACCAGCTTCGCACCCCCACCGCACTCCACCGCCCCCTACTCCCGCTCCTTCTCCAACAACCAGCTGAACCCCCACGGCACCAGCAGCAGCCCGGAACACACCAACCTGCGCCCGCCCTTCACCCCAAAACCCACCACGTCTGAATCCGCACTGCTCCCAGTTTCCATCTCCTCGCTCTCCGCCCAGCCGTCCTCTCTGGCCTCCTCCTCCAGCAGCCTGCAGCTGGGGGGGATTGGGAGCGGCGGGGGGACGGGGCAGCTGGGGGCGTCGTCGCGGGTGCTGAGCAAGTGGGGCACGGGGGGGGAGAGTGCGGTGGAGAAGGAGCTGCAGCGCAAGGAGATGATGAGGAGGGCGTTGATAGAGGAGAACAACGAGCTCAAGGATAGGCTGGAGGAGAAGGAGAAGCGGGAGAGGCAGGCGCTTCGCAAGGCGGATGTCATGAAACAGGACGCGGTGAGTGGGGCGGGGCGGGCGGGTGAGGTGAGGGTGGGGTGTGTGGGGGGGGAAATGCATGTATGGTTCCTTTGTTTATTATTCTCAGAGGTGAGTGGGGTACAGCAGGGGAGAGTGCGGTGGAGAAGGAGCCACAGCGCGAGGAGATGATGCAGCGGGCGGCGGGCGCTGATTGAGGAGAACAATGAGCTCAAGGATAGGTTGGAGGAACGGGAGAAGAAGGAAAGGCAGGCGCTGCGCAAGGCGGAGTCATGAAACAGGATGCGGTGAGGGAGAGGGGGGAGAAAGGTGGGGGAGGCGAAGAGGAGATGAGGGTGAGGAAACGGTTGGGAGGCTGGGCAATAATGGCGTAGTTTTTTAGGGTTTCCTTTCCTCTTGCTCTCTAAGAATGTCCGTGTCAGCTTTCCTGTTTCAGTTGTTTCGCTTCCTCTTCTTCTCCCCATGCGCACCACCTTCCCTTCCCATTGATTAAAACATTGCCCATGCAATCCACCCACCTCGTGCCTTCCATCTTGTTCTACATGCTTTACACCTCACGCCCTCTCCTCCTTGTTCTGATTCTAACACTCGCAATGCATGTGGCAGGACACGACGAGGAGCCAGCTGCAGGCGATGCAGCAGCGGCTGGAGGAGGAGGAGGCACAACGGCAGACGCTGGTGAGAGAGCTGCAGGCGCTCAGAGCCCAGGTGCTGAGCGGAGGACAGCAGCCGCAGCAGGTGCAGCAGCAGCAACAGGGGGTTGCGGATGAGGAGAAGCAGGAGAAGCAGCAGCAGGGGGAAGAGCGTCAGCAGCAGCAGCAGTGGGAGAGTGAGGAGCAAGCAGGGGAGTCGCAGGGGGAGACGGAGCATGAGCATGAGCGTGCGCATGCAGACAAGCAAGGTGAGGAGGGTTTGCAGGCTAGTGTTCAGAGTAGTGAGAGGGCGAGTAGTGAGAGAGAAGAGGAGAGGGCGAAGAGTAAGGAAAAGAAGGAGAAGAAGGAAAAGAAGAGTAAGGAGGAGAAAAAAGAGAAGAAGAAATCCAAGGAGAAGAAAGCAAAGGAGGGTTCAAAAGAAGGAGTGACTGACAGGGAGGAGGAAACGCAGCAGCAGAAGGAGGCGCAGCCGCAGCAGCAGCAGCAGCAGCAGCAGCAAGAGCAGCAAACGCCAGAACAGCAAGAGCAGCAAGAGCCTGATTTCATGTCGTTTCTGATGAAGCAGGCTGCTGCAGATGCTGCCGCGAAGATTGCTTCAGACGGAATCACTACGTATGCTCCTGCTGCCGCTGCTCCCCTTGCTGCACCTGCTGCTGCTCGTCCGGCCGTTGCTGCTCATGTTCTTGCCAACGCTGCTCCTGCGCCTGCTCCTGTCGCTGCTGCTTCTACTTCTCTGGGGCCATCGGCCAGCAGGGGTCGTGGTAAGCTGGTCATTCCATTCGACGACGACGATGACGATGTGTAGTGAAAGCATGGGGGATAGCAACTGGGGACGGCAGTATGGTGGTAAGTGGAGTGAAAGGATAAGAGCAGGAGCTGAGAAAATAACAGCTGTTGTGGCTGCACTAGCAGCCGTGTCAGCAGCACGAGTTTTTCGGAATCAGGGTGGAGAAGCTCAAGAGAGTGTTGCAACTCATGGGCTTCCTTGGAGGCAAGAGCAGCGGTAATCCCTTATTTGGGTCAAGTTTGCTGGGAAAAATGTTGAATCCTTTTTTTTTTTTATACTTCGGCATTGATTTGTGGACTTGCCTCTTGTTCTTTAGATTATCTGCTCATTCCAAGATCTTATAAATGAGTATAAGTCTGACATACGTCTTGAATACAATAGTTGTATTGAGTGAATTTCCGCAAATGTTGCCATTCACCGTGATCGAAACGACAAGTTCAAGGCGGTCCTCAATGTTGCCGATTTCTCGCTCTGACAAGTCGAAGGTTGTAGACTACGGACCTTAGATGTTGCCGATTTCTCGCTTATCCATTGCTCCATCTCCGCTGGACACTGCAGTTCTCAGATGCTCAGATTCTCTCTCTGACCAGAAAGAACTGAGAACCAGGCCAAATCAGTAGCTTTTAGGAACTACTGCGACAAAATCAATGCTCGTGAAGACCGTCCTCGCTTCTTTCTTGCTTTGGGACTAAGGTTGTGGTTGTTCGTTGGCCGTTCATCGCTTCTTTCTTCACAAGTACCACAAACTGACAGCGGAAGTCGTATTCGTAAGAATGGCCCCAGTATCTGCTGTTCGTATTGAGCCGAAGTCCCTGACATTCCCATGTAAGACAGCAGTCACTGTAGGTAACTCGTGTTACCACCATGAGCGGTCTTTTCCGAATCACATTTTTCTTGATTTGTGACGTCATGAATCACGCGTTCTTTCAACTCGTTCATAATACAGCATAAATTGCAAATCCGTGTGTCTTCCTTTTGGCAGTCGAGGCGAATAAGAAGCTTTCAGTGACCGTCCAATTAACCAACGGTTACCCTCGCGAGGTCCTTATCCTTGTGAGTTACAGGAAGATGCGAACCAAAGGAGGATGATGTGAGGAGGATGATGTGAGGAGGAGGATGTGAGGAGGAGGATGATGTGAGGAGGATGATGTGAGGAGGATGATGTGAGTAGGAGGATGTGAGTAGGAGGATGTGAGGAGGAGGATGTGAGGAGGAGGATGTGAGGAGGATGATGTGAGGAGGATGATGTGAGGAGGATGATGTGAGGAGGAGGACGTGAGGAGGATGATGTGAGGAGGATGATGTGAGGAGGATGACGTGAGGAGGATGATGTGAGGAGGAGGATGATGTGAGGAGGATGATGTGAGTAGGAGGATGCGAGTAGGAGGATGTGAGGAGGAGGATGTGAGGAGGAGGATGTGAGGAGGATGATGTGAGGAGGATGATGTGAGGAGGAGGATGTGAGGAGGATGATGTGAGGAGGATGATGTGAGGATAAGGATGTGAGGAAGAAGATGTGAGGAGGATGATGCGAGGAGGAGGATGTGAGGAGGAGGATGTGAGGAGGAGGATGCGAGGAGGATGATGTGAGGAGGAGGATGTGAGGAGGATGATGTGAGGAGGAGGATGTGAGGAGGATGATGTGAGGAGGATGATGTGAGGAGGATGATGTGAGGAGGATGATGTGAGGAGGAGGATGATGTGAGGAGGATGATGTGAGTAGGAGGATGCGAGTAGGAGGATGTGAGGAGGAGGATGTGAGGAGGAGGATGTGAGGAGGATGATGTGAGGAGGATGATGTGAGGAGGAGGATGTGAGGAGGATGATGTGAGGAGGATGATGTGAGGATAAGGATGTGAGGAAGAAGATGTGAGGAGGATGATGTGAGGAGGAGGATGTGAGGAGGAGGATGGGAGGAGGAGGATGGGAGGAGGAGGATGTGAGGAGGAGGATGCGAGGAGCGTCATGTGAGTATTTTCTGTTTCCTGCATATCCTCATTCCTCCTCTGTGCCGCTCCGTTCCCACACATCCCTTTATCCTCGCCGGCGACCCGTTCAATCTTCCTCGCAGCTTACTGAACAAGGAACGTTTGAGCGTTTGACGATTCTGCTGTCTGATTTTGAGCATTCTGCCTTTTATCCTCGCCAAATCAAATCACTCTGTTTCGCTCTCTTGCGCTCTGCACCACTCGCTCTCGCCACTTCTCCACCCTTCTCCGCTGTTGGAGCAAGTGGAACCTGGATCACTGCGAAGCTACATGTTGGTGGAAATGCTGAAGCACATTGTGCAGGCGGGACGGTCGATTATTGACTTTTTTTTCGACTCAAGAGTCACCTTGTTCCGTGTGCAGGTGGAGCCTGGGTCAGTGCGACGCTACGCGGTGGTGGAAGGGCTGAAGCACATTGTGCCGACCGGAGGATCCATCACACTCACAAGTACGCACTGTTTGACGCTAACAAGTATGCATGGCATCACACTCACAAGTACGCACTGTTTGACGCTAACAAGTATGCATGGCATCACACTCACAAGTACGCACTGTTTGACGCTAACAAGTATGCATGGCATCACACTCACAAGTACGCACTGTTTGACGCTAACAAGTATGCATGGCATCACACTCACAAGTACGCACTGTTTGACGCTAACAAGTATGCATGGCATCACACTCACAAGTACGCACTGTTTGACGCTAACAAGTATGCATGGCATCACACTCACAAGTACGCACTGTTTGACGCTAACAAGAATGCATGGCATCACACTCACAAGTACGCACTGTTTGACGCTAACAAGTATGCATGGCATCACACTCACAAGTACGCACTGTTTGACGCTAACAAGTATGCATGGCATCACACTCACAAGTACGCACTGTTTGACGCTAACAAGTATGCATGGCATCACACTCACAAGTACGCACTGTTTGACGCTAACAAGTATGCATGGCATCACACTCACAAGTACGCACTGTTTGACGCTAACAAGTATGCATGGCATCACACTCACAAGTACGCACTGTTTGACGCTAACAAGTATGCATGGCATCACACTCACAAGTACGCACTGTTTGACGCTAACAAGTATGCATGGCATCACACTCACAAGTACGCACTGTTTGACGCTAACAAGTATGCATGGCATCACACTCACAAGTACGCACTGTTTGACGCTAACAAGTATGCATGGCATCACACTCACAAGTACGCACTGTTTGACGCTAACAAGTATGCATGGCATCACACTCACAAGTACGCACTGTTTGATGCTAACAAGTATGCATGGCATCACACTCACAAGTACGCACTGTTTGACGCTAACAAGTATGCATGGCATCACACTCACAAGTACGCACTGTTTGACGCTAACAAGAATGCATGGCATCACACTCACAAGTATGCATTGCATCATCTCACTCACACGTATGGCATCACATTCACTAGTATGCATTCTTGTGTCACACTCACTGTCATGCATCTCCTCACTTTCTAACTTCCTCGACCTTCCTCTCTTCATCTCTCACCCCAGTGTTGTGCTCTCTCTTCCACTTTTCCCTCCCCGTCCATCACCCACCTTCCTCTCTCCCCCTCAGTGCTGTGCTCTCCCCTGCCAGCCATGCCCATCTTCCCTGACCAATTCCGTGTAACCACCTACAGAGCTGGTTACCACTCCTCAGACGCCCTATCGATCTGCAGTGTACGTCTCTCACTCACCCCGATTAAACGCCGCGTCTGAAGCCTCTCATACTATGACGCATCTGAAGGCTGTCATGCTATGACGCATCTGAAGGCTGCTATGACGCATCTGAAGGCTTTCATGCTATGACGCATCTGAAGGTTCTCAGGCTGTAGCACGTCTGAAGGATCTCAAGCTTCGTAGCTCATAGAATGAGGCCAGACAGCTGGCTCTCGAGGCACCTGCAACCGTTGAGTATCTTTCGTCATCGTCCACTCCAGCCATGTTCTTTAAACTCCAAGCCACGGCTGTTCCTGTGCTTGATTCATCTGACGAGACGCCACATGTAATGCAATGCATATGCATACTTGAGAGTGTGACCCAACACGTGTGTACCGTACACCCGCACTTCCTTCTCCACCTCTCCACCTTTCCCCCACCTCCCTTCCCCTCATCCACAACCCCACCCCATCTCCATCCCCACCCCATCCCCCTTTCTTGTTACAGCCGCACTCATCCCTTGAGATTGTGAGTGCAACCAATCTGCCTGTGCTGTTCGCCTGCAAGTCTGCCAGCACGAGGGGAGTAGCGTCTCCAGGAATGGGTGAGAAGCAGGGGATAGCAGCAGCGCATGCAGCACGAGAAGGGATTGGGGTGAGGTGGACAGTGATGAGAGATAAGCTAGGGAGGCTGCAGCAGGAGAGGATGGGGGAGGGGCAGGAGGAGGAGAAGGTGAGGGGGGAGGAGGGGCAGGTGGAGCTAGGAGAGGTAGACAGGCGAATCATTCTATCCAAGGGTGGTGTAGCAGCGAAGGAAATGGCCCAGGTGAGGGAAGGGGGTTTTTCTCAAAGTGAAAGCAAAGCGCGAGTTCAAGGGGTTGGGCGAGGGCAAGAACTAGGGACAAATGCGCCGAGGATTGAAGGAACAGGGAGGGAAAGTCCCGGAACGGAGGGAGCAGGGATTGAAGGAGCATGGAGGGAAGGAGCAGGAGGAGCAGCAGCAGAGAGGAGCTCAGCAGCTAACAACCCAACAAAGTGGCTCATATCACGAGTCATGAGCCAGCACAAGAGCCACGAATATGTATGTACGTGCTGCTGTGACCTTTCAGTCCACTCTCAAGTCACCTCATTTCACAGCCGGCCCTCCCTTCCCCCCCTTCCCCGCCCCCTCCCTCCTCCTGTCGAATAACTATTACAAATTTCTCCAAAGACCTATTGATAAAACTGTAATTTCTTTCCTTCAACCCATGCCCCTCCCTCCTATCCCCACCTCTCCGCCCCCATTTCCCCACCCCTTCCCACACCCTTTCCACCCCTCCTCAACCGGATGTGGACATGTTCCTGAGATGTCGATCATTGAGTAGATGAAAATACCCTCCTTCCCCAACCCCCCGCTTTCCTCCCCAAAGCAGCTGTGGGAGAGATTCCTCAAGTCCACTCGTGCGGACTTTTCGGGACTGCAGAGGCACGTGGTGGACGTGGGCATGCAGATGGAGCAATTGCGGGAGGAGAACCAGAGGCTCAGGGAGGCGCTGCATCAACAGCAGCAGCAGGTATGGGAGACAGAGGGGGGCAGGCTACAGGTAGGTGCTGCATTCGTCAAGTTTGATGATTTCTAGTTTCAGATGACTGTGCAATGCCTGTTCAATGGAAAGGATGACACGCGGGTTTTGAGACGTCTCAAAATCAGATGACTGTGCAATGCCTGTCACATGGAAAGGATGACACGAGGGTTCAAAGGGACTTGGCAGTTGGTATTGAGTCAGAATGCTGTTGCCACTTGGGGAGCGCAGCTGCTCTAGAGCCACAATGCAGCTGCTGCAGCAGTCTTTAGTTTCACGCACGATTACTACCAACATTCACTGACTCAACTTGCCTTGCACCGAGCCATGTTTTGCGTTCTCAAACTCCACCCTCTCCCTGTCCGCCGCTGCTACCTCCCAGTCTGCACAGGTCTTGGCGGTGTGGGAGGGTGTGGGGGAGGAGGAGGAGGAGGCACAGGCGAGGGAGGAGGTGCAGCGAGAGCTCTGGGAGGAGAACAACCAACTACGAGCTTCTCATGCTTCTGAAGCCTGCGCGGATTCTGAGGCACCTCAAGAAGCATTGCTGGGAGGGAGCAGCGACCTGAATCCTTCTGAAGCTTCAGAGGCTTCTGAGGCTTTAAAGGCTTCAGAGGCTTCTGAGGCTTTAAGGGCTTCAGAGGCTTCTGCGACTTCAGCGGCTTCGGAGGCCTTAAATGTGGGTCGAAGGGCACTCGGGAGAACCGGGAGCTGCGGGAGAGGGTGGAGGAGAGGGAGAGGGCTGTGAGGGCGGCTCAGAGCACTTCGGACGCTCTCGCCAGTGAGCTGGTGAGTGGTCCGTCTGTGGAGAATTGGGGTTATTTATTCGGTATGCGCTTGCTCGTTTCTACACTGATAAAAAAATCGCCGGAGACGCTCTCGCCAGTGAGCTGGTGAGTGGTCCGTCTATGGAGCATTGGTGATAGTTGGCATGCGCTCCTCACCCCTTCCCACCATAGCCCTTTTCAACACTTTTTTCCTCACCGCTCCGCCCCTTCCTCTCTCCCCCAACCCCTGCAGGCAGCAGCACAGTCCCAGTTGTCAGCAGCGCAGCAGCAGGCGCAGGGGGAGAGGGAGGGGCGGCAGAGGCTGGCAGGGGAGCTGGAATCCATGCAGGCGCTGCTGCTGCAGCAGATGGAGATGGTGGCGGAACAGAAGGAGCTCATTGGAAGGCTCCTCGAGCGACAGCAGCAGCAGGCTGACGTTTTAGAGCCAGGAGGGTCAGGGACTGTGGGCCCAGGGTCAGGGGAATCAGGGGCAGGGGAATCAGGGATAGGGGAATCAGGGGCAAGGGAATCAGAGGCAGGGGAATCAGGGATAGGGGAATCAGGGATAGGGGAATCAGGGATAGGGGAATCAGGGATAGGGGAATCAGGGATAGGGGAATCAGGGATAGGGGAATCAGGGGCAGGGGAATCAGAGGCAGGGGAATCAGGGATAGGGGAATCAGGGATAGGGGAATCAGGGATAGGGGAATCAGGGATAGGGGAATCAGGGATAGGGGAATCAGGGATAGGGGAATCAGGGGCAGGGGAATCAGAGGCAAGGGGATTAGGGGCAGGGGGTTCAGAGTTAGTGGGGTCACAAATAGGGGGTTCAGAGTTAGTGGGGTCACAAATAGGGGGTTCAGAGTTAGTGGGGTCACAAATAGGGGGTTCAGAGTTAGTGGGGTCACAAATAGGGGGTTCAGAAGCAGTGGGGTCACAAATAGGGGGTTCAGAAGCAGTGGGGTCACAAATAGGGGGTTCAGAAGCAGTGGGGTTAGGGAGAGAGGTTGAGGATTGCGAGAGTAGAAGCAAGGGCGATGGGGATGGGAGGAAGCGAAAGGATAAGAAGGAGAAGAGGGAGAGGAAGGAACGGAAGGAGAGAGAGAAGCAGGAGAGAAAGGAGAGGGAAAAACGGGAGGAGCGGGAGAAAGGGGATGATAGGGAGGAGAGGGAGGATAGGGAGGAGAGGGATGAGAAGGAGGGGAGGGATGAGAAGGAGGGGAGGGAGCAGGAGCAGACGGATTGCCTAGACAGGGAAGGTGCTAGAAGGGCAGAATTGGAAGGAGTTCTGAGGAGTGCAGATGGCAAAGACGAAGGCAACAGGTGTGCTGAATCATGTGGTGCGGACTGTGGTGAGGGAGAGCGAAGCAGAGGCGGAGCAGAAGAGGCAGCCTCAGCTGTGGGGAGAAGGGAGGGAGAGCACAGAGATCCTCGGGATAATGAGGTTCGGAGAATTCTGGAAGGCAGGGCGGATGGAGATGTGGCAGGCGGGGGAAGGGATGGGGAAGCCGGTGACAACAACAAACGGGTGAGTGGGCCTGCAATCGCCAAGTGAAGCTGGTGGGTTTGGAGCTGAAGTCGGCAGGTAGTCGGGAAGCTGAAGCGGGCAATCAGAGAGCAGGCGAGGAGATGTAGTGAAACAGATCGAGCTGGATCCAGGCCATCCCATAGCCATATTTTGTTGCTTACGTGGAAGCGTGATGTTTTGGCGAGGTGCATCAGTAACGCTGGTATTGAATATGGTGATACAGCCTACAATACAGCGGCTGTTAAATCCATGAGGTGGTGGCAATAGGAATCTGCTAGCAAGAAGAATCTGTCAATATGTGGCAGCAACAGCAACAGCAGCTTCTATAACAGGTTTCAGGCCACACATGAGGTGGCACCAACCAGTTGGCACAAAATCTAACCAGCAATGCACAAAGAGAAGGGATCTTCTGAGTCGACTCGGTGCTGCTGCTCCCCCACACAGCTGGCTATTTCCCCCTCTCCTCCAATGCTCCCATGGCTGCCTCTCTGGCTGCGCGGTAGGCTGAAAAGACGGCTGCCAGCTCGCCTTCCTGAGCAAAGGATGCACCCTCTGTGAGCAACCCACCTGGAAGGACCCAGGATGGGTGAATGGGAGAGATAGGCACGATGAAGCTGGAGTGGAGAAAGCAAGGTTGCGTGCTAATGTGCAAAATCCCAACAACGAGGGGATGTGAACATGGGTTGGAAGAGTGTGTGTTGCTTGGATGCTGCAGAGATGCCGTACATCCAGCAGGGAGATTCTGAACACACACCTCAATTTTGTCCATCAGGGGGATTCTGAACAAATTCACAAGCTCCCGACTAGTAGCTCCTGAGCTGCTGCAGGAAGATTACCTTTGGAAGCGTCTTAGACACAGAATTCTCACAAGCTTATTTTTGAGTCGACTCAAAAATCGACTCACTACACGCGTCTTAGACACAGAATTCTCACAAGCTTACGATACTCACATGCTTTGAGTCGCTGGAGGGAGTTGTCATAGAGCCAGCATGCTGCATCGGCCTGCTCCACATCCAGTGCCTCTGCCTGTGAGAGAGGCACGTGGGGCACACAGGGACATGGGGCGCACAGAGAGGAGTGATCAACAAGCAAACAAGCATGCATGCATGCGTGCTCCACACATTATTGTCACAGCAGACAGGTGTGGTGAGGCGGTGAGGAGATGAGGCGAGGTGGGGCGAGGCAAGGCAAAGAGAAGGCCAGGTGAGGATTGAGAGGCTGTGCAGGTGACAGGTGCGGTCGATGGCGGAATGTCAGGCGCCAAAACATCTTACAGCATCAGTCTGGATGTGGCGTTCGATGGGAAGATGGGCAAATAACCTGGTGGGGATTTGAATGGGCAGGCCAAAACAGGTAGTAAGAGGAGGATGAGCGCATGCAGACTGAAAGTGTCATGGCAGTACCACGGATTGCTTCCACCCAAGAGAAAGTAGCAGCATTTTCACACCAAAAAAAAAAAAAAAAAAAAAACACTGTCCTTCCCTCCCCCTTCCCTCGCCCAACCCCACCTCCCCTCCATCTTCTCAAAACTTTATGTCATGAATCTCACCGCCTTGCCAACCCTGCCTTCTGCTCACCGCCTTCCAGTCATGCACTCTGCTCTGCTGCACACTACTCTGCAGCTGATTTTCCAGCAACACTCCTCCCCCCAGTCCGTCCCCTAACCTTCCAACACACAACACCCCCGCACCCACCCGTGCCACTCACTTCCGTTTCATCACTCGCAACTGCTGCTCCACCAGCCTTCTCGCCTGCCCTGCCCTCTGCTGCAAGCCCGCCTGCAGCTGCTGCGGCAGCGGCACCGCCCCCACCACAAACGCAGACGTGAGAGGAGCGGGAGTAATAGGGGAGGAGGAGCAGGAGGCAGGGGGAGGAGCAGAGGGACGGGAAAAGAGTGGACCAAAGAAGAGAGCTTGCAGAGCAGCAACGGCGTCCCATGTCTTGTGATGGGGTGCCTCTTGAGCAAAGAGGAGCAAGAGACGAAGGGAGTATGCAAGGGAGACGGGTGGGGGAAGGAGGTTGGAAAGTTGGGAGGGCAGGAGGGATATGTGTAAGGAGATGCAGGGCAGTGGCCGCATCTCATGTCCTGTGGTGGGGGGACCCTTGGGCAAAGAGGAGCACGAGGATAAGAGAATCTAAAAAGGAAAATGGGGAGAAGAGGGGAAGGGGGTGTGGGAATGGAAACCTAGTGGGATAGAATGTTTGGAAGACTGCGGTGGAATGGAATCTTGTCTTCGTGGTATCAGAGCAACGGACACGGACGGAAACCTCGTTAAAAGAACGGGCAGGGTAGTCTCACCAAGGGGCAGGTAGATGAGGGTGGGCGGATAGGGCGCACTGCGCTGCGAGTGGAAGAGGCAGTAGAGAATAAACACTGCCCCTGCTGCTGCCAGCAGGCGTCCCCCCACGAACACACGACCCTCCTCCCCCCTCTCCCTGTCCTCCCCTCTCTCCCTGTCCTCCCCTCTCTCCCGCTCCTCCCTTCTGTCCTCCTCCTCCCCTCTGCCCCCCCCCTCCCCCGCACCCCCCTCCCTCGCTCCTTGCCCTTCGGTATGTGGCACAGCCCCTGCTGCTTCACGCGCTGCATCTCCGCCCGCAGCGCCACTATCAGCAGGAGCGGCAGAAGGAGCAGCAGGGGCAGTACCGGGTGCAGCGGCGTCAGGGGTGCGATGGGTGGAGGAGGCATGGAAGCCGGAAGGCACAGCCTGCAAGAACCCTGCAGCGACGTCAGTCAGTGCGAGGCATCTGGAGCCGGAAATGCATCACGCAGACACACGGACACATGAATTTTGAGTTGACTCAAGAGTCAGCACGGCACGGCACAGCCTGCAAGAACCCTGCAGCGACGTCAGTCAGTGCATGGCGTCTGGAACCGGAAATGCGTCACACAGATGGACAGATGGTCTCACCCAAGGAAAGGTCCGCTTCCCAGCACCTAACCTAATGCCATTTTGAAACCTCGCCAAATGCCGTTCTGACACCTCAGCAAATGCCGTTCTGAAAGCTTACCTAGTGCCCCTCTGACAGCTCACCTAAGGCCGCTCGAGCAGCTCACCTAAAGCCGTCCCGTAGAGCAGCTGCAGGAAGCGGCGCGGGTCGATGTCTTTGGGGCACGCGTCATGAACAAAGGAGAAGCGGCGCGCTCGCCACACGGCTTTGAACGCCGCCAGCGACGGATCACCGCGCTGCGAACGGGGACATAGACGCTGCAGCTTTATCAAGGAGCGTTATTGAACTATGAAGGCGGGAAGCGGTGCGGATGCTGGTTAAATATCTTGCCACATAGTCAAACGTTCATATGAAAAGGCCGCCGGGAACCTACTACCTACTACATACCTTCACATAGTCGCGCAACAATTCCTCAACGTCGCGCACGTATCCCGGCACCGCCACTTCCTCCTCCTCCTGCTCCTCCTCCATCGCCGCACCGATGCTAGCGGAGTGGCTACAGTGGCCTGGCCGCGTGAAACGGGGGGGGAGTGGAACGAGAAAATGGCGGCGTTTTGCGTTGCTTGCTGACTGCTTTGTGGAGTACTCCCTTTTACGGCGAACGTCATATTAGGTGTACAGAATTAACGCGAGTACTGTAATTGAACTATATTATTAAATCCAGTTGGTTTGTGCAGATAGCGAATCACAGTGAGGGGCTTGGGGAGGGGGAGGGGGTTGTTGGGGGGCGAACGATTTTTTTTGGGAGGGTGCGCGCGCCAAGTTCTGCAAGGGAAGAGCGCACCAGGCGGAGGAGGAATGTGTAATGTAGTGGGCCCGCAGAGGAATCCATGCGCGCATGAACAGACGACAATCCAGAAGCGCTGGGGCGAATCATCGAGCATTCTTGCTTAGCTTCTGACACGTGCCAAGCAGCTCCCAGATGGCCGTTGCCCTCCAGTTGATCCAGCGGGCAGCATGGCTCCTGACCGTAAACCCTCGTCATTGGTTGTCAACGGGAAAAGGTAAGCCGTGGTGTGATATTTCTGCGTCAGACAACATCGTTGTGGATAGGGGCTCCGCTTTTCATGTGGTCCAGATTTGTTTTCGCGTCAGTTGTGGGGTCGAACGATGATGTGGCGTGGGTGGTGAAAACATCGCTCCACTGCCTTTGTCTGAGGTCAGGAGTTGTTGTGGGGTTGGATCAGCGTTCTTGAAGTTCGGACACTAGCCAGGGTGTACAACACCTATTCGTCCTGAGAATCATCAACCCCGAGGGTAGTTTATCCAAATGAAACGGAAGCGAGTCTCTCTTCGCAGTACAACAAATTGGCGCCTCGAGTTAATTACTACCCTCCAACACATGCAGAAGAAATCTGAAATCTGTACTCTTGAAGATATAAAATGCTCACATAATATGTCCAAACTTCAATGGTGGGTAAATACAAAACCGCCATCCAACTTCGGCACTGCACTGCCAGTATATTGCACCAACAGAGCAATCCCTTGCATTGCATCCCTTTTTTTCCCGCAGCGCCCCAATGCAGCCTACAGCATCTACCCTTTCCACCCGATGTGAGACTTGCCGAGAAGTATTTGTAGTAGTTATTGGTTCCAGAGGGTTCAGAGTACGTGTTCATTCAGATGCCTGCTCTTTCAAAATGAGTAAAACAAGGGGTTTTTTGGAGTACCTGTCTGGTAGGATAACATGAAGGATAACTACCCGTAAATTACACAACATTCAGCCCCAAAACAGCGAGCCGAAGCCACGGTTTGTTTTCCGCGATATTTACTCATCTCCCGAAAAAGCGTCAAACTTTCTGAACTGCCTACTGGAAAAAGGCCCATCCCGAAGATATTTCCGGTCAGAATGCGTGCCTGGTTTCCGGCTTTCCCCATCTTTGTGATGATCCCCGTGAGCCGTTGCTTGTTGGCTTGGTAGCAGAGCAGAATTGCTGGCAGGTCGGGTCAGGACTTGGAATCGCGGCACTCCGACCCAGGAGGACCACCTGGCAAGTGAAGGGTTTCTTAGGGCTGCTGCTCAGATGCGCTGTTGTTTTGCTCTAACTGAATGGCTCCAGCTTGAAACCAACCTGATAGATGCGTCGTGCGAGAGAAAGATACTCAGAGTTGAGAGGATTGCAAGCCACTCAAGTCACAAATAGAAGCTCAATCCGCAGAACGAAACCCCCGCTCAGGCAGCTCACTCTGTAATGAGAGATCAGGCGTTAGCGTCAACCTTCATAGCTGTTCAGTGGTGTTCTTTGCTGGCTTGTGAAGATCATACAGTAGCGACATTCTAGTACGTAATTCGGCTGGTCGACAGAGTCTGCATTCGCTAATTCTTGCAAACCGACCATTTCCCGCATCCATACGAAGTCGTTAAGTCACCACGGTGCTCCTAGACACAATAGACATGCTAGATTCCTCGGGTCGGCCGCTGCTGCTGCAGCAACAGCAGCAGCCGCAGCAGCAGCCTCAACCACAGCAGCCGTCGCAGCAGCAGCGTCCATGTGACGTGGCGACGTTTCAGCGGAGCAGCGTCCACATACTGTTGTCGGATAAGGACAGCGATTCGCGTAGCAGCGTGTTGGAGCTGCTCCGAAGCTGTTCATACCAAGGCAAGCCATCTACTCCACATAGTCCTAGCCCATTGTGACAAGGAGGGTCTTCGACATGATGAGAGACGTCAATCGGCCCGCCATTGCACTTTCCGAGCGACAGCTTTTGATGTGCGGAGTCGTGCCTTCCTCTTTGAGCCGTGCCTTAGCAGTCGTATACCTTTATCTTCCGTCCATGCCTTCTTCTGACGCTGGTTCCCTTCCTCCCGACTCCCAATCCTCCCGAAATTCCTCCAGTGACGGCTGTGGAGAACGCTCGGTCAGCGCTGCAGCTGCTTCGGTCCGGCACGGCGGCGATCGACCTAATTCTCGCGGAGGTGGAGCTGCCGAACGGCAAGGGCATGAAGATGCTCAAGCTTATTGCGCGCGAAGAGCGCCTACGGAAGATACCGATAGTCAGTGAGTGCATGGCGGCCGGATGATGGCTGTTTAATTGTCTCTCAAACACACGGAATTGTATGCGTCGGTCCTTCAGCTATCTTTCTCGATGCTTTCTTCTGGATTTCCCTGCTGCATGCATTGTCATTTCTCTCCGCGAGAATTTTCTCGTAATTCCGCGGACTCTGTCCTCATGCTGTTCCGTTTTGTGCTAATATCCGCGCTATTATCGCACTCTCGTTTATCCCTGCGTGCGTCATCAGTGATGTCGGCGCGCGATGAGATGGCCATTGTCGTGCGCTGCCTGCGTCTCGGCGCGGCGGATTTCCTCGTGAAGCCATTGCGGACGAACGAGCTCCTCAACCTCTGGACGCACATGTGGCGCCGCCGCCGATCGGTGAGTCATGCGTTTTGAGTCGACTCCGATGTGGTAGCTTACGCGTTTCATTCCGTATCACCGGTACTCTTTTATTCCGCGTTTGGTTGTAAACATCCGTACAGACGTGTCGTGTGTTTATCGCGATACCCAGCCGTTGTTCAATTCAACGTGTTCCCCTTCCCTGCGATGTTCGCATGACATGGGTGGCGCTCATGGCTCCTTTTTCGCCAAGCAGGCGTCTTGCAAGGTGCGCGCCAACGCTGTCGCCTGTGCTTCACACATGCTGTTGAAACAGCCCATTTGCTCCTTTCTTGTTTTTCTCACTCGGAGCACCCTCACCCTATGCGTGCAACTTCGCGTCATATTCCCTCATCTCTCCCTGTCGCTATCTCTGATGGGCACCACATGCGCATTCGTACGCGCAATAGCACTGCCCGCTAACGACTCCCATGTGCGCTCTTTCTCTTTCAGTTCGGTCTGACGGAGCGGCCGCAGAACCTGGTGCCTGTGAGCATGAACGACCTGCCACACGACTTCGTGTTCATCGACACGAGCGAGTCGAACACGGGCACTGGCAGCACGGACCTGTTTTCTGATGAGACAGACGAGATTCGCCGCAGCAGCACGCAGCAGCTGCAGCACCAGCAGCTGCAGCTGCAGCTGCAGTTGCAGGAGCAGCAGGAGCAGCAGCAGCAGCTTCAGGAGTTGGAGCAGCAGCAGCAGCAGCAGCAGCTGTTGTTGCAGCAGCAGGAGCAGTTGCAGCAGTGGCGGCAGGTGCATCAGGAGGAGGATGTGGAGCAGTGGAGGCAGGAGCAGGAGCAGGTGTTGCGACAGGAGCATCGGCAGCAGGAGCTTTTGTTGCAGAAGCAGCAGGAAAAACAGAAGCAGCCGCCGCACGAACAACAGCACGAGCAGCAACAGCAGCAAAAACGGCAGAACGAGCTTCTGCGACAACAGCAGCAGCCGCAGCAACAGGAACAACAGGTGCAGGCGCAGCAAGAGCAGAAACAGAAGCTAGCGGTTGAACAGAGCGGGCAGGCTGAGCAGATTCGAGCACATCAGGTGCGCATGGGGGAAAGGAACCCGGTTGCCAGAGGGAAGGCAGCAGAAGCGGCAGCAGCAGCAGCAGGCTATGGTGGAGGAAGGCAAGGTCCAGTCGACAAAGAGTCAGGCGCGCAGGGTAGTAGTCGCAGAGACGCACAGACGAAGCAGGGGGGTGGTGTTGCGCGCAGAGAGCAAGTGGCGCGCGCACAGGCGGAACCAGAAGAGGGGAGAAAGGGAGGCGGAAGGGGGGGCGGAGGAAGGGCGATGGCGAAGGGCGGGGAAGAGAAGGATGAGGAGGTGTGGAGAGGGGTGAGGAGGGGAGGTGAACGGGGAAGAGTTGGGGAGGGAAATAAGGCGGTGAGAGAAGCATGTGAGGCGGTTGCCTCTAGGCGCTTGAGCGTGGATGATGCGGTTGGGAGCGGTGGAGTGCAGCAGGCAGGCGATGCTGGGCGAGATGAGGATGAGCATGCGAAGGGGGTGGCACACGAGGTGCAACAGCTGGGGATGGCAGGAGGACAGGCAATGGGTGTCAAGAATGACGGTGCTGCTGGTGCTGCTGCTGCTGATGATGATGTTCGTGCTGCTAGTGGGTGTGGTGATTGCGTAATGGAGAGAGGAATGGGCGACCCAAATGAGGGGATACAGCCCTGTGAAGCGGATGCAAGGGCTCGCCAGGTGAGCTTCTATTCCATATGTGACACGCAATGAGCTCTCGACTGCTGTGTATTCTTTTGAAGACTCATATATTCCTCATTGCTGCTCGTTTTCGCCGTCTGCTGGCTGCAACAGATGCCCTGGTGCCGTATTTCTTTTACCTCCACTCATTTGCAAAACGTTTCCTCCTTTTCCCGCTTTTCCACCATCTGCTGATTGACAATCAATATCCCGTGTTTCTCCTCTCCTGCCTCCCCCCTTGCGTCATCCCTGCAGCCATCACCGCACCTGGAGCTCTCTCTCATGCCGCCTCTCACTCGCCGGCTGCTCCCTCCGCCCTTCCTCCCTCCTCCTCCTCCTATGCCTCCTGCAATCAACACTTCAGCAGCGCTCGCCTCCTCTACTTCCTTCAACCCATCCCTGCTTGCCTGCTCTCCGTTCACCGGCGCTCCACTGCTCTCCTCTGCAGCCCCAGTCAACGCCTTGTTGGGCCCATCCGCACCTGCTCTCAACGCCTCGTTGCTCGCTTGCTCCATAAATCTCAGCTCGCTTGCCGCTATCACCACGCCACCAGGTAAGCCGCTCTTTGCATCAATTGAAACAATGTGCATTAGGCACCGTTACTATCCTCACTGTTCCTCTTGAATAGAATGGGTATTTCTTCACCTGCTCACCCTCTGAGTCTATTTTGGGCCTGTCCTTCCAATATCCTTCTTCATTCAGTCCCTCTCTTTTTTCCCTGTCAATGCGCACCTTGTTCAGGTGCATCTGCGACTGTTGGGGGGCTGCCAGCAGCACGCTTTTCTCTCTCTGCCACAGCCGCTGCCCACTCCTCCGCTACTCATGCTGCCCTGCCCGAGGTGACAACAGCACCAGCAGCAGAAGCAGCAACAAGGGCAGAAGAAGCAGCAGCCGCCGCAGCAGCAGCAGCAGCAGTAGACGGTTGCACAGCAGCAGGAGGCGTGAGGTCACTGCTGCCAGCGCTGGTATCTGCGAGCACTCTTGCACTCTCTGCTGCACCAACCGCTGCAGCACCAGCAGCACCCGTGGCGGTGGGGACCGCTTCTCCCACGGACCTTGCGCTGAGTGCGTCTCTCGTGCGTCCGCAGCCCCTGCATTCGACACCACATGACAAGGGCCTCACTCAAGACAACTCCTTGCCACTTCTCACCGCCCCACCCCTGCCGTCCGTTCCCTCTGCCCCTGGTCTGCCTTGGCTTCTCGGCTCGATACCAGGGCCCAGGGGTCCTAGTACTTCCATGCTCCGCCCCGCGTTTCTTGCCCCACTGCCTGCCGCTGCTGCTGCGGCTGCTGCTGCTGCTGCTGCTGCTGTTTGTGCTCCTGCAGCCGCTGTTGCCCCTGCCACTGGCGCTGCTGCTGGCGCTGTTGAGGGTACCGGCGCTGGTGCTGGTGCTGGTGCACATGCTCTTGCTCCAGCTGGCCCCAGAGTTGGTGGTGCTGCTGTAACTGAGGCATGCGGTGACGCTGCTATTGGTTCTGCCACTGCTGCAGGTGTCAGTGCGAGTGGTGCCAGTGCCGGTAGAACCAGTGCCGCTGGTTTTGGTGTTGCAGGTGTTGTTGGTTGTGCCGGTGGCCCAGACGCGAGTGCGGCTGCGGTTGCGGCTGCTGGCACACGCGCGGCCCTTTTCAAGCAGGGGCTCTTCAGCGCCCTCCTCGCCTCACCAGATGCTCCCCTGCAGAGCTCCGCAAGCCACAGGGACGGTGCGGGCTGTGGTGCAGGACGCGGCAGTGGAGGGCGAGGAGGTGGGAAAGGGGAGGGGGAGATTGAGGATGCAGAGGCGGGAGTAGAGGCTGAGGGAGGGCGCTGGGCGGGAGAAAGGGTGATTGGGCAGGTGGAAGGATCTGGGGAGACAGGCAGGGAGGGCGACGTTGTTCTTGGAGCAGCATTAACGCCCATAGAAGCAACAGGCGCAGGTGCAGGTGCGGGTGCAGTAGCAAGAAAAGCAGAGCCCCCGCCCCCCATCTCGCTGCACTCACTGCACAAACCGCCTACGCCAGGCGGAGACCTGAGAGGCGCGGCAGGTAGATAGTCCGCCAAAGCACCCACCACTGCACGAGGCAAGGACGGCTTTCCTGCAGGGGCATCTGGGGGAGGTGGTGCGCCAGGCAGCGGGGGAAGCAGAACTGGAGGCGGAAGGGGGGCGAGTCTAGGGGGAACGGGGCGAGGCGAGGTGGCTCAGCAGCTGCAGGCGCTGCAGGCACAGGACATGTGCGGCAATGGCTGTGGCAGCAGCAGCCGTGCTACTGACTACACTGCGCACAACCACCCTGTGGCACCGATGCACGCAGGCACCCTTGCCAGTGCTGGCAGCAGCATGACCGGCGGACAGCTGGCGTCGTCCAATTGGTGGGGCAGCACCGGCACCGGCACAGGCATGGGCACAGGCATGGGCATGGGTGAAGGCATGGGGACAGGCATGGGCATGGGGACAGGCATGGGCACAGGCATGGGCACAGACATGGGCACGTGCATGGGGTCTGCTTGGGACAGCAGCTCGATGTTTGGGACAGCACCTGCCGGGCCAACCAGCACCACGCCTGGCATTGATGGCTTCACTGCTGCTGCGGCTGCTGCAGCTGCTGCTATGGCAGCTGCCACTGCTGCCACTGCAGCCCCGTCCTCCTCCCACCCGTTCGCAGGGCTCCTTCCCAACCAGCCTGCTGCCCCTCATCCATTCGCCTCCCACTCCTTCTCCCACCCTCTGCAATTCCTCAACTTCCACGCCCCTCACACTCTCAACCAGGACTTACAATTCCCCGCTGACTCCCTGAACCCCCCATCCTCCTCGCTCATCCCCTTTCCATGCACGCTCCCTCCATTCGCCAGTCACATGCAAGCTCAGCAGCAAATGCTGTCTCAGGGCCAGCAGCAGAACCTGCCATCCCCGTTTCAGCACCTGCCGGCACATATAGCAGCCGCCGCTGCTGCTGCCACTGCCGCAGCAGCAGCCTCCGGTCTCCCCCCGCAGCACCCGCTAACCCAGTCCCTTGCTGCCGCTGCCGCTGCTGCTGCCGCCATGCCGTCAGCAACCCTGCCCTCACCTGGAACTTACCTGGGAAACCACCTGACGCAGACCCCCCAACTTAACCACCCGCAGCATCACTCCCACCCATTTTTTGCTGCTGCAGCAGCAGCAGCAGCAGCAGCCTTCCCGCACCTCTCCCCAGAAGCTGCTGCAGCGGCTGCGGCTGCTACAGCTGCTGCTACTGCCAACCTGCACATGTCAACTGGCATGTCCGCCCTTCCCCTTCCTGCTCCCCCATCAACCCATTCTATGTTCTCGCATGACCTGCAAGGGACCAGCAGCGCAGGACCCCTGCCCCCAACCTCCACAGCAGCAGTAGCCTCGGTGCAAGCCATGCCCATCCTTCCTCACAACCCCTTCTCCTTATTCTCTGCAATCTCCCCTCCCCAGCCGTCCCTTGCTGGGCCGGGGGTCCTACACCCTGGCACACAGCCAGGACACCTTGCTGACATGGCGGCGGGTGCATCCTTTCTGGCAGCAGGTGCGGGAGGGGATGGTGGGGTGGCGGGTTACCCCTGGCCGGGGCAGGCGGGGGGATTGCATTTCTCTGCGGCGTCAATGGCTGCGGCAGCGGCTGCTGCTGCAACAGCTGCATCAGGTGGAATGGGGTTGTGCGGAGGAGGAGAAGCAGGTGGGGGAAATGTGGGAGGTGGTGTTGGTCCAGGGGGAGTGGGGGTGCAGGTGGAGAGGCGAGTGGAGATGTATGATAGGAGGGAGGCAGCTCTGTGCAAGTTTAGGCAAAAGCGCAAGGATAGGTGCTTTGAAAAGAAGATTCGGTATGTGAGCCGGAAGCGGCTCGCAGAAATGAGGCCAAGGGTGAAAGGGCAGTTTGTGAGGCAAACCGGTGGTGGGGCAGGTACATCAGGGATGGGGAGGGATGAGGAAATGGAAGAAGATGAGGAGGAAGAGGAGGATGGAGATGGTGGTTATTAGCAAGAGGTGAGCAGAACCAACATTGTATTGTCTAAGGATAGATGCCTCCGAATTGACAACCTTGTTACCTCAGCAGCAGTCATCTACCCAAAATATTTATTTGTTCGTTTGCCATGGCTTGCTTTAGAGTCTTTACTCTTTCTTTTATTCAACTGACTCGTTTTCAAAAACTGTTCTGTAACGGTACTACCAATGTGCATTTGTCTGCCATCTAATTCTGCTGATTGGCCCACGCGTTCACCATGTAAACCTCGCGAGCCAGCTTTGCTAGACGAAGCGAGTGGGTGTGGTTTCGGTGGGCCCTTCGCATCTGCCTCGAGTTCGCGGTCTCTTTCGTGACCACGTCATCGCTTCGCTGGTCCCATCTGCCTTGGTGGTCGCACGTGCCTATGCTGCCGTTTCGCACAAAGCGAAGATGCCTCCTCCCCTGCGATTGGTTGAAGTCCTTCGCATACTCGTTTGCTTGCCACTCGGTATAGCCAGCCTCGGGCTTACCTGTCTGCTGATTGGCATGGGCCACAGAATTGCGGAGGCCACCCTCCCCTCGAGCTCGCTCGCCACTCGGCGGCAATTTCGAGGTGGAGATTTTGCTGCTTGTCTGCCTCCCTTCCACCGATTCATAATCCATTGTTTGTCTTTCTTCTGTTTAGGAAGTTTGCTGTCTCCCTTCATTCCCTTCTGCCTGGTTCCCAGTTGAATGGTGTAAATGACGCAGCATTCAGTTCCAACTTCATTCCCTCTTAGTCTTTGAGCAACGAATTCTTCCATTCTCAGGGACAGACATTCAGACATTCCCACGGGAGAACTTGCGTATTCTATGAATCTTCTTTAGCGGAGCAGAGTCACCGCACTACTGATGAGAGCGTATCCGGAGCAGCTCTGTTCTATCCACAACATCACGAGTTCACTCGCAGAGAGCTAGATAGCTGAGGCTTGGTTAAGCGGCCTATTGGCAATAGCTTGTCATTCAAACAATCGGAATCGATTCAATTCACAATTGCCGCGACGTGAACGCCTCGCTGGAAATCAGCGCTCCTCCTGCCCCGTGCCATGGCTCTCTCACTGTCAGATATTCCCTTCGCCTCTCGCGCGACAGGAGCCGCCATTTCGGATTCAGTAACGCTCGGCCACGCGTCTTGCGTCGACATTCGCCTCGATGCCGCGTCGCTCTCTCTCACCCCGGCCGCACGACGCCTTCGCTGCTCTCGGCTCTCTGCCGGTCAGGCTACGATCCGTTTCAAGCCTCTCCGTCACGCTAACGGCAGCGGTGCTCGCGCGGAATCCGTTTCTGTCATTTCCGCCGCTTCTGTCCACTCCGTCGACAGCTCGTTATCAACAGCTCTTCCTGAGATTCAGTTTCCGTCACCGTCTCCCGTGTTACCGTCTGCTGCATCTGAAAGCGGAAGCAGACGAGGTGCGAAGAAAAACAGGCGAAAGGGTAGGAGAAGAACTGATGAGGCTCTGCGAAATGAGCGTGCCTGCGCCGGGGAAGGCGGAGTCAGGCCGACGAATTCGGGCTCCTCCGAATCGTCAGATGCGGCGTTTCTCGCGGCCCTCACGTCGCTAGCAGCTACTCCACTGAACGAGCAGGGGAACGTGCATGCACACGAGCAGGGACATGACGTGCACACCAGCAGCTCCGATGCAAGGCTAGCGGCTCTTCTCGGGAATGATTCAGCGTGGAAAACGGGGCTCACTGGGGCTGATTCGTCCCCCGAATCTGCTTCGTCGTTACGGCTCGGCGCCCATGCCAGTGACTCTGGTTCGGCTGGTGCAGCTGACGTGGCCGGCTCGGGGAAGGCGCCGCAGAATGCGGGTGATCCGTACGGGAAGAGAGTGCTGGGGCGAGCCGTGGTGCAGTGGATGTCGCGCGGGATTGCGCTGATGGCGCAGGACGTGGCGGAGCGGGAGGCGCGCGGAGAGGAGGGCTTGGAGGGGTTGGCTGCAGGCGGAAGCATGGCGGTGTTGGCGCTGGCGCACGATTACCTGCAGAGGTGAGCGATGCCATAGGGCTGAACTGAATACCCTGTGCTTGTTACTTCCCCTTGATGTTCAATTGGTGCGCTCATGGATGGAAGTGAGTCATTGTTGCGTCTCTTTCATTATTCACCCCCCTTCTCCCTTTCGTCTGTCTTCCTCCCTAACAGGGAACCAAAGACAGATGGCGAGCAGCAGCGGTGCCACGTGGCAATGAATCATTACCCCACGGTCCTGGACCACCTTCAGCGGGAGCTTCAGGCGGAGCTGAAGAGGCTACATGCTCAGCAGGCGAATACGGGGGAGCAGCAAGGCAAGCCTGCTGTGAAAGCATGGAACGAGAGTGCTTCGTGGAACCTTCTGAAACAGCTCATGCGATCTGACGAGCACCGCGCTACCATCCGCCAGCCAATCAGCTCTCTCGCCGCTTCCGCCACTGCCTCCCAGACGCGCCAGACAAACTTCGCCGCCCTCCTCTCCCCCTCCGCACTGCAAGCCGCCCAGCAGCGAATCAACGCCTACGTGGCAACGGCCACTGAGCTCCTCCAATTGGAGCGAGACGCTGAGCTGGACGCAGTCGCTGCTGAGGTCAGCAACACGCAGCCAACCCCCCCCTCCGATCGCCCAGACCCTGAAGCCATGAGCGAGAGTGCAAGAGAGAGGAGGAGGCGGAAGGAGCGAGGAGAAGTGGAGCGAGGGCTAGCGAGAGAGGGAGGTACCCTGACGGACTTAGTCGCTGTGGGAACGTCTACTGGGCTCTCCGGCGTGCATCTCATCACCCTCGCTTCCCCCAGCGCGGGTCTTCTGTCTGCCTCCACTCTCTCCCCTGGCGACGCCATATGTCTCTCCCCTGACTGGTCCAAATGCAGCCGCATCGGCAGTGGGAGCAAGGCTGAAGCACGTGCTGCTGCAGGAGCAACGGTGGCTGCTGTGTGCTACAGAGGGTATGTGCACGAGATGGGGGAGGATGGGCAGAGCCTCGTGGTTGCACTGGACGGGAAGCTTGGTGTGGGCAGCAGCAGCGGCACACGAAGTGGAGGGAGCACAAGTGGGTCGGAGAGTGAAGGGGAGGGCGGGAACAGTGGCAGCGGCAGTGGGAGAGGGGCGTCGTCGCCGCTGTATCTGCAGGAGCTGTTTGGCGTGGCGCTCAGAGTGCAGCGCATGTCGGGACTCGTGGACTTCACAACGTTCGAGGTGAGCCTCTTCTTGAGGCGCCTCAAGAGTTGAGAGCCTAGTGTGCACTGCTGCCTGCATCATCTCCTCCTTGCCTTGACCTCACTAGCCCCTTACTCACTTCATGCTGTTTTTTTCCATTCCATTGCACATATTCCCCCGCTCATGTCTTTCTCCCCCTCGTCTCAAATGCCCCCCACCCCGCCCATGCCTCCCGCCCATCCCCTAACATCCCCTGGCCTGGCAGCGCAATCGCGAGGCACTGGAGCGACTCAGATCGGCCGCGCTGAAGCCCAAGAGCCCTGCTCGCGCCGTGGCTGCTGCCCTCTTCGCTCCCCCCCGTGCTGCTGCCCCCGCATCAGCTACACCACCAGCATCAGCTGAAGCGTCTGGGATTTCAGCAGACAGCACGCCACCATCACTATCACCCGCCTCCCTGTCCTCCTCCCCGTCCTCCTCACCGTCCCCCTCCCCGTCCGCCTCTTCCTCCCATCTTTCGCCCTCCTCCCTCTCCTTCGATGCAAGTCAGCTAGCAGCCATTCATCTCGCCCTGGACCCTGCCCGCCCCGTGGTGGCCATCCAAGGCCCCCCAGGCACCGGCAAGACGTCCGTCGTCACTGAAATCATCAGCAGGGCAGTCAGAGAGGGGCGCCGAAGGGAGAGAACAGAGGAAGCGGAGAGGGAAGATACGGACATGCAGGGGGTTGACGAGGAGGAGGTGCTGGAAGGCAGTGGGGGAGTGCACGCTGGGAGGGAAGCACGGGAGGGTGCGAGGGCAAGGAAGAAGCAGCAACATACGAAGAAGCATCGGGTGCTGGTGTCAGCTCCCACCAATGCAGCAGTGGACGTGCTCGTGGAGCGCCTCGCCTCCCAAGGCCTGGGAGTCGCTCGGGTAGGCAACCCCATGCGCCTCTCCCCGGCCGTCACCCCCTATTCCCTGGACCACCTCGTGGCCGCCCGCCTGCGCTCCTTCCACCGCGACGTTGCCCGGCGCCGCCGCGACCTGCGCTCAGATCTCCGTGCCGTGGGCTCCGACTCCTCTCTGCGCTCCGCGCTGCAGAAGATGCTGCGGCGCCTGGCACGCGTGGAGAAGCAGCGGGAGAAGGAGGAGGTCGCGCAGGTGCTGGGGGAAGCCGACGTGATTCTCTGCACCACCACGGGGGCCGGGGAGAGGGTCGTGCAGGAGATGGCGCGGCAGGAGGGCGGGTTCGACCTGGTGGTCCTGGATGAGGCAGGGCAGGCTACGGAACCGTCTAGCTGGATACCTTTACTGCTGGGGAGACGAGCAGTGGTGGCAGGGGATCCGTGGCAGCTGGCGCCTACTGTACAGTCTGTGGAAGCGCAGCAGCGTGGGCTGGGCGTTTCGCTCATGGAGAGAATTCAGGAGGAGGGGCTGCTGGGGAGTGGAGGGGGAGAGGGGGCGGTGGAGAGCGGTGGGGAGCAGTTGGAAGGTAGTGTTGCGATGCTGAGAGTGCAGTACCGCATGCATAAAGCCATCTCGGATTGGAGCTCTGAGGAGATGTACCATGGGCAGCTCATGGCCTCGCCTTCTGTCGCCACCCGCACCCTGGCTGACATCAAACTGCCTGCTCCTCCTGCCCCGCACTCCCAGTCTCATTCATCATCGCCATCCACCCATTCCTCCTCCTCCCACTCCCTCCTGTCTCTCCTGGCTCATCCCATGCTTCTGATTGACACGCGCTCCCCCCGTGGTCTGCTGCACGAGCACTGTGAGGAGGCGCCTGATGCAGCAGGCACGGGGTCGCTGGTCAACGAGGGCGAGGCCGATCTGGTCGTGGATCACGTCGCTCGTCTGCTCTCGGCCGGCGTGCCGCCCGGCTCCATCGCCGTGCAGTCGCCGTACCTCGCCCAGGTGCAGCTCATCCGACAGCGCCTGGAGGAGCGCCTGGGCGGCGTCGTTTGGCCGTATGCTGCGGCGAGGGAGGCCGGGGAGGGAGAGGAGGGAGGGGAAGGAGGGGGTGGGGGGGAGTGGGATGTGGGGGCGGTGGAGGTGGCGAGTGTGGATAGCTTTCAGGGGAGGGAGGCGGATGCTGTCATTATCTCCATGGTGAGTGGTCCTCTGCATACAAGCATGCTTTTGTGATGCAAGAAAGAGGTGGGGTCATATTCTGATGCCAGACATGTGCATCTCTTCTTGGTCTTCCTGGTCAGATGCAACAGGTGTAAGTGCCGCTGGAAAATGGACTCTGCATCATCTCACACCACTTTCTCTCTCTCCTCTTCCATCTCCTCTCCGTGCAGGTTCGGTCCAACCCTTATGGTTCGGTCGGTTTCCTCGGGGATCGTCGGAGGATGAATGTCGCTGTGACACGTGGCAGGCGCCACGTGGCAGTCGTTGCTGACTCAGCAACGGTGGGACACAACTCTTTCCTCCGCCGGCTGCTCCTCCACATCCGCTCAGTGGGTAGAGTGGTTGGGGCCCATGACTTGGATAATCTTGATTCCACACCTGCCACACCAGCTACAACTGCCACATCAGCGGCATCGTCCACATCAGCGGGGCAAGTCTATGTACCGAGCACATTCTCCCCGCCACCTCTGGCAGCATCATTTGAACCAGTGTACTCATCTGGACGCGCGCTGAGTCAATCCCTCTCAGCTGTGGCTATTGCAGCATCGCCTACTAGCTTGCCAGAGGGTTACAGTGGGGCCTTGTCAGCTCCTCCCAAATCTGGAGCATCTACCAACCCAAGCTCCATGGTTAAATCACGAGCTGGGCCCTTGGGCCCTCGGGTGGTGGCTCGTCTTAGGAAGATGATTTGAGATTGAATACCAATAAATTGGCTGATTCATAAATATGTAAATCGCTGTTGCTTTCTTGTATTGCCTTTATTGAATTCATACCCCTTATAAAGTAGAACAAAACATTCTTCCTATGTCCTTATTCAGAATGCCACACTTTCCCACACGCCGCAAGCATGTTGCCAGTGTTTCTGCGAATCAGATGTCCTCACTGTAGCATGTACAGTGCTGTACAGTTCTGTAAATGAGTTGCTCCGACCAGCGCAAAAGTCTCACCACCACACCCCACTCCCCGTTTCGACTCTCCCACCGCAACGGTATCACCTCCTCGAAGCCTACGCGCGGGCTTGGCGAATTCTGCCCTGCGCTGCGTTCTCGCCATGTCACCCCTTTGTGGGTGGGTTGGTAATTCGTGCTGCGCGCCGAACTTGTTGGCTGAAGCCACGCTGGGAAGGCCTTGGGATTTCACTGAACTGTGCAACTCCCTCCAAACCCAACAGCTGCTGCGTTCGCGTAGTGGAAGTGCACATAATAGCCTCGAGTTTCACCAAGTTGGCTTCTCTAGCTATTGGTCGCCGTGTTTGTTTCGCAATGTTCTAGGTTGTGATTCTGTTGTCAGGTGGTCATCGTATGCCCAGCCGCTCGTGACATTTCCACACGGTAACAACCAGTTTCTTCGGTGTTTCTAGGTTATGCCACACGTCTTTAGTAGCGTCTCACCTAATCTTGTTCCTTCGCACGCCTCGCTTCCGTCTCGTCTCTAGATAATGCATCTCTCGCTTTGTCGCCATACATTGTGACTAACTGTCCATTGATTTGGATGACGAATTAATTCCACAATACACCATTATCATATCGAGTGTACATGGTTGTAACCCTGTAACCTTGAAAATACCGTCGCAACGACACAATGCCGACGAGGCTCGACCTCCCAGCGCTGCACGGCCGCAGCAGCAGCATCGACGAGCCCCCACAACGTCCGTGGGTCGAAGTTTTGGCGGGAAGGAAGATTCGCCGCGTTATGGACGACCCCGTTAAACTCGAGGCGTTCCTGTCAGGCGAGTTCGACCGGCTTGACGTGCACGCACGTGGCAGGCTCTCATTGGCCGAGATCAAGCCGGCGCTGCTGCGCTTGGCGGAGATTCAGGGGCTCACTCTCCGCCCCTTCTGGGACAGCCGTATGGGGGGACGCGGAGGGGGGAGCGGCGGAGGGGGGAGCGGCGCGGGGGAGAGGCGGAGAGGCGGAAGCCGAGGGGGAAGCGGAGGAAGCGGAAGCTGGGGTAGCAGCGGCGAGTGCGGGGGAGGAAGAAGCGGGGCCGGAGGGGGAGGGAGGGAGGTTCTTCCTGGCAAGGGGAAGAACGATGATGATTTGGTCAAGGGCCTTTTTGTCTCTTTCATGTCTGCTGACCTCAGCAGCGAAATTGGGCGGCGCAAATTTGTCAGTGTGTGCAGAGATGTGATTCTCGCTTCCCAGGAATCGGTTGAAGGTACGCAATCTTTTATCCTTCTCCGCCTACCCGCCTTCGCCTATTCTGCCTTCCTTCCCTCAGTTTCTCCACCTCCCCACCTTCGCTCTCCCCGTCGTCCTGCTGTCGCTCTCTCCATCTTCCCCCTTCGCGTTTTCTTGAACCAAAACTCAAAAACATGTTGAGTCGACTCAAGAGGGATTCACAGTTCGTTCACTCTCCTCTTTCCTGCGAGCAGAGGACCCCCTGCCGCGGCTACTGGAGGGCAGCACCCCGCTGAGAGAACTCTTTAACGATGCGGACGAGGTGGACGAGTTTATAGACGCGCTGTGGACGCGCATGGACCTGGACGGGGACGGCACCGTCACCATGCATGAGATTCGCCCCATGCTGCCCGCCCTCGGCCTCTTCCCGCAACCCCTGCCCATCTCCACCGGTGGGTTGCCAGTGCGCGGATGTCTGTGTTGGCGTGTTGGGAGAGGGGAAGGGGGGGTGGGAGAACGGAAAGTGTGAGTGTGTGTGTGTGGTGGCGTGGTGGGAGGCGAGGTGGATTGGGGAAGGAGCACAGGGGTGTGGGGACCATGGGAGCTGGGAGGGAGAAAGGGTGGGAGGGGGAGTGCGCACAGCAATGGCGCCAATGACCTTACGCCACGAGTCTCAGTGTTCTTTCTTCCTCGCCTCCATTTTCTCTCGTGCTCCTTTCTCCCCCCACCCCGCCTGCCCGCGCCAGAGCAGGAGAATGAGATGAGACCCTGGCAGAGCTGCTGCACACATACGCGGGATGGGGAGGAGATCTTCACCCCTGCTCCCTTCTTTCCTCACCCCTCATCCCGCTCCCCTCTCCCCTCTCCCCTCTCCCCTCTCCCCTCACCCCGCCTGCCCGTGTTAGAGCAGGAGGATGAGACCCTAGCGGTGCTGCTGCACACATACGCGGGATGGGGAGGAGATCTTCACCCCATGTCCCCTGCTCCCTTCTTTCCTCACCCCTCATCCCCCTCCCCTCTCCCCTCTCCCCTCTCCCCTCTCCCCTCACCCCGCCTGCCCGTGTTAGAGCAGGAGGATGAGACCCTAGCGGTGCTGCTGCACACATACGCGGGATGGGGAGGGGGGCTGTCCTGCCCGCCCCGCCTCATCCCGCCCATGTCCCATGCTCCCTTCTCCCCTCACCCTTCATCCCACTCCCCTCTCTGCCCATCCCGCCCCCTCTCCCCGCGCCAGAGCAGGAGGATGAGATCCTGACAGAGCTGCTGCAGACATACGCGGGATGGGGAGGGGTGGAGGGGGAGGGCGGTGCGCAGGGGGAGAATGGGGCAGAGGAAGGCGGCGTGGATGAGGGGGAGAGTGATTCTGCTGGAGGGGGCTTGGAGGCTTTTGAAAACGGCAGCGGAGGCTTAGAGGGCAGCAGCAGCAGCAGCAGCGGTGGTGGTGGTGGTGGTGGTGGTGGTGGTGGTGGTGGTGGGGAGGTAGGAGCAGTGGATTTCAGCATGGGGCTGTCAAAGGTGCAGTTCATGTGGCTGCTGGCGGATATCCTCTTCACTGTGGCACAGGGGCTCGAGGACGACCCACTGTACCTGCCTGCCAACATGACCATTCTCAACCGCCCCTTCCTGCTCAAGGTGCGCCCTCTTTCGAGACGTCTCAAAACTTCCTGCTCAAGGTGCGCCCTCAACCGCCCCTTCCTGCTCAAGGTGTGCTCTGCACGTATGGGATGTGAACGCCGAGGATGGACCAGTTTTTGCCTTTTCCCTACTGTATACCAACAACCCACCACCGTCTGCTTTTAGTTCAGAATCGGAGACTCATGATTGGCTTGCTGCGGTTCGAATCCTCATTCTTCTTGCACGTATGGGACGTGAACGCTGAGGATGGTCCCCCTCGCCCTCCCTCTCCACTTGGCCTGATTCTCTCAGTCGAGTCTCTGCCACCACCTCACTGACCGCATGTTCCTCTCCTGGGACACCACCAACTGCCTTCTATCTCACTCATTCGTCTCCCTCGCCCCATCCTTTCTCCTCACCTCACGCTTCCGTCTCACCCATCCTTCTCCCTCCCTCCCTCCGTTCCACAAAGCAGATTCTCTCAGACGAGGCCTTCTTCCATCGTCTCACCGACCGCATGTTTGACTTCTCTTCCCCCCAATGCTCCCCCTCCCCCTCCCCCATCCCCTCCCACTTCCACTTCACCAGATTCTCTCAGACGAGGCCTTCTTCCATCGTCTCACCGACCGCATGTTCCTCACATGGGACGAAACCGATCGCGGCATGCTCTCCCGCGCCGAGGTCATAGCCGGCTTCTACTCCCTCGGGGTCGCCTACGGGCTCCCCGCAGTCACCACGCGGGAGGAAGCCGATAGCATCTACCTCTCGCTCTTCCTCACTGCTGACTGCGACACGAGTGGGTTTGTGGACCGGGAGGAGTTTCAGTCGCTCATGCACTCCATCTTCCTGGGCGCGGCTCTTCAGCTGCAGGCCGCGCGGTTACCACCGCAGCCTCTGTCGCCGCTGGGACCTGGACCTGCAGGAACCTCCTCCTCGTTATCTTCCTTGTATTTTTTCCGCCCGTTCTCCTTGTCCCTCCCCTCCATCCCATTCTCCGCCGCCCTTCCCTGGGGGAACTGTGCTGACAGCAGCACCACAGCTTTTCACAGCAGTGGGAGCAGCAGTGGCAGGGAAAGTGGCGCCGATTCTGCTGCTGCTGCTGCTGCAGTGGCCGACCTGCCGACCCTGACCGGCTTCAAGCTCTTTGACGGGCGGCGCGTGCGCAAGATGGTGCGGGCGGACGGCGGCGCTTGTCTGGACGTGTGGCTGAACAGTGCCTTTGAGGAACTCGTTACAAGCACATCGGATAGTGGAGATGGGGTGGGCGGGGGAGGGAAGAAGGTGAGAGTTTCGGGTTCGAGTAGTGGAGAGGCGGAGGGGATTGATATGGAGGGCCTCACGTTGTACAGCCCTGGTGGGGGGAGAGAAAAAGGGGAGAGTGGGGAAGGTGGGAGAGGGGAAGGAGAGAGGGAGGAAGGGTTGTCTGAGGGGCATCGCAATGGGGGTTGCAAGAAAGTCTCATGGAGCGATGCTCTAGGAAATAGCTTGGAAGCGTATGCAGATAAGGACGATGTTAGCCGCCCGACAGACAGGCCCGTGGTGACGTGGGCGGCGTTGGAGCGGAAGCTAGTGCAGCAGCTGCACACGCTGGGGATGCCGGGGGAGGGCGTATCTGAGGACTGGGAGCGCATTGTGCATGATATGGTCGCGAGAGAGAGACGGGGGTTTGTAAGGGAGGAGAAGGGAGGGAGAGATGAAAAGGCGGAAGGAGAGGACAAGACCGTGGGTGGTGAGGAGCAGGAGGAGGAGGCGGATGGGGAGGAGGAGAGGGAGAGCGAGGAGGTATGGCTGGATAAGGAGGAGTTTGTTGCGGTGATGACGAGACTGTTGAAGCAAGTGGGGCAGACATTGCAAGGTGAGAGAGGGCGAGAGGTGAATGGCCTGTGAGTAGAGTGGGTGGGGAAGAAGGCAGGAGGATTTCACACCGACCCCAGTCGTAACCCCAATCCCAACCCAACCCCATTCCATTCCTCCACCCTTGCTGTTCGCACCCCTTCATGCCACCCCACACACCTTCGTGCCACACCCCACCAGACACCCCTTTGCTGATGCGATCACTGGACGGCACTCTCATAAGGGCTTTCCTGCAGTGTGTTTCCAGGTGGCTGATATATGTTTTCACACCCCTTCAATGCCTCTTCATGCCATCACCCACCAGACACCCCTTTGCTGCTGCGCTCACTGGATGGCACTCTCATAAGGGCGTTTCTGCAGCACCCTGCTCGCCTCACCGCTGCCATCCGCAGCACCTTCCAGGCGCTAGACAACAAGGGCTGGGGCGGCATGCCTGCCGCCCGCCTTGTTCCTGCGCTTCGTGTGATTGGCCTGTCTGCAGGGCTGCCGTGCCGAGGAGGTGAGTCGAGTGTAATTTAATGCAGTGTACAATAATCCGCTGGCATCTTCCTTTATGCACTTTCAATTCCTCATGCCGTACTAATTACTTTCTTACAAGACATTGTTACTCTTGTTGCAGCTCACTCCCCAACATCTCCCAACACTCCCTTGATCCTCACTGAATGGTCATGGTACTAATGTGCTTGATGTTCCCATCCCCGACTTGGCAGTGAACACAACACTTGACATTTGGATATTGCAAATCACAACGGAGCTCGCACCCAATCTTGAGCATTTATCGGAGGAACAGTTCTCTTCATTAGTCGTTGATTTCCTTGAAGCTTTTTCTGCCCGTCTAGCAGCCGACCCTATTTATGTGCTTCATGACCTAGATGCGCCACAGCGAGCTGTGGGATTGCCGGAACCACCTGCTCCATCTCCCCGTATGGCATAAAGTACTTCATACCATACATACCCGGTATGATGCATGATAAAAATGCACTTCTCATCACTTGTTACATAAAGCATAATATATGAAGTGAATACACTTCTACTCTCGGACTTTGCCTAAGCCGTACATCGGGCGCCATCCAATCGAGGTTGCGGTGGAGCGGTGGAGTTCTGATGGAGCGGACTCACTGCACTGGCCTGGAAGAACAAGTGATTGGTACGGAAATTTCCAAACCACTCTAGTCCGCTTTGGTTGGGTGCCTCCATCTGGCGGTCAGTTCGAATCCAAATGCATTGGGAATCGAGTTGTCTGACTCACATGCGGGGCTACAAGTAAACAGCAAGGATGCATTCCTGTCTAGCGTGCTCGTACTTAGTGATAGGAGATAAGGGCGGGATTGGCTTTTTAACAAGTTACGACTTTCCCGATCTGGTAGGGTATGCATGATTCACCCCCTTTGAATCCGAAACTACCTTCATAAACTAGCTTGACCGCGGAAAAGTACCACCACGTGGTGAAGATACCGCCGGTGAATTTACTGTGGGCCAGGTGTACAGCATCGCGTCCTGCGCACTACAAAACCAGATCAGCATTCAGGCGTACCACACACAGTCGATCGCAGCTCATTATCACCGTTGAGGCTGGTAAGTACGGTTCAAAGCGGTAACAGCGTTGTCAATACAATAACAGAACTAGTTACACGCGACTGCTGGAAATGATTGTTGCGGTGCTTCGAGTCGCCGTGGTCGCAGTGCTGATCCCGACTGCTGGAAATTATTGTCGCTGTGCTGCGAGTCGCCGTATTTGACGCATCACGTGTACGGCATGCTTACGTGACCTTTTGAGTCCTGGCCGTGCGATACCTCCTGCTAGTGACAGTAGTAGAGTATAATAAAATGGAGGAGCGTAGCAGTCGTTGCAATGTCCAGTACCACCGTAACCACCTCTTCGGTTCTCACGCCTCTTCTTCCGCATCTCGTGCCTTCATTCAAAAGCTGGATTGGACGAATTTATTTTCCCCGCACGTTTCGCGCTTCCACGGGTTTCCTTGAGAAATGGCTATCGCGTTCAGACTGCACTCTTCGGTCCTCATTCTCCTTTTCCTGGTAGCATCAGCTGTACTCCTTATAAGCAGCGTCGACGCGCAGCAAGGATGCGGAGGGAGATGCAGCAGCCACGATGACTGCAGCGGGCAACTGGCGTGCATGAGCGGCAAGTGCGGCGACGACCCCGCCGTGGGAACGACCATCTGCAAGCCGCAAGGCGGGGGAACGTGCAAGCCGTCGGGAAGCTTCCGAGCGCCTGCGTTCGTCCCCTGTAACTCGGATAACATGTGAGACGCCTTGCTTTTCAATGCTACATTGCACAGTTGTGCGAGTGTTACATGAGAAGAGTTCTTCTGTGCGGTAAATTTCTCAGGTTTTAACGAGCTTCCAAACTTTTTAGGGTTCCATCTGACATCAGTGCCTGTGTCCATCTGTAGGTCGGACTGCTGCAAGCCACTGGCCACGTACTACAAGTACACGTGCTCTCCACCTGTCAGCAGGGCCACGTCAGCAATCCTCACTCTCAACGGATTTGGTGATGGTAATTACTAATCACCATACCCCCTTTTTGAATCATGAATGATGGATAAACCCCAGAAGCAGTGGGGAATTCAGTGCACGTAGCACCCTGTTTCTGTGATGCTCGCAAATCTCTGGTCCCTTATCATCCTCCCTCCCCCGCTCCCTCTGGTCGCAGTACCAAATTCTCCCTGGTTTCGTTTGAATGTCTCAATCAAGCCCCTCCCCCCGTGCCTTCTTACCTTTCTCACTCCCTTTGACTCAAATGCCAGGCGAGGATGGAGGGGGGGAGTCATCCTGCGACGGTCGGTTCCACAGCAGCACCGAGAGGGTAGTTGCCCTTTCCACCGGCTGGTTTGCCAACCGGAGGCGCTGCGGCCGTCAGATCCGGATCTCAGCATCCAACGGCCGCAGCGTGATCGCGACAGTGGTGGACGAGTGTGACTCGCGGGCGGGGTGCGATAGGATGCACGCGGGGCAGCCTCCCTGCATCATCAACGATGTTGATGCGTCTGCTGCTGTGTGGCAGGCGCTTGGGATTGGTGAATCGGATAGTAGATATGGATACATGAAGGTCACATGGCAGGACGTGTGAGCTGAGTGCATGTGAACAGGGTTCAGTTGATAGGATGGGGTAGGTAGCTTGCTGCTACATGAAGCAACTGGAGACCAAGGAGTTGCACAAGGGTTAATCTGCTTTCTAGCAGTGTTGTATGCTCAATATGGTGTTGATATTGCTATGACTTGTTATCACTTGTACCTTTCTGCGTTATTCAGAGCGAAATATGCTGTTTGCCTTGGCTGAACGGAAGTGTTCTCTGGGGCCTTGGTTCTTGCGCATTTTGGTCTGGAAGTCTTTTTTTATCATCAGACCAAACAAACCAGACAGACATTCACTCCACACCGACATGCGGGCGGAGGCGACAGCATCTCACATACCGTATATTTTCTCATCGTGTACCCGCATACCGCTCGTAGGTCCGAGTTCTCTCAAGATGATCCTTCCAAATCTTGGTCGTCCCGGGTCGCAGGTTGTGGGGCGTCGCGCGTACAGCATGCCTACGTGGCCTTCTGACTCCTGACTGCTGACCACACAAGCCATTCTGCTAGTGATCGTATCGTGTGAATAAAGTGGATGAGCGCATGGGAACATGGGATAGTGGTTGCAATGTGTTAGCACCGTTAGTAACCACCGCTGCGCTTCTCGCGCCGTTTCGTTACCTTTCCGCATCCAGTGCCACGTTCCGCGCTTCCACGTTTGAGAATCCCTAAAGTGTTACAAGGGCTTTTCCGTAAAGATGGCGGCTTCGTCCCCCCTGCACATCTCAGTCCACATTTTGCTCGCCCTAGTAGCATCAGCTGTACTCGTTATAAACACCGTCGACGCGCTGCAAGGATGCGGAGGGAGCTGCAAGCGGCACAGCGACTGCAGCGGGCGACTGGCGTGCATGAGCGGCAAGTGCGGCGACGACCCCGCCTTGGGAACAAAGATATGCAAGCAACAAGGGAGGGGAACATGCAGGCCGTCGGGAAGCTTCCGGGCTCCTGCGTTCGTCCCCTGTAACTCGAATCACATGTGAGACGCCACATGCTTCTCAGTGTCACATCCACATTTGTGGTTATGTTGCATTAAAAATAAAGCCATTTTCTGTGCGATGATTATACCTTCCGTTTGATTCTTAATCCACAGATTCCCATACTGAACCCTGTTTTCTCCATGTTCAGGTCGGACTGCTGCAAGCCGCTGGCCAAGTACCACAAGTACACGTGCTCACCACCTGTCAGCAATGCCACGTCAGCAATTCTCACTCTCAACGGATTTGGAGATGGTAAGCTATAATCACTGTACTCCATCACTTGTGTGTCATGGATGGATCCATGCCAGTGGGAGTGGGTGACCCAGTTGCTGTGATGCTTGCAAGTCCAATCACCCTCCCTGCTTCCTTCCAAGGTCTTGATCACTCTCACGCTTCCCACCTTTCTCACTCCCTCCATTCGACTCAAACGTCAGGCCAGGACGGAGGAGGCGCCTCGTCTTGCGACGGCCGGTACCACAGCAACACCGAGACGGTCGTTGCCCTCTCCACTGGCTGGTTTGCCAACCGGAGGCGCTGTGGCCGTCAGATCCGGATCTCAGCATCCAACGGCCGCAGCGTGCTGGCGACGGTGGTGGATGAGTGTGACTCGCGGGCGGGATGCGACCGCGTGCATGCAGGGCAGCCTCCCTGCATCATCAATGACGTTGATGCTTCGGCTGCTGTGTGGCAAGCTCTTGGAATCGGCCAATCAGATAGCAGATATGGATACATGAAGGTCACATGGCAGGATGTGTGATGTGAACTTTGCTGTGTGCTTGGGCTGCCACAGAGTTGCAAGGGTGGTAGCTAGCTCATTGATAAATGGAAAATGAGCTGGCCATATGGTAGTTCCCTGCTTGAGAACCAGAAAAATGCACAAGCTCAATGTGTTATTTTCAAGCCCAGGTACCGTATGTTAATACACTGTTGATGAAACATGGCTCTTCGGCTGCTATTGCTTACTGGGACGTGCTCTCCATATCATGGTAGGCTGAAAACACTGGTTGCACACTGAAACACAAACCGGATAGCAACAAACAAATTCTTGTGACACATACTGTGAGGACACGACGAGCTTGAAACGTTCACCTCTGGGGAACTAGAGTGTTCCCCTGGCTCACACTCGTGCTAATCTGGTGTTTGTTTCTTTACTCTAGATGAAGTGGATGAATGTCAGATGAGATGACACCATCACACACATTGCGCCACCTCTGCAGGGCTGATGGCTGCTGCAGAGCCTGTGTGTCGCTCACTAGCTCTATCGGCCTGCACCAGCAGCTCTCTGTTTTATGCTTAGTTAAAGGCACACACACACAGCAGTACTAACTTGGTTGCTTCTCAACCCAAAACACCGCTCAATGTTTCGTCCAAGCAGCACAGTCACCACTTCAAGCAATACTTCGGATTTCCGCCGCAGCAGCAGCACCAGGAGTTTCAGCAGCACCATTTGCCCCTCCCTTCACCCCTTCCGCAATTACCTCATTTCCTTCCCCTCCCCCTGCCTCCCCTCCACCTGCCGCCCCACCCCCAGCTTCCCCTCCCGCCTCCGCCGCAGCAGCAGCTTCAGCACGGGACTTCTGCCACTTGACCACGTTCCCGATCTTCTGAGCCACAGACTGCATGCTCGGCCGTGCATCCCACTCCTTGATGAGCGCATACTTGGCGATGTAGGCCACAGCGAGGGCATCCTTGCGGCGGCACTCGGGGGCGATGGCAGGGTCCACGAGGAGGGCGAGGTCGGGATGGTCGTGGTGCAGCAGTGTGGGGATCAGGTCCTCGTGAATGCTGTCCTGTAGCACGGACTTGCCGGTTAGGAGCTCAACCAAAAACACCCCAAATGCGTACACATCACTCTTGGCATGCACGTGGCCTGATGGGGGGGGAGGGAGGGGGAGTAAGGGGAGGGGGACAAGGGGAGTGGGAGAGGAAGTGGAGAGGGAGTGGAGGGGTGAGCAGTGCAGAGATTGATGCGGCACTCGGGGGCGATGGCGGGGTCCACGAGGAGCGCCTTTTGAGACGTCTCAAAAGGCGGCACTCGGGGGCGATGGCGGGGTCCACGAGGAGCGCCTTTTGAGACGTCTCAAAAGGCGGCACTCGGGGGCGATGGCGGGGTCCACGAGGAGCGCCTTTTGAGATGTCTCAAAAGGCGGCACTCGGGGGCGATGGCGGGGTCCACGAGGAGCGCCTTTTGAGACGTCTCAAAAGGCGGCACTCGGGGCGATGGCGGGGTCCACGAGGAGCACGAGGTCAGGGTGGTCGTGGTGCAACAGCGTGGGGATCAGGTAGCACGGACTTGCCGGTTAGGAGCTCGACTAGGAAGACTCCAAACGCGTGCACGTCACTCTTAGCATGCACGTGGCCTGATGAGGAGGGGAAGGGAAGGTGGGAGAGGGAGGGATGGGGTGAGGAAAACAAGGGGGGAGGAGGAAGAGAGGGGCGAGGTTGGGGTGGTCGTGGTGCAGCAGCGTGGGAATCAGGTCCTCGTGAATGCTGTCCTGGAGAACTGATTTTCCGGTGAGGAGTTCAACCACCAACACCCCAAATGCGTACACGTCGCTCTTGGTATGCACGTGGCCTGATGGGGAAGGGTTGAGGGGGGAGGAACAACGGGTGAGGAGAGTGGGAGGGGTGGATTGGGGGCAAGAGAGGGAAGGGGTCGGGGTGGTCGTGGAGCAGTAGCGTCTTTCTGAACGCTGTCAGCCCTGCAGCAGCACTGCCTTGCCGGTTAACAGCTCAACTAGGAGTTCCAAATGCGTACATGTCGCTCTTGGCATGCACGTGGCCTGATGGGAAGGGGTGAATGAGGCGAGTGGGAAGAAGGATGGATGCGGTAGTATATGGTTCCACCGTCCATGTAGTTTTGAGATGTCTCATGCGTACCTGAGAGGCAGTACCCAAGAGATAGTGCATGGGTGCACCATTTTTGTAATACCACTCATTTACTCTCTCAAATACCATCACAGGACTCACAACGCTTGAGACGTCTCAATTGTGCCTGAGAGATGGGTAGTAGCTGCATGATAAATACCTGAGAGGTAAGACATTTGAGGTATTGAGGTAATACCTGCAAGGTAATACCTGAGAGGTATTACTAGTACCTGAGAGGTAGTACCTGAGAGATAGTGCCTGAGAGGTGGTACCTGAGAGGTAGTACCTGAGAGGTAGGTAGTACCTGAGAGGTAGTACCTGAGAGGTAGGTAGTACCTGAGAGGTAGGTAGTACCTGAGAGGTAGTACCTGAGAGGTAGGTAGTACCTGAGAGGTAGTACCGGAGAGGTAGGTAGTACCTGAGAGGTAGTACCTGAGAGGTAGTACCTGAGAGGTAATACATGGGGTCCATGTAGCCAAAGGAGCCCACGACTCTCGTTGTGACGTGTGAGCGCCAGTCCGCTATGCCCTTGGCCAGCCCAAAGTCCGCCACCTTGGCCGTGAAGTCCTGCCGGTGGGGGGAGGAAGGAGGACAGATGCGGGTCAATACTCGAGCAAACTCACAAAACAACCAGCCAAAATTTGCAAGTTGCAAATCATATACCATCACGAAGACTGAGTAGCACTGCGTGCGAGCAGCACACCCAGCTTTGCGAGGAGGAGCACACGCACCTGAGCGAGGAGCACGTTGCTGGCCTTGCGGTCACGGTGGATTTTAGTGCAGCGAGTGCATGAACGCCACTGCCTGCTGTTGATGCGCCTTATGCCCTTTAAGCGTCTAGATGTTTTAAGCCCCTAAAAAGCAGCACAGTACATTAACCCACCTGGGTGAGCAGCACGTTGCTGGCCTTGAGGTCGCGGTGGATGTATCGCAGCGAGTGCATGAACGCCACTGCCTGCGCCACCTCATGCGCCACCTTCAGCCTCGCCGCCCACGGGAACGTTGCCTCCCCTTTCTTGCCTGCCAGTGCCACCCACCCACCCACGCACCCCAGAGCAGCACGACACACACATGATATATATACACTCTTTGCCACCCACGAGCGTGCAGGGACTGGCAAATGGCAAGCAGCGAGTGCAAGAGCACAATTTGAGTCAAGTTAGAAAGGTACATGGGTGAATGGGTGGGTGGGAGGGTGAGGGAGCTGACAGCGGGTGAGAAGGGCGTGCACGTCCCCGTTGGGCATGTACTCGTAGACGAGCGCCTTGCTGGGGTGTGACGAGTACGCTAACAGCTCCACTATGTTGCCGTGCCTCACCGCCCCAAACGTCACCAGCTCCGTCTGTGGGGCAAGGAGTAAGCGAGGGAGGGAGGCAGCTGAGGACGATGGTGGTAGATGGATGTAAGTTAGGAGGTGGAAAAGGGAGGGAGGGAGGCAGGAGGGAGGCAGGGAGGGAGGCAGGGAGGGAGGCAGGGAGGGAGGAATGGGAAAACAGTAGCTGCGGCATGAAGGAGTGACAAAGAAATAAAAGTTCGTCATAGTAGGGGTTTGGGTGGACTGTCAAGAGCACAGCAAGAAGCACAGCAAGCAGCAAGCACGGAGAGCCAGCCAACGTACCATAAACTCGTAATCGCCCTGAAAGCTGTGCGGCGCAAGAACCTTCACTGCAACAGGAATCGGCTTGCACCCACCCGCGTCCCTCTCAACCATCCGACTGGCACCAGACTTCGACCCGCCTCCTCCTTCACCCTCACCACCCCCACTCCCATCCGCATCCCTCTCACCCGCGCCTCCTCCTCCCTCGCGGGACTCCTGGGGGCATCTGCAGGGGCCGTTGTGGCTAGCACCACACGGCCGCATCTCGCCTTTATACACCTTCCCGAAACCACCCTCCCCCAGCACGGTGGAGAAATTGCGAGTCACACATTTGATCTCGTCCTCTGTCAGCCGTGGGATGGTGAGATCCGCAGGGGGCTCCAATGAACGGCCGCGTCCCCCGCTGCCTGTGGACGACCCGGCGCCTCCGGAGCCGAGCAGGCTGCCGGAGCTTCCCGAGGTTCCTGACGCTCCAGAGACTCCGGATACTCCCGATGTTCCTGATACTCCCGAGACTCCTGATACTCCCGAAGCTCCTAATACTCCAGGGGCTCCTGACACTCCCGAGGCTCCTGATACTCCCGGGACTCCTGAGACTCCCGAGTCTTCTGATGTTTTAGAGGCTCCAGGTACTCCCGGGGCTCCTGACACTCCCGAGACTTCTGACACCCCCGAAGCTCCTGACACTCCCGAAGCTCCTGTTACTTCCGAGGCTCCTTGTGCTCCTGAGGCTCCTGATACTCCCGAGGTTCCTGATGCTCCGGCTGTTCCCGAAGCTCCTGTCGATGCTACTGCCTCTCCTGATGCTCCTCGTGCGTCCGACGCGAGTCCCGCTGGTGGCTCAGCTCTGGATAGTTCGGCTTTGGGAGGTTCCGTGGACGGAGAAGACTGCTGTGGTGCGACCAATGCTGAGATGGCAGCTTCTTTTTCTGAGAACAGGAGGTGAGGAAGATTGTATTGAACAAGATTGTGAACTGATTAAAAACAGAAAGAGATTGACAATCAAACGTGGGATATAAAATTAAACGACGTAAACGGAATGCCTGCGAATGAAATAAGTTTCAAGGCGTATCATTCAGACAATGTGCCAAGACGTCGGCATGTAGCTAGAATAATAAGGAACAGACAAGAGAACAGAAAGAAAACAAGAAGCTCCTCCGTAAGTGATGCAACGTACGCTGAGATAGTTTGCTTTTGGGGAGACCTGACTCATGTGAAGCTTCTCGCGACGACACGCAACCCATGGATACGATAAAAAATGCGAAAGCAGGGTCAATTAGCTTCTAGACCGGGAATAGTCTCCTATGACGGAGTTCTGTAGACTGAAACGCACACGCATGTCCAAGGCAACCGCTATGTTTTATTATTCTAAAATGAACATTTATGCGACGGGTAACAACATACTCGGCTAGGAGCTATGACGGAAGCTCAGGAATGCGTCTACTCCAGCCAACTCTCAACTGCCTTTCTGACGACACTAGTTTGAGGCTGGAGAGTGGTGGTCATGCTTTAGCTGCTCAATCAGATGTGAGAAGTAGCACACATGAGTGGTCTGCCGAGTTCATCACCATCCAGACCACGATGGATCACCTCACAACGATCACCAACCACTACCGAACCTGGGTGCAATGGCTTTGGAGCTCCAATCAGACCTCCGGTCAAGGTTTCCGAGTTCCACTGGGAGGTACTTCTGGTCTTCCACACCTATTTCTCATTGCTTGGTTCACCACATGGGGTCCTCCGAGCCTCCATTCCCAGTATTACAGAGGTCTGACTGGGACACCGATATCTGCACCTTCCTAGTTCTGCGATGGTGGGGAGGTTCCTTGCATATTCCTGGTTCGGTAAGAGAGCTGCCAGGCTAAATGGAATGGAACAAGACATAAAGATGTTGGTAAAATTTCAAAAGCATATAATGCTACTGCAAAGAAAATAACTGTTACTGCATTTCGGAACATAAGGAAATGGATGGAGAATTGTTGCGTTTGAGTATAATCTTATGTGCTGTATCATGTAAATTATTAATTGTTTTTATTTTCCAAAATTCACAACATAGGTAATGTTAAATGAGAGTCTGAAATTCACACAGTCCAGACCAGAAATCACTGGCTAACCTTGTAGTTTCAGCATCCTTGTGAGAATATTTATTATATTTCCGTAACGAGTTATGCACTATCGCCACCACCAGCCCTTCACGTCCCAAGGCAACCGTTATCAGTTGCTTCGACGAACACCTACATTTTCCAGGGATTCCAAATGTTCGTTAGCCGTCGATTGCTTCGCTAACCAAACTGCTCAAGCCTAGATCCTGCCGAACGTGACGCAGGGATCCTTCCCCGCCAAACTTCCACACCAACATTTTTCACAGCTTTCCCTCCTGCTAATCCCTAGAATCTGGTTGCTGCTCCAATTTTTCAGGTAGCATCTCCAAACCAGTTTATGAGTTGGATTGGATCAGCTAGCTATTCAGATCTGCTTACCTTCGAGAAGGCAACCTCTGTAGGCTCCATAGCAGTAGGAGTTACTTGCGATCAGGCCACCTAACTTGGGTTTCGCGTCTTATCTTGATCGGCTAGCGTTTCCTGCGGTGGCAAGATGGCTACAGCAAGCGCTCCTATCGTTTTGAAGGAGGCCCTCAGCGTGAGTAGGAGAGATTGAAGGTAGATTTGTGTAGATCGACCAGGACAATATGATCGGTTTCGTGTTCTTCAACCGCGTGGCGCTTTGATGATGAAATTAGGTTCTTAAGGTAGATTGTCACTCGACGACTTCTGAGTTTCACGACATGGGTCTGTTTTCCCACCGTATCTCCTTGTGCAGTTGACAAATCTGGGGGTCAATCAACAGTTCATCTCCTTCACTCATGTCACGATGGAGTCCGATAAGTATATTTGCGTCAGGGAAACAGCTCCGTCGAACAGCGTTGTCATCATTGACATGGCGATGCCAATGCAGCCTTTGAGGAGGCCTATCACTGCTGACTCAGCATTGATGAATCCTGAGAGCAAAATCTTGGCGCTCAAGGGTCAGTTTGCTGCTAGCTCGTGCTTACGTTTGAGGCTGTTTAGGTTCGGATTACTCAGGCGTTTCGGTTCAAACGTGCAGCTTTGATTCAAGGGACGACACAAGATCACTTGCAGATTTTTAACATCGAGGCTAAGGCTAAAATCAAATCGTACCAGATGCCAGAGCAGGTCAGCACCAGATTAAAGTTGCATCTGCCATCAGTTTGAAAACGTTTACTGACAGACTGCTTTCTCTCTTTCCAGGTTGTGTACTGGAAGTGGATCTCCAACAAAGTTCTCGGCCTCGTAACTCTGACATCTGTTTACCACTGGTCGATCGAAGGTTGTACTTTTCAACTTTATCTTCTGCCATCCTCTCTGTCAAAATTTTCCTGAATCATCAAAGACAGGCTTTTGCAGCGAAGATTCAGTGCTGAGACTTTTTATTCCTTTTTCTTGTTGCCTCAACCAGGAGAGGGAGAGCCCGTTAAGATGTTCGAGCGGACTGCGAACTTGAACGGTAACCAGATTATCAACTACCGGAGTGATCCCTCTGGCAAATGGCTTGTTTTGATCGGCATCGCCCCTGGTGCTCCTGAGGTATGCTGAAAGTCTCGTCTTTCTAAATTAAGTAATCAGAAGTCGCGAATATGGTTCTTCATGATGTGCCTTCAAATCTTGTTTGTTTGCAGCGTCCACAACTCGTCAAGGGAAATATGCAGCTCTTTTCCGTGGATCAGCAAAAGAGTCAGGCATTGGAATCGCACGCAGCTGCGTTTGCCTCTGTGAAGGTCCGTTGATTTCCTAACCCAATTATGGTTCGTTCAATCTCGCATGTCTTTAACAGGAAATTGTACATTGAGCCCATGCGAAGCGTTTGCATTGCTAAGCAAGTACTCGACTAACTGTGATCTCGCAGGTGCCAGGAAACGACACTCCGTCCCTGGTCATTGCGTTTGCCACCAAGACTATCACTGGCGGACAGCTTATTTCGAGGTTGCACATTATCGAGCTTGGTGCTCAACCAGGTCAGCGAATGTTACATTCCGAACGAGAATTGAATGTTTCGGAATATATTGGTTCAGCTAACAAGTCAAGCCGGGTTGTTTTGTTGCAGGTCGCGTTCCTTTCACAAAGAAGCAGGCCGACCTGTTCTTCCCGCCAGATTTCGCTGATGACTTTCCGGTCGCCATGCAGGTGAGGAAGCTTGCGTTCAATGCTTCAACCCACAGACTTTTACTACCCCTCCCGCTTCTGCGGTTCAACCCCCTTGTTCTCCTCCCGTGTTCGCCCTTCGCCCGTCTTCACCCCGTTTCCTCCTCATTCAGGTGTCAGCGAAGTTCGGCCTGGTGTATGTCGTCACCAAGTTGGGCCTGCTCTTTGTGTACGACCTCGAGTCCGCCACGGCAGTCTACCGCAACCGCATCAGCCCCGACCCCATCTTCCTGGCCGCCGATGCTCCCAGCGTGGGCGGTTTCTACGCCGTGAATCGCCGCGGGCAGGTGCTGCTTGCCACGGTGAACGAGCAGACCATCGTCCCGTTCGTCAGCGGCCAGCTCAACAACCTGGAGCTCGCTATCAACCTTGCGCGCCGCGGGAACCTCCCTGGTGCCGAGAACCTGGTATGCTGCACGACTTAACTGCGTTCACCCTAGTCCTTACTGAATCACTGCTTGGCGTGAGTGCACCGCTGTTGTCTGAGCATGCCAGTCTTGGTTATACCTCTCTTCCTTGTCCCTGTGCAGGTCGTGCAAAGGTTCCAGGAGCTGTTCTCGCAGATGAAGTACAAGGAAGCTGCGGATTTGGCTGCTGAGTCGCCCCAGGGAATTCTTCGTACACCTGAGACGGTGGCTAAGTTCCAGGTACGGCCAAACTGTGGTTAGACGGGTTAAAAATTAACGTCACACATGCAAGGAATTGACAGTGTCCCACACCCTGTGATGCGTTACACGTGTTCCCGTTCGTGTGTGCGTCGTGCAGAGCGTTCCCGTGCAACCGGGGCAGACCTCTCCCCTGCTGCAGTACTTCGGCACGCTGCTCACCAAGGGCAAGCTGAACGCGTTTGAGTCGCTGGAGCTGTCGCGTCTGGTGGTGAACCAGAACAAGAAGAACCTCCTGGAGAACTGGCTGAACGAGGACAAGCTGGAGTGCAGCGAGGAGCTCGGTGACCTTGTCAAGGTGAGCGCTTGGTGCCTCTGTGGTGTGTTTTGTGGTTTGAGATGGGAGGGATTGCATTGTACGGCTTGGTGTCACTGCAAGGCACCGGCCGAATGCTTGACCTGGAAAGCTCATGTTATGGAAACCTAGGTAGAGTTGAAATGAGGAAAGTGAAAGAGCTCAACATGAAGAGATCTCGCCAAAAGCATTTGGTGTGTGAATCTGCTAGAAAAGCAACCGAATGAAGTCACCTAAATAAATCAGATATCAACATGCCGTATTCCTATATTCTCTCCGTATTCTCCCACAACAGCCTGTGGATGGGGACATGGCACTGAAGGTGTACATCAAGTGCCGTGCCACGCCCAAGGTCATTGCGTCCTTCGCTGAGCGCGGGGAGTTTGACAAGATCCTCGTGTACTCCAAGCAAGTCGGGTACAACCCCGACTACCTCTGGCTCATGCAGACCATGCTGCGCAGCAACCCTCAGGTATGTGTCCCACATTCGCCTTTTTCCATCCTTGATGCCGACTGCTTTGCTACTGGTAGCAAGTTTGCTCACCCTTCATCTCTGGTGCTGGTGTGCTGGTGGTATGGTGCTTCAGGGAGCGTTGAACTTCGCCCTGATGATGGCGCAAATGGAGGGAGGCTCGCCTCTCGACTACAACACCATCACTGACCTCTTCCTCCAGGTATGTGGTTGACTCACCAACCATTCATGCCACACCATCACTTTTGTGTTGTGCTTACTCACGTTCGTGCTCCCTCTGACTGTTTATTCGCCCATTCGTTTGTCCTTCTCTGTGTGACATACATCTGTGGTGCGCAGAGGAACATGATTCGCGAGGCGACTTCCTTCCTGCTGGATGTGCTCAAGCCTAACCTGCCAGAGCATGCCATGCTGCAGACCAAGGTATGTGCATATGTGTATGTAACTTGATCGTTGTTTGCACCCTGCATGCGGTGTACTCTTTCCTAAACAGGCAGGGATACTCTTTCCTAAACAGGTAGGATAAGCCCTCTGTTTTCCCGGTGATTCTTGGAGGGTTTTGTTGTTTGTGACCATTCTGTGTGTCTGTTTCATGTTGGTCTATGCCTGCTTGATAAACAGCTCATCCACTGGATTTTTTGTCCTGATTCTCATTTCCTCCCTGTCTGCAGGTGCTGGAGATCAACCTGGTGACCTTCCCAAACGTGGCTGACGCCATTCTCGCCAATGGCATGTTCTCGCACTACGACCGCCCTCGCATTGCCCAGCTTTGCGAGAAGGCAGGCCTCTACATTCGTGCTATCCAGGTGAGCTGGTGCTATTCAGCTGAAAGGGGACTCTCTATTGCCATGCCAAATCGCCATATGTGTTGTACTGCTATTGTGTTTTGAAGTTTCAATGGCTAATGCTCTTTTTACCTGTGCTCCCTGTCTGTTTGGGCTCTGTTGTCCTGAGTGCAGCACTACACGGACCTGTCTGACATCAAGCGTGTCATCATCAACACTCATGCCATTGAGCCTCAGGTCCGACCTTTCTTCCTTCCCTCTTCACCTTTCGAACCTCTACACGCTAGCGTTGGTCACATTCCATAGCCCATCGTCCTTCCTCTGTCACTGCTCTTTCCTGCGCTCTTAAGAATGCTTGTGATTTACCTCAACTCCGCACTATCCCTCGCACTTCCCCCTACCCTTGGCCCTCGTCCAGTCCCTGGTGGAGTTCTTCGGCACGCTGTCCAAGGAGTGGGCGCTGGACTGCATGAAGGAGCTGCTGCTGGTGAACATGCGCGGCAACCTGCAGATCGTCGTACAGGTGGCCAAGGAGTTCGCGGAGCAGCTGGGCATGGACAACTGCGTGAAGCTCTTCGAGCAGTTCAAGTCCTACGAGGGGCTCTTCTTCTTCCTGGGCGCCTACATGTCCACCAGCGAGGACCCCGAGATCCACTTCAAGTATGTCGAGGCGGCGGCGAAAACTGGGCAGATCAAGGAGGTGGAGCGGATCACTCGCGAGTCCTCTGTGTACGAGCCCGAGCGCATGAAGAACTTCCTCATGGAGGCCAAGCTGCCTGATGCTCGCCCGCTTATTAATGTCTGCGACCGCTTCAACTTTGTTCCCGATCTCACACACTACCTGTACACGAACAACATGCTGCGGTACATCGAGGGCTACGTGCAGAAGGTGAACCCCAGCAACTCTGCGCTGGTGGTCGGGCAGCTTCTGGATGACGAGTGCGCGGAGGACTTCATCAAGAATTTGATTCTGTCGGTGCGCTCGCTGATCCCGGTGGAGCCGCTGGTGGAGGAGGTGGAGAAGCGCAACCGGCTGCGGCTGCTGACGCAGTTCCTGGAGCATTTGGTCAGTGAGGGCAGCCAGGACGTGCACGTTCACAACGCGCTGGGGAAGATCATCATTGATACCAACAACAACCCCGAGCACTTCCTCACGACCAACCCGTTCTACGACTCGCGCGTGGTGGGCAAGTACTGCGAGAAGCGCGACCCCACGCTGGCTGTGGTGGCGTACAAGCGCGGGCTGTGCGACGAGGAGCTCATCGCTGTCACCGCCAAGAACTCCCTCTTCAAGCTGCAGGCCAGGTGCGTGTTCCTCCAGTTTGAGAAGATCCAGGAGGAGAGGGGAGGGATAGTGGGTCTAGTCCGAAAGGATAGGAGTGTGAAGAGTAGCGGTCTTGGTGCGAGTGGTTTGTCCTTTGAAGTGTTAGTCTAGTTTTTGCTTTTGGACATCTCACATGTCTGGCCTGTGTGCCCTTGCTGTCTCTGTAGGTATGTTGTGGAGCGCATGGAGCCTGAGCTGTGGGCCATTGTCCTCACTCCTGAGAACGAGTACCGCCGCCAGCTCATCGACCAGGTACGCCACTTGTCCTCCCCTCTCCTGCACTCTCACACCATTCACTTTACTGGTTCTTCTTGTGGCGTCTAGGGCAATGGCTATTCACTGACACTCCACCCACTGCCCTCAACTCGTGTCCCTGCACCTGTGCCCCTCTACCCTGTGCTGCTGTGCCTCTGTGCCTCTCTGCCTCTGCAGGTCGTGTCCACGGCGCTGCCAGAGAGCAAGAACCCCGACCAAGTGTCAGTGACGGTGAAGGCGTTCATGACGGCCGACCTGCCCCACGAGCTCATCGAGCTGCTCGAGAAGATCGTGCTGCAGAACTCGGCATTCAGCGGCAACCCCAACCTGCAGAACCTGCTCATCCTCACGGCCATCAAGGCGGACAAGACGCGCGTCATGGACTACGTCAACCGCCTCGACAACTTCGACGGGCCCGCCGTCGGCGAGATCGCCGTGGGCAGCGAGCTCTACGAGGAGGCCTTCGCCATCTTCAAGAAGTTCAACCTGAATGTCCCAGCCGTGAACGTCCTCCTGGATAACATCAACAGCATTCCCCGCGCGGTCGAGTTCGCCAACCGTGTAGAGGAGCCTGAGGTGTGGTCACAGGTGGGGAAAGCACAGCTGCGGGAGGATCTGCTCTCCGAGGCCATCGCCTCGTTCATCCGCGCGGGCGACGGGTCCCAGTTCCACGAGGTCATCCGAGCCTCGGAGCGTGTGGACGCGTACGCCGACCTGGTGGAGTACCTGCTCATGGTGCGCAAGACCGTCAAGGACCCCAAGGTGGACCAGGAGCTCGTGTACGCCTACGCCAAGATCGAGAAGCTCGACGCCATCGAGGAGTTTATTGCTCTGCCCAACGTCGCAAACCTGCAGAGCGTGGGCGACCGGCTGTTTGACGAGGAGCTGTACGAGGCTGCGCGGATTATCTTCCAGCACATCTCCAACTGGGGCCGGCTGGCCAGCACGCTTGTGCGCCTGCAGCAGTTCCAGGCGGCGGTGGACGCGGCGCGCAAGGCCAACAGCGCGCGCGTGTGGAAGGAGGTGTGCTTTGCCTGTGTGGACGCGGAGGAGTTCCGTCTCGCGCAGATCTGCGGGCTGAACATCATCGTCCAGGTGGACGATATGGAGGAGGTCAGCGACTACTACCAGAACCGCGGTCGCTTTGACGAGGTCATGTCGCTCATGGAGAGCGGGCTGGGGCTGGAGCGTGCCCACATGGGGATTTTCACAGAGCTGGGGAGTCTGTATGCGCGCTACCGCCCTGAGAAGCTGATGGAACACCTGAAGCTGTTCTCCACGCGCATCAACATCCCGAAGCTCATCCGCGTGTGCGACGAGCAGCAGCACTGGAAGGAGCTCACGTTCCTGTACATCACGTATGACGAGTTTGACAACGCCTCCACCACCATCATGAGCCACTCGCCCGAGGCCTGGGAGCATGCACAGGTCCGTCCCCTCTCCTGCCCTTCCTTTACCCATGACTTTCTGCTTGCCCTTTTTTCTCTGCCGTTTTCTCCCGTGTGATGGTTTTTTGCCTTCTGTGCGGCTGTTGCGCACGTCTGCCTGTTGTCCTTCTCTTACTCAGTTTTTCCCTCTCTCTTCCCCATTGCAGTTCAAGGACGTGGTGGTGAAGGTGGCGAATCTGGAGATCTACTACCGCGCCATCCTCTTCTACCTGCAAGAGCACCCCGACCTCATTAACGACCTCCTCACCGTGCTTGCTCCCCGTGTTGACCATGCCCGCGTCGTCGACCTCATGCGCAAGGTAGGCACCCTAGTGCCATGTTGACTTGTCAAATGCCTAAGCTACCAATCCCCACTGCACATGGGATAGGGAGTGTGTCTGGTTCGGCGCTCATTAGTTTCGGTCCTACCTGTTTATCAAGTTGTTCCAGTTCATTCAGCGTTCACTTCAACATGTCATCCCCTCTCTCACGTTTGAGCAACCTGTCGCTGCTGATGCCTTACTTGATCGCCACCCGTAGACTGCCTTATCTGATTTCCATGTGCCTTTAGTCCTATCTTTTCCTCATACCTGATGTGCCTATTCGCACCACCCACCACACACCCCCCGCTCCTCCTCACTGCAGTCGGGCAACCTGCCGCTGGTGAAGCCGTACCTGGTGACGGTGCAGAGTGTGAACGTGGCGGCGGTGAACGAGGCGCTCAACAACCTGTACATCGAGGAGGAGGACTACGAGCGCCTGCGCGAGTCCATCGACATGCACGACAACTTCGACCAGATCTCCCTCGCCCAGAGGGTAACCCTGCACTCCCTGCAGTTGGCTTTACTTAGCAGAAAAGCTTGTTTCTCTCCTCTAGTGCAGCTAAGGTCCTCCATATCCTATGCACGCTTCTGCACTTGACCCTTTCCCTTTGCTGTTGCAATATACATTGTTCTCGGTCATACATTTCTATAGCCACCATCCTCACCTAACCTCCTGTCTGCCTTTCTCTCCGTTGCCCCTTTTTCTCTCGCCTTGTTCCCTCCCCCTTCTCTCCCTACTCCCTCCTCTCTCTCCTCTCTCCTCTCTCCTCCCCTCCCCCCCCCCCCGCAGATCGAGAAGCACGAGCTGCTGGAGTTCAGGCGCATAGCGGCGTTCATCTACAAGATGAGTGGGCGCTGGCGGGCGTCGCTGGCGCTGTCCAAGGCGGACAAGCTGTACAAGGACGCCATGGAGACCGCCTCCCAGTCCGGCGACAGGGAGCTCGCAGAGGAGTTGCTCAATTACTTCCTCGAGGAGGTCAGCCCGCTGCTCTGCCCTGCCCACCGACCTGCTTATCCATGCGCACCGAGTTCATCAATCCACTGCTCCAGCCTCACTGCCCCAGTTTCGCAGCCCCAGTCTCACAGCTTTAGGCTCGGTTCCACATTCAATTCAACTCGTCCTGCACCAACCCCTTCCCTCCCACTCCCTCCCTCAACTTCCCTCCCCTGCCTTTTCACCCGTTTCAGCCCCCCATCCACCACCTTTCCGCCCGCTCCTTTCTTGCCCCCCTCATCTTGCCATCGAGCTCTGACTCTCAACCATTTCCTCATCGTGCTGCCTCTTTGTGGGTGGGTGTGTGGGCACGGGCATGGGTGTGGTGCGGAGTGTGGATATTGCTATGGGGGTGTGTGGGTATGGGTATGTGTACGTGTGGTGTGTGTGTGCACGTGTTGCATGGCAGGACAAGAAGGAGTGCTTTGCAGCGTGCCTGTACACGTGCTACGATCTGCTGCGCCCAGACGTGGTGGTGGAGCTGGCATGGCTCAACAACATGCAGGACTATGTCATGCCCTACCTCATTCAGGTACCACACTGCTCTCTCCTCTCCTCATGCCCTGTGTCGTATTTCGAATTGCTATTTTTTTTCTGACTTGCATGCTCTGGGCTGTGTGTGCTTCAGCTTTGCCCAAGTGATTATCATCTATCTCATGGCTATTTTCTTCCTGTCCTGTGTGCTTCACTGCGTTTTCGCGAGGCAGTTTGTGCGTGAGTACTCGAGCAAGGTGGATGAGCTGGTGAAAGACAAGGAGGCAGCCAAGAAGGAGGTGGAGAAGAAGGCCAAGGAGGAGAAGGAGGTCATCGCCCAAGCGGTGAGATGCCCACACCATGGCCTCATACCCAGTCATGAAAAACATCATACCATGTTTATGGCTTTCTCCGCTCATGTGCTCTGTGCAGTCAAAATCAATGACATGATGTGTTTTGTGGCGGTGGTTTCTGTGTGCTCTGCAGAACATGTACCAAACGCTCATGCCACTCGCGTTGCCAGCGCCTCCCATGCCCGGTCAAGGCATGGATGGTGGTGCGTTCGGTGGTGCCCCTCCCATGCTGGCCTATGGCATGCCGCCCATGTACTGAGTGGGTCAACATGGTGTGGACTGATTAGTAACTCCAGCTTGCGATATACTGTGCTGTTGTGCCATTTAGAGTTTATTGCTAGGTGAGACATAGACATCCAAATCGCATCTGCAGAACAGGTTGTTTCATTCTGTACAAGAAACGGTACTTGACCTGTTAAACTTACTGATACGGTACCCTGTGATAAGCAGTCATCGGTTTAGGAACTATGCCAAGCTGTCCATCTCCCCAGGCCAATCTAGTTCAGAGCATCAGCAGATGCATAAGTTGGTTCAGTGATATTGATATGCCTGCCTGATATGCTACAAGGCTGCTTTACACTTGAAACACAGCATATCCTGCTAGTTCCCTCCCATCTGTCTCCACGGGCATATGGACTCTGCTCCAGCTGTATCTCAACCCACTTGCGGATTGACATCTGGCAATTCGCCTCCTCCCAGAATCTGTTGCACCGTCAACAGCCCTACTGCCGCCCAACAAACCGCCACCCACCCTTTCCTCAGCTGCCTCCCCAGCAAACTCCAAAAAGCTGGCATTCGCTTTCACCTTCCCTGTTACCCACAGCCATTTCTCTTGCCACGTGTCAATCACACAGAGCTTGCCGTCCAGAGACACCAGGAAGTAGCACTGGCGGAACGACCCTGCCCACCGGTGGCGTGAGGGCAGTGGCACGGCCGGCTCCCACTGCTTGCTCTCCAGATTGTACTCATGTATCATGTTGCGATCTAGTGTGTAAAACCTCCCGTAACACGTAACCACGTTGGACACTTCAAATCCTCCTCCGCCACCCCCACCACCACCACCATCACCATTCCGCCCACCCACCCGGCCAGCTTCCGCAGCCCCACCCGCAATTTCCCTCCTTTCTCCCGCTTCAGCTCCCCTTTCCCTTCCCCCTTCCCCGTCCCCTCCTCCCCCTTCCCTGTCCCCTTCCCCGCCTCTCCTTCCCCTCCCTCCCTCCGCCTCAACCGCTCCCCCTAATCCTACATCCGCTGCTCCTCCCCCGCCTTCACCCCCTCCCACGCCCGCGCCCGGGCCCGCGCCCGCGCGCGTGACGCCGAGCATGGCGAGGTTGCTGTCCTTGACGAGCGCCCACTCGTCGCGCGTGAACACAAACACCTTGTGGCGGAACGCGCGGCAGTGGAAGCTGCGCACCTTGCACTTGGTATGCCGGTACTCCGTCGAAAGCGGCGCCCATTTCCGCGAACCTTCGTCGAGGATTTTCAGAACCAGCCGGCCGTGTGCCTTGTCGAGAAACGAGACGCAAAGAAGCTCCTCCAGAATCTTCTCCCGCTGCCGGATATTGTAAATCGTCCCGCCGCGAAACGCGTCGCGCCAGGATTTGCAGACGAGGCCGAGGCGGAGGCGGCGCATGTAGGGCACGCGGGCGAGGCAGCGAATGGCGATTTCGTTTGGCAGGCCTGGGATGAGCAGGCGGTCGTCGATTGAGGACTCCGGAAACGCGTGCGCCGCGTCGTCCTGCGTCGTTATGACGACTATGCTCGCCATGGCGCTGTGCGACGATGGCGGTGACTTGTAGGGGAGGTGGAATTCAACGAAAAAAAAAAAGTACGAAGTTGTGCGAACACTGTTGACGAGAACTTAAGTTCCTGACAGGTGAAACAATAAACTAATTGTTACGTGACGCGGGAGCGACTCCATTAATAAGCAACTGAACAGGAAAGCTGCTGCTAAGACCAACACCCCTATGCAAGAACCACGCCCACAGCATTTGACTTGAGGCGGGATAAGGATGGGAGGTGGAGAAAGGTGGGATGGGGATGGGGAGGATGATTGCATCAGTAGGAGGTGCTCCGCCCCGTGCGCCCGCTGATCGTCCAGTACGGTTTGGTAGGATTTAACGCATTAAACAGAGGTTAGAAGTGATAATCACCGTCAATCGCAATGCACCGAAGATTACCGCGATTTTTATGAAAACGGAACATGCGTTGTGACGAGGATCCCGGAGGAGACGAGGGAACATGTGAGGGTGCGTGCAATGCAACACGAGGCACAGACACAACCAACGAGGTGTGGCAGGATGGACGTGTGTGGGTGCTGCTGCTGACGGAAACAGTCGAATGGATGGGCTGGACCAGACCAGGCTGGATGCGCAGAGGCAGAAAATGACTGACGGAGACGGAGGTGCCGACAAGAATGAGTCAACGGAGGAGACTGCTGTCGAAGTACAAATATCAATTTTTGTGGTGTACCTTGCAGTTAGCTTGTAGAAATCCAACTACTGCCAGCTTTCGCATTGTGTATGAAGCGAGTGTTCACAAAATCGAAACACCGCCCAACCACACACCCAAAGGGGTACTATACTACCATTCCCTGAGCCATATCTTCCCTTCCGCCTCCCAACCCAAGCCTGCTCTAGGGATTGTTGCTGGTTATATATTCCAAAAACTCCATGTGACAGCTCTCGGATAAGCCATGTCAAGCGCATTGATCAGATCGGCGGAGGAACAGCTCGCACCGTTGCACCTGAGAAGGTAAAGCACTTGAAGCGCCACGCATCGCGAAGTAGGCTGTTAATAGTTTCTTGAGGGGCGATGGGCCCGCAGCACTCCACAGATCGCCAAAACGCTGCTTCGACGCCGCGCCTTCTCGGCAGACTCGGCGCGTCCAATCCGCGAAGCGGCGCCGGCCGCCGGCGAGGCAGCACTGAGAAGCGGAAGGCCAGCAGCAGCGACAGAATTAATAATGGCGCAGGTGATAAGCGTGAGAGCAGCGCGACACAGCCGGCTGGCGGAAGCAGCGCGGTGTCGAGCAGCGGAGTTTCGGCCACCGGCGGAGTAACGGATCAGAAAGTAAACGAGGTGAAGGCGACGGTGGCGGCGGTTGGCGGGAAATGGGGGATAAGATCCCGGCATCGTAGCTCGAGCGCGGGGAACAGCGACGAGCTACGATTGGGCGGCGATGTGATTGTATCGAAGGGATCGGATAAACCGCGGCATAGTTCCGACGCGGTGATGGTACCGCGATCCGCGAGCTCCGAGAAACCAGCCGCCGGGAAAGGCGGCGGAGAAGGAGGAGTTCCTCGCGCAGCGTCTTACAGAGTGGATAGCGCTAGCGCTGCGGTTGCTTCCGCCTTGGCGGACAATAGGGGGGACAGTGGCGCGGGGGGAGCTACGGCGGGTGACAGTGTCAGTGGTGGTTCTGGCGGAGGGGAAAGACCTAGAAGTGGGGGGTCGGCGGAAGGAGGGCGGAGCCCGTGGCGGAGCGCAGTTGTAGGGGCCGTGGGGGGGGGAAGGACGGGGAACGGCGTAGGGACGCTAAGAGAAGGTGACATAGGCCCTCGTCCCGATATAAGCGCGCGCGATAGTGGCAGCCAAGCTTCGAATCAAGCGCAGCAGCAGCAACGGCAAGTGTCGCAGAAGGAGCTGCGCGCGGCGCAGAAGGAGCAGCGCATGCAGCAGAGACAGGCGCGCGCGCTGCTGCGCAAGCACGCGGGCGCTCAGTCCGGCGCACAGGCCGGCGCGCAAAAAGGCTCGCACCAGCGCTCCGCCAGCGGAGGCGTGCCCAGCAGCAGAACCGGAGGAGGAGGAGGCGGACGCGGAGCGGCAGGGGGACGAGGCGGAGGAAGCGGAGGGGCGGGGGGCAGGGGAAGCCACGTGACGGATAAGGTGTTGTGGCGGTTCGAGGTGAAACCGGGCGGCGGCGGCAGTGCCACGTCAGCGACATCCACCCCGTCCCCGTCCAAACCCGTCCAATCACACGTCGCAGGGTCCCTCCCTGCCACACCAGGCAGATCTGCCGGCCAATCAGGAAGCAGCAAAGGCAGCGGCGGAGGAGGAGGAGGGGCAGAAGCCGCAGGAGGAGGGAGCTCGTTACTGGGACAGCGGACGTTCAGTGGGGTGTCAGTCTCATCATACGTTGGCCTTCCCCCCTCCGCCTCTATGCCCGGCCCCTCCTTTGGCGGCCAATACAGCGGCACGCTCAGCGATCCGGGCGGGCCGGGTTACGGCGGTTACCACCACCGCGCCATGCCGTCTGACAGCAGCATCGACAGCTGGCAGGGCGGCGGAAGCGGGCTGATCCACGGCCTCGCTCCTGCTGCTGCTGCCGGCGCCGCTGCTGCTGCTTCTCCCGGCGCTGCTGCTTCTCCTGGCGCTGCTGGTGGTTATGCAGGTGGTGGTTTTGGTACGGTGGATGGTGGTGCAGGGGCAGGGTACGGTGTGCCCCCGTTCTCCCCCCACGCGCTCTCAACGCTCTCAGGCAGCCGCTCGGGCAATTTCTCAGGAGCGCTCTCTGACGCCGGCGGCAGTCCCTTTGGGTCGATGCCTCGTGGCGCCTTTGCTGCTGCGCCCTCTGCATGGTCGGGCGGCGCAGCAGCACCAGGAGCAGGAGCGACAGCAGCAGGGATGGTGGGAGGGGGTGACAGTGTTGGCAATTTGTTGCGCCTGGCACCGAATGAGCTCATGGCTGCTCTCATGCAGCAGCAACCGGGCATGATGCCGCCCTGCCCGCTACAACCCAGTCTCTTGCAGCCCAGTTTACTCCAGCCGAATCAGCTGCAGTCAAGTTTGCTACAACCGAGCCTGCTGCAACCGAGTTTGTTGCAACCAAGTCTGCTACAAGCGTTGCAGCCCGGGCCTAGCACCCTCTCTGCTTCTGCTACTGCACCACCAGCTGCACCATCCACTTCCTTTTCCGAGCCTGCTGCAGCTGGTTTGGGCGCAGCCATACCTGCAGGCACGGAAGCTAACACTTACACGTATTTGGGTGGGAACAGAGAGGAGGACGATGGGCCAGGGAGAGATGCTGACGTGGATTCTGTGGATGATGACAGGGATGATGAGTCACAGGACGAAGGTGCTGAGTCAGAGATTGAGGGAGAGCGAGTAGAGGGATTCCGAGCCACGATAAGGGCAAAGGCAGGGATAGGTTCGGCATGGGGGCTGGGTTCCAAGCCTCGATCCAGCCTGCTATTAACTCCCTCCGAACCTCTTTCAGAAACTAATTTAACGACAGGCTCTGAGGAACTAGGGTTAGGGTTTGGATACGGCCGTGCCGAACCTGTTGCGTGTGGCACTTTGCCAGCCATGTTTCCGCCGATCCGGCCGTCCAGGCTCGGAATTTGCCCTGGGCGGGAGCTTGGGGAGGTGGTTGCATTTCAAGTGGCTCAAAGGGGGGAGAGGAAGGGAGGAGGGGAGGAGGGAGGAGAGGAGGGAGGCGAGGACAGGGGGTCGGATGGAGGGTGGGGAGAGGAGGAGGAGGACGATGATGATGTGTATGCAGAGGATGAGATTGATAACGAGGCTCTGGTGGCCGCCTTAGAAGATGGGCTCATGGCCTTCAGACAAGACAAGGTGACGCCCACAGTGCAGTGCACTCTGTAATAAGTTTGACAGAGAGTTTGGTGTGTTGCCCTTTGCCTCTTTCCGTTTCCTGTGTTGCTAGCCACCCACGCAGCATGTGGAGGTGTGGGGCACTGTTGGGTTGCTGCTGGACGTCCGCGAGTGCTGCCTGCCGTCTCTCTCCCTTCCGCCTCCCACACCTTTTCCCACTCCCCTTTTTCTGTCCTCTCCCTCCCTCCCTTTCGGCTGGGCGTATGGCAGAGCGAGAACGCGAGTGAGAGCTGTGCGGTGCTGCTGGACGCGCTGTTGGACATCTGCGAGTCCACCTTCGGCTTCATCGCCTCCAACTTCCGCATGCCCCACGGCGACCCCTGCCTCAAGGTGTGTGTGCTCACTACTAAGAAGGTGTGCTGTCTGGCATGAATATGTGCTGGGTGTGTGTGCTCACTGCTAAGAAGGTGTGCTGTCTGGCATGAATATGTGCTGGGTGTGTGTGCTCACTGCTAAGAAGGTGTGCTGTCTGGCATGAATATGTGCTGGGTGTGTGTGCTCACTGCTAAGAAGGTGTGCTGTCTGGCATGAATATGTGCTGGGTGTGTGTGTCTGCTGAAGGTGCGCTGTATGCTCACATGCCCTTTCCTCTGTGAGAAGATAAACTCCTCAAGAGGTGCCCAGCTTGTGCCATGGCTTGATGCATGGCCTCGGCCATTCTTAAGAGACCCAAACCTCTCTTCCTGCTCCTCCAACTCATTCCTCCAACCCTCACCTCACCCGGGTTTCCTGGCCTGTTGGGGTATCATCAGCCTCCTGTTTCTCTTCCTGTCTGCTTCCCCACTCACTCGCCTTTGTTCTCCACCCTCTGTATATCGTATCCCTCTCCTTCCCCGTCTTCCTATTGCTATCGCAGACCCATGCCATAACAAACATTCTCTGGACCGACAAGCTAAGGACGTGGTTTGCCGACCACTCGGCGGCCGGTCTTGTCTTCACAGATGTGGCTGAAACAGGCCTCTTTGGCCGGGCGGCGCTGAGGGGCGAGGCGGTATGGAGCGACGACCCGCCAGCTGGCAGCCTGCCCAAGGGGCATCCACGTGTCAACACTGCATTCGCCATGCCTCTCATCTGCGGTGTGTGGTCTGCTTGCTTTCGATTGCCCTCTCTTGCTCTCTCCCACTCCTGCTCGCTCCCACCTCAACTCTCTGTCTCTCTCTCTCTCTCTCCCACTCTTGCTATCTGCTGCCTTTCTTGTGGTTGCTTGCTTCAAACTGCCTCAAGGAAGGGGTCCCCTGCCCTGATGTGTTCTCGCCCATGGCCCATTGCCCACAACCCCATATCCAATAATGCATGATGGGCCATGGGATGCATGATGGGCCATGGGATGCATGACGGGCCATGGGACACATGACGCATGACGCATGACGCATGACACATGTTCACTGGCTTGTTCACGTCTACACACCCTTGAATTCAACCATGCCCTTCAACTCAACCATGCCCTTCAATTCAACCATGCCCTTCAACTCAACCATGCCCTTCAACTCAACCGTGCCCTTCAACTCAACCATGCCCTTCAATTCAACCATGCCCTTCAACTCAACCATGCCCTTCAACTCAACCATGCCCTTCAACTCAACCATGCCCTTCAACTCAACCATGCCCTTCAATTCAACCATGCCCTTCAATTCAACCATGCCCTTCAACTCAACCATGCCCTTCAACTCAACCATGCCCTTCAACTCAACCATGCCCTTCAACTCGACCATGCCCTTCAACTCAACCATGCCCTTCAACTCAACCATGCCCTTCAACTCGACCATGCCCTTCAACTCAACCATGCCCTTCAACTCAACCATGCCCTTCAACTCAACCATGCCCTTCAACTCAACCATGCCCTTCAACTCACCATGGCAGTGGTGGAAAATCGCATGGGCGGGTACAGCCTGGGGCTGCTGCGCGCTGTGCACCCATCCGCGCCTTTGACTGAACCACGCCCACCACCATCCACCGCCCCTACTGTCCTTGCTGTCCCTCTTGTTCCCATTCAGGCACAGCCATAGTGGGCGTGGCGGTGGTGGCGAATCGCATAGGCGGGTACAGCCACGGGCTGCTGCGCGCCGTGCAGCCGCTGCTCTCCCTCATGGCCTCGCTGCTCTTCTGCCTGCACTGGCGCAACGACGGTGGCAGGGACCTCAGAAGACGAGTGCTCAGCCTTGTACAGGTGCGTGCGTGGAGACGGGGTTGATGGGGGGAGGGGACGGGAGGGGAGCGTGGTGCGGGGAAGGAAGGCGGTAAAGAATCCTTTCTTGTATTCAGTAGTGTGGCTGTATCACTCACTCAGGAGGGTATATGGCAAGCAGCCTGCCTGTGGTCTTTTGTGGCAATGCCTGTGCAACAGGCATGTGTGTGCGGCAGAGATTCCAGTAACCATGTATGCATGCCCATGTATGCATGCCCATGTATGCATGCCCATGTATGCATGCCCATGTATGCATGCCCGTGTATGCATGCCTGTGTATGCATGCCCGTGTATGCATGCCCATGTATGCATGCCCGTGTATGCATGCCCATGTGTGCATGCCCGTGTATGCATGCCCATGTGTGCATGCCCATGTATGCATGCCCATGTGTGCATGCCCATGTATGCATGCCCATGTATGCATGCCCATGTATGCATGCCCATGTATGCATGCCCATGTATGCATGCCCTTATGCCCCTGTGTGCACCTGCGAGCCCACAGGACGGGCACATAGACGTGGACGGCAGGGGGCACATCACATGCATGGATGCTGCTGCCTGTGCTATCTTTGGCGTCAACCCCCTCACTGCCGCCCTCATGGCTGCTGCACCCGCCATGTCAGCAACAGCCGCCACGTCAGCGACGGACCTTGCCAGCGAAGCAGACAGCGCAGCGGTTTCTGCAGAAGGAGAGGGAGCAGCTGCGTCAGCAACGGCACCGGGGGCGGTGTGCCCGCCCCTTGGCCAGCTGTCAGTTGCTGATTTGTTCGCTCGGATCGGGGACCAGCCAGTCACAGCAGACGTTGACGTGGAAGGTAGGGCAGCCATGGGGGGTAGGCCCTCCCTTCCATTATGTCTTCTCTTTCCAGTCAAGGCAAAGTCGTGTCGAAGTAGACCGCTTAGCTCATCATGAATGTCTGTCCAGGGTTGTTCTATTCTATCACAATAAGCTGCTGTCACCCCCTCTTTCCCATCTCTCACTCTCATACCCTTCCTCAATCTGCTGCATGTGTGCATCCATTAAGTACTCTCCATCAGGGCCTGCGCTTGAGGCGCCTCAACAGTAGATTCCTTCATCTGCTGCATGTGTCCATCCACTAACTACTCTCCATTGATGCCTGCACACTGCTGCTTGATTCTCTCCCATTCCTGCTTTTCCTCCCCACTGCACACCCCCTCCCCAACCCCACCACCACCAGCCATTGCACAGCAGCTGCAGACGCCCCACCCAGCAGTGGGCAAGCAGCAGGGCGGAGCCCACATTCTTCTTCAGGTTAACCTCTGCCCTCATGCTCCTGCTGCTGGTAGCAGCAGCAGCAGCAGCAGCAGCAGCAGCAGCAGCAGCAGCAGCAGCAGCAGCAGCAGCAGCAGCAGCAGCAGCAGCAGCAGCAGCAGCAGCAGCAGCAGCAGTGAGAGCAGGGTGCACAGGGCAGTGGTGCGGCTGCTGGCTCGCTCAGACTGATGTAAGGACAGAGAGTATGCTCGTGCCAAGAGCATTGGATGGGTTTTGAGGCGCCTCAAAAGCAGTGAGAGCAGGGTGCATAGGGCAGTGGTGCGGCTGCTGGCTCGCTCAGACTGATGCCACGACAGAGGGAGGGTACCATGCTTGTGTGAAGAGCAGCGGACGTTATTTGTGCCACGCTGCGCTACTCAGCACTGCAACTGCTGCACTCTAAGGCACAAGGTCCGTGGCTGTGGCTTACCAGTATGAGGACCATTGGGGGAGTGTGTGTGTACAAAGGAATATGCAGTGATACTGTATTTGCACAGAAGATACCGGTAAAGGCGAGGCTGCCAAATGCCGGAGGGGCTGACAGGCTTGAGGCTGGGTGTTGGGTAGGTAGGTAGGCAGGCATCCACTTGAAAAAAAATGGCCCAGCTTGACAGGCCAGTATAAAGACACCTCAAACTTCAGCGCCAACTTTACAAACAAGAGACATCCACGTTCACAAGTGTACCATCTTTCCATTGCGATTTTACCATCACCAGCACATACACCTTGCAATAGGTAAACCCCCCTCCTACATGCACCGACAGTTACGGGGGGCGGAACACATGACGGGCAGTAGGGGGGGGTGAGTGGGCAGCAGCAGCGTGCAGGCAGTGGGGGGTGGCACCTCCAAGAAGTGCCACACCTGCTTGCCCCCCACGTGTCACATGCCTTGAATGCTCCGACACCCCTTGCGCACCTGCTGCTGTCTGCTGCTGCTGCTGCTGTTGTTGCTGCTGCTGCTGCTGTTGTTGCTGCTGCTGCTGCTGTGCATGTGCTGCTGACTGCTGCTGGCGCGGTAGGTGCTGTGGGGAAGGAGGAGGGTGGAGCAGTGCCAACACACCCTGCTGCTCTCTCCCTTGCACCTCCGCTCCCCCTTGCATGTGCCTTCGTCCCTGCACCTGCCCTATCCGACGCTGCTGCTGCTGCTCTTGCCCCTGCTGTTGCACCCGCCCCTGCTGGTGCTGGTCAAACGCATCCCCATGTGGTAACAGCCAGTCATCCCCGCCCTCCGCTGCTTCCAGCTGCTCCCTGTGCTGCCTGCCTCTATTCACCCAACCACCACCACCCCCCTCACCACCACCAACCCCAACACCACCACCATCATACCCACCACCGTCATCATCATCATCAGTACCATGTGAACCCCCTAAACCAGCAGGGTTACCAGCAGCGGTGGTGTTACAGCGCAGCAGGGCAGAGATTGTGTCAGTGCTGCCCCGCAGCTGCTGCCAGCTGCTCTCCATCTGTTGCTGCACCACCTGGTGCCGTGCCAGGTGCGCCCTGGGAACAGCACAGGAGGGCACAACAGCACAAGACAGGCAGAAAGTAGGGCTCCTAGTTAAAGCCTTTTACGCACCAGAAGGAACAGCTGTTCAAGTTACTTACAGTCAAACTGGCATAGGCTCTACGAGTTAGAGGTCAAGAGGGTAAAGGCCTTACAGGTACAATGATAGGCGGGGCAAGTGGCAGTGACTCTCACCTGAGTGTGTCGGCCTGACTCTGCAGCCGCTGCCTTTCCAGCTTCACCTGATGGTGGTAAAGGGGGCGCGGGGGGTGGTGGGGGGGTGTGAGGACAAAGAAAAGGGGGACTTAGAGGTAAATTGGAGGGGGGAGGCTTCATGGAACACAAAGGGAGTGAGCTTGACCAATAGTAATGAGGATGAAGGAGAAGAGGAGTAATGCATAAAAACCCAATTATGCTGCTGCACTGCTGCTGCACAGCAAGCATGCTCTGCTGCACTGCACCCAGGAGTTGCATGGTAGGAAAAACGTGCTGGTGGGGGTGGTGGTAGAAAGGCGATACTTTATGGAGAGACGCTTGCAGGCTAGCCTCGGTTTGCCTCCACTGCTGTGCTGCTGCCACATGCTGTTCTGCTGTCTGCTCCACCTGCCATGCGACATGGGACGAGCGAGGCAAGGGTCATGATGCAAGGCATGGCGTAGGATTACAAACACACAGACACAAAACTCGTGAATTTCAAGCAGCAGAAGAAGAAGCAAGCAAGCAGCAGGCGGAACAAACGGCTTGTTGACGAGACTCATCAAAGGGCCTGCTTCTCGTGTGGCCTACCTGCTTCACCCGCTCGCTGAGCTCATCAGCCCGCTTCCTGGAGTCTTCTAGACGCTGCTCTGCACACTGCTTCTGACCCACAGCCTGGCAAATGGGAGATATGGGCATGGGGTCATGCGGCATGAGGGAATGGGGGTATGGAGGCATTGGGGTGGGGGCATGGGGGCGGAGTCATGGGGTCATGGGGGCATGGGGGCATGGGGGCATGGGGTCATGGGGTCATGGGGGCATGGGGTCATGGGGGCATGGGGTCATGGGGTCATGGGGCATATTGCATTCGGGCATGGGGGCATGGGGTCACAGGGCAGGAGGGAGGGTACTGCAGGCATAAAACGATGAGGCGACAAGACAAACGCACCCCACTGCCCTCTGCCCCTACCCTCTTCCAGCCATAACACTCCACCAATGCCCCATCCTACAGGCCAACCAACACACTTCCCCACACTCCCACCACTATGACCCTCCCACCTCTATCAGCCTTGCTTGGATCTGCTCCACCTCTCGCCTGTGCTGCTCCGCCTTCCTCCGCTGCTCCTCCGCTGCTTGCTGCTGCTGCCGCAACTCCATTTCCACCTGCCGTTTCCAGGTAACAGGCAAGGCGTGTGGGACACGGCGGGAGTGGGGCAAGGCGGGTGAAACGATGAATGAAATGAGGTGCAGGAGAAGTGATGCAGTGGCTGACACTGGCATGGTGAACCGATGGGCAGAGGAGAGTGAGAACCGATGGGCAGAGGAGAACTTCTTTCTCAAAGAAGACTCACCTGGGCGCTGTGCTGCTGGGCGACGTTTTGAGTCGACTCAAAACTCGACTCAAAACCCGACTCAAAACGCGACTCAAAACGCAACTCAAAAACGACTCAAAGAAGACGCACCTGGGCGCTGTGCTGCTGGGCGTCTCTCAGAGCCTGCTGCAGCTGCTGCTGCTCTTGCTGGAGCGATCAACGAGAGGGCGAGAGAGGAGGGGAGGCAAAGGGGAGGCAAAGGGGAAGCAAAGGGGAGGCAAAGGGGAGGCAAAGGGGAGGCAAAGGGGAGGCAAAGGGGAGGCTAAGGGGAGGCAAAGGGGAGGCAAAGGGGAGGCAAAGGGGAGGCTAAGGGGAGGCTAAGGGGAGGCTAAGGGGAGGCAAAGGGGAGGAAACTGCGGAAGTAATAAAGAGGCAGGGTCAAACAAGGGAGAGGCGGATAGAGATGGGAGAAGTAGAGGAGATTCATGGACAGGAATTGAAAGAACCAGACACTCCCACTGGCCACCCACACGCGCGCGCGCGCACACACACACACACACACACCTCCACCCTCCATTCCTCCAGTGCCAACCTCCCCACCCCTTCCATCCCTCTCCCCTCCCATGTGCTTCCCCCACGCCCCCAGTTGTGCCTACACCTGCCAAAGTCCTCACCTGCACCTCCCCCAGTCCTCACCTGCACCTCCCCCAGTCCTCACCTGCACCTCCCCCAGTCCTCACCTGAACCCCCTTCCAGTCTTCACCTGCACACCCCCCCAGTCCTCACCGGCACCTCCCCCAGTCCCCACCTGCACCTCCCGCAGTTGTGCCTGTACTGCTGCAAGCTGCTGGGCTGCTCGGGATTGCTCCTGGGCAGAGGGGGAAGGGGTGGAAGGATGGAGGAGAGGGGGCACGGAAAGCCATATGAGCACATTTAGGAGGCAAAAGAGAGGTGGGAGAGAGAATGGTGCAAATGGAAATACGAGATGGGGGGAATGGGGGGCACATACACAGCAACAGCACCACGGCACACACGTGCATTAATGATGCCAAGCATCGGATGTCACCCGATTCGTGCTGTTCTCACCTGAGAATGGGTGGCTTTCATAGAATCCATTGCTTGTCGCTGCGATGCCACCTCAGCATGCAGTGCCAACAGCTGGCAGAAGAAGATTGGACAACAGGAAAAGGGGGTGAGTGGATTGGAACCAGGTGGAGCAAGAACACACGAGAGTGACAGGAGCACCTGACAGGAGTAACAGATGAGAATGAGCAGACGCAGGAGTAGCAGGAGGAGCGGGGGGAACACGAGGAGGAGGAGAGTGGAGTAGAGCAGGTAATGGACAAGGACAGGTGCAAGTAGTGTGGGATAAGTGCAGCGCCTCCAGTAGCAGCACCACGCACCTCCTCACGTGCTGCCTGCAGCTCCCCTCTGAGCGTCTCAGCCTCCTGCTGCTGCCTGCTCGCCCTCCTGCACGGCACAACGCACGAACACACTTGCATGACGCTTGTTGGGTGGCACAGAGGGACAGTGGAACGGTGGGGATTCCACAGCTACAATGCACTGCAGGGCACGCAGCGGATCACTTAGGCAAGCTACGGGCCACCCTGCCCAGCTTCCCCCCATTGCCTGGAATACACCAAGTGACCTGCTGACCTCGTTGCTTCCTGAGCATCAGCTTCGGCTTGCGCTAGCTGCGCCTCTAGTTGCTTCATCCTCGCCTCGCCCTCCCCCACGCGCCTCTCCAGCTCACACGCCCGCTGCTGCTGCTCTTCCGCCTTCCGCCGCTCCGCTTCCCTCTGCTGTCGCTCCGCTTCACGCTGCAACATTGGACATCAGGAAACTTGCATCACATGAGAGAGCCTTCATTTACCGGCCAATGCCGGAATGCACACCCCTGCCTGCATGCATGCACACCCCTGCCTGCCTGCCTGCACACCCCTGCCTGCCTGCCTGCACACCCCTGCCTGCCTGCCTGCATGCCCCTGCCTGCCTGCATGCACACCCCTGCCTGCCTGCATGCACACCCCTGCCTGCCTGCATGCACACCCCTGCCTGCCTGCATGCACACCCCTGCCTGCCTGCATGCACACCCCTGCCTGCCTGCATGCACACCCCTGCCTGCCTGCATGCACACCCCTGCCTGCCTGCATGCACACCCCTGCCTGCCTGCATGCACACCCCTGCCTGCCTGCATGCACACCCCTGCCTGCCTGCATGCACACCCCTGCCTGCCTGCATGCACACCCCTGCCTGCCTGCATGCACACCCCTGCCTGCCTGCATGCACACCCCTGCCTGCCTGCATGCACACCCCTGCCTGCCTGCATGCACACCCCTGCCTGCCTGCATGCACACCCCTGCCTGCCTGCATGCACACCCCTGCCTGCCTGCATGCACACCCCTGCCTGCCTGCATGCACACCCCTGCCTGCCTGCATGCACACCCCTGCCTGCCTGCATGCACACCCCTGCCTGCCTGCATGCACACCCCTGCCTGCCTGCATGCACACCCCTGCCTGCCTGCATGCACACCCCTGCCTGCCTGCATGCACACCCCTGCCTGCCTGGATGCACACCCCTGCCTGCCTGCATGCACACCCCTGCCTGCCTGCATGCACACCCCTGCCTGCCTGCATGCACACCCCTGCCTGCCTGCATGCACACCCCACCCCTGCCTGCCTGCATGCACACCCCTGCCTGCCTGCATGCACACCCCTGCCTGCCTGCCTGCATGCACACCCCTGCCTGCCTGCATGCACACCCCTGCCTGCCTGCCTGCATGCACACCCCTGCCTGCCTGCATGCACACCCCTGCCTGCCTGCCTGCATGCACACCCCTGCCTGCCTGCCTGCATGCACACCCCTGCCTGCCTGCATGCACACCCCTGCCTGCCTGCCTGCATGCACACCCCTGCCTGCCTGCATGCACACCCCTGCCTGCCTGCCTGCATGCACACCCCTGCCTGCCTGCCTGCATGCACACCCCTGCCTGCCTGCCTGCATGCACACCCCTGCCTGCCTGCCTGCATGCACACCCCTGCCTGCCTGCCTGCATGCACACCCCTGCCTGCCTGCCTGCATGCACACCCCTGCCTGCCTGCCTGCATGCACACCCCTGCCTGCCTGCCTGCATGCACACCCCTGCCTGCCTGCCTGCATGCACACCCCTGCCTGCCTGCCTGCATGCACACCCCTGCCTGCCTGCCTGCATGCACACCCCTGCCTGCCTGCCTGCATGCACACCCCTGCCTGCCTGCCTGCATGCACACCCCTGCCTGCCTGCATGCACACCCCTGCCTGCCTGCATGCACACCCCTGCCTGCCTGCATGCACACCCCTGCCTGCCTGCATGCACACCCCTGCCTGCCTGCACACCCTGCCTGCCTGCCTGCACCCCCCTGCCTGCCTGCCTGCATGCACACCCCTGCCTGCCTGCCTGCCTGCATGCACACCCCTGCCTACCTGCCTGCCTGCATGCACACCCCTGCCTACCTGCCTGCCTGCATGCACACCCCTGCCTACCTGCCTGCCTGCATGCACACCCCTGCCTACCTGCCTGCCTGCATGCACACCCCTGCCTACCTGCCTGCCTGCATGCACACCCCTGCCTACCTGCCTGCCTGCATGCACACCCCTGCCTACCTGCCTGCCTGCATGCACACCCCTGCCTACCTGCCTGCCTGCATGCACACCCCTGCCTACCTGCCTGCCTGCATGCACACCCCTGCCTACCTGCCTGCCTGCATGCACACCCCTGCCTACCTGCCTGCCTGCATGCACACCCCTGCCTACCTGCCTGCCTGCATGCACACCCCTGCCTACCTGCCTGCCTGCATGCACACCCCTGCCTACCTGCCTGCCTGCATGCACACCCCTGCCTACCTGCCTGCCTGCATGCACACCCCTGCCTACCTGCCTGCCTGCATGCACACCCCTGCCTACCTGCCTGCCTGCATGCACACCCCTGCCTACCTGCCTGCCTGCATGCACACCCCTGCCTACCTGCCTGCCTGCATGCACACCCCTGCCTACCTGCCTGCCTGCATGCACACCCCTGCCTACCTGCCTGCCTGCATGCACACCCCTGCCTACCTGCCTGCCTGCATGCACACCCCTGCCTACCTGCCTGCCTGCATGCACACCCCTGCCTACCTGCCTGCCTGCATGCACACCCCTGCCTACCTGCCTGCCTGCATGCACACCCCTGCCTACCTGCCTGCCTGCATGCACACCCCTGCCTACCTGCCTGCCTGCATGCACACCCCTGCCTACCTGCCTGCCTGCATGCACACCCCTGCCTACCTGCCTGCCTGCATGCACACCCCTGCCTACCTGCCTGCCTGCATGCACACCCCTGCCTACCTGCCTGCCTGCATGCACACCCCTGCCTACCTGCCTGCCTGCATGCACACCCCTGCCTACCTGCCTGCCTGCATGCACACCCCTGCCTACCTGCCTGCCTGCATGCACACCCCTGCCTACCTGCCTGCCTGCATGCACACCCCTGCCTACCTGCCTGCCTGCATGCACACCCCTGCCTACCTGCCTGCCTGCATGCACACCCCTGCCTACCTGCCTGCCTGCATGCACACCCCTGCCTACCTGCCTGCCTGCATGCACACCCCTGCCTACCTGCCTGCCTGCATGCACACCCCTGCCTACCTGCCTGCCTGCATGCACACCCCTGCCTACCTGCCTGCCTGCATGCACACCCCTGCCTACCTGCCTGCCTGCATGCACACCCCTGCCTACCTGCCTGCCTGCATGCACACCCCTGCCTACCTGCCTGCCTGCATGCACACCCCTGCCTACCTGCCTGCCTGCATGCACACCCCTGCCTACCTGCCTGCCTGCATGCACACCCCTGCCTACCTGCCTGCCTGCATGCACACCCCTGCCTACCTGCCTGCCTGCATGCACACCCCTGCCTACCTGCCTGCCTGCATGCACACCCCTGCCTACCTGCCTGCCTGCATGCACACCCCTGCCTACCTGCCTGCCTGCATGCACACCCCTGCCTACCTGCCTGCCTGCATGCACACCCCTGCCTACCTGCCTGCCTGCATGCACACCCCTGCCTACCTGCCTGCCTGCATGCACACCCCTGCCTACCTGCCTGCCTGCATGCACACCCCTGCCTACCTGCCTGCCTGCATGCACACCCCTGCCTACCTGCCTGCCTGCATGCACACCCCTGCCTACCTGCCTGCCTGCATGCACACCCCTGCCTACCTGCCTGCCTGCATGCACACCCCTGCCTACCTGCCTGCCTGCATGCACACCCCTGCCTACCTGCCTGCCTGCATGCACACCCCTGCCTACCTGCCTGCCTGCATGCACACCCCTGCCTACCTGCCTGCCTGCATGCACACCCCTGCCTACCTGCCTGCCTGCATGCACACCCCTGCCTACCTGCCTGCCTGCATGCACACCCCTGCCTACCTGCCTGCCTGCATGCACACCCCTGCCTACCTGCCTGCCTGCATGCACACCCCTGCCTACCTGCCTGCCTGCATGCACACCCCTGCCTACCTGCCTGCCTGCATGCACACCCCTGCCTACCTGCCTGCCTGCATGCACACCCCTGCCTACCTGCCTGCCTGCATGCACCCCTGCCTACCTGCCTGCCTGCATGCACACCCCTGCCTACCTGCCTGCCTGCATGCACACCCCTGCCTACCTGCCTGCCTGCATGCACACCCCTGCCTACCTGCCTGCCTGCATGCACACCCCTGCCTACCTGCCTGCCTGCATGCACACCCCTGCCTACCTGCCTGCCTGCATGCACACCCCTGCCTACCTGCCTGCCTGCATGCACACCCCTGCCTACCTGCCTGCCTGCATGCACACCCCTGCCTACCTGCCTGCCTGCATGCACACCCCTGCCTACCTGCCTGCCTGCATGCACACCCCTGCCTACCTGCCTGCCTGCATGCACACCCCTGCCTACCTGCCTGCCTGCATGCACACCCCTGCCTACCTGCCTGCCTGCATGCACACCCCTGCCTACCTGCCTGCCTGCATGCACACCCCTGCCTACCTGCCTGCCTGCATGCACACCCCTGCCTACCTGCCTGCCTGCATGCACACCCCTGCCTACCTGCCTGCCTGCATGCACACCCCTGCCTACCTGCCTGCCTGCATGCACACCCCTGCCTACCTGCCTGCCTGCATGCACACCCCTGCCTACCTGCCTGCCTGCATGCACACCCCTGCCTACCTGCCTGCCTGCATGCACACCCCTGCCTACCTGCCTGCCTGCATGCACACCCCTGCCTACCTGCCTGCCTGCATGCACACCCCTGCCTACCTGCCTGCCTGCATGCACACCCCTGCCTACCTGCCTGCCTGCATGCACACCCCTGCCTACCTGCCTGCCTGCATGCACACCCCTGCCTACCTGCCTGCCTGCATGCACACCCCTGCCTACCTGCCTGCCTGCATGCACACCCCTGCCTACCTGCCTGCCTGCATGCACACCCCTGCCTACCTGCCTGCCTGCATGCACACCCCTGCCTACCTGCCTGCCTGCATGCACACCCCTGCCTACCTGCCTGCCTGCATGCACACCCCTGCCTACCTGCCTGCCTGCATGCACACCCCTGCCTACCTGCCTGCCTGCATGCACACCCCTGCCTACCTGCCTGCCTGCATGCACACCCCTGCCTACCTGCCTGCCTGCATGCACACCCCTGCCTACCTGCCTGCCTGCATGCACACCCTGCCTACCTGCCTGCCTGCATGCACACCCCTGCCTACCTGCCTGCCTGCATGCACACCCCTGCCTACCTGCCTGCCTGCATGCACACCCTGCCTACCTGCCTGCCTGCATGCACACCCCTGCCTACCTGCCTGCCTGCATGCACACCCCTGCCTACCTGCCTGCCTGCATGCACACCCCTGCCTACCTGCCTGCCTGCATGCACACCCCTGCCTACCTGCCTGCCTGCATGCACACCCCTGCCTACCTGCCTGCCTGCATGCACACCCCTGCCTACCTGCCTGCCTGCATGCACACCCCTGCCTACCTGCCTGCCTGCATGCACACCCCTGCCTACCTGCCTGCCTGCATGCACACCCCTGCCTACCTGCCTGCCTGCATGCACACCCCTGCCTACCTGCCTGCCTGCATGCACACCCCTGCCTACCTGCCTGCCTGCATGCACACCCCTGCCTACCTGCCTGCCTGCATGCACACCCCTGCCTACCTGCCTGCCTGCATGCACACCCCTGCCTACCTGCCTGCTGCCTGCATGCACACCCCTGCCTACCTGCCTGCCTGCATGCACACCCCTGCCTACCTGCCTGCCTGCATGCACACCCCTGCCTACCTGCCTGCCTGCATGCACACCCCTGCCTACCTGCCTGCTGCATGCACACCCCTGCCTACCTGCCTGCCTGCATGCACACCCCTGCCTACCTGCCTGCCTGCATGCACACCCCTGCCTACCTGCCTGCCTGCATGCACACCCTGCCTACCTGCCTGCCTGCATGCACACCCCTGCCTACCTGCCTGCCTGCATGCACACCCCTGCCTACCTGCCTGCCTGCATGCACACCCCTGCCTACCTGCCTGCCTGCATGCACACCCCTGCCTACCTGCCTGCTGCATGCAACCCTGCACCTGCCTGCATGCACACCCCTGCCTACCTGCCTGCCTGCATGCACACCCCTGCCTACCTGCCTGCCTGCATGCACACCCCTGCCTACCTGCCTGCCTGCATGCACACCCCCTGCCTACCTGCCTGCCTGCATGCACACCCCTGCCTACCTGCCTGCCTGCATGCACACCCCTGCCTACCTGCCTGCCTGCATGCACACCCCTGCCTACCTGCCTGCCTGCATGCACACCCCTGCCTACCTGCCTGCCTGCATGCACACCCCTGCCTACCTGCCTGCCTGCATGCACACCCCTGCCTACCTGCCTGCCTGCATGCACACCCCTGCCTACCTGCCTGCCTGCATGCACACCCCTGCCTACCTGCCTGCCTGCATGCACACCCCTGCCTACCTGCCTGCCTGCATGCACACCCCTGCCTACCTGCCTGCCTGCATGCACACCCCTGCCTACCTGCCTGCCTGCATGCACACCCCTGCCTACCTGCCTGCCTGCATGCACACCCCTGCCTACCTGCCTGCCTGCATGCACACCCCTGCCTACCTGCCTGCCTGCATGCACACCCCTGCCTACCTGCCTGCCTGCATGCACACCCCTGCCTACCTGCCTGCCTGCATGCACACCCCTGCCTGCCTGCATGCACACCCCTGCCTGCCTGCCTGCATGCACACCCCTGCCTGCCTGCCTGCATGCACACCCCTGCCTGCCTGCATGCACACCCCTGCCTGCCTGCCTGCATGCACACCCCTGCCTGCCTGCCTGCATGCACACCCCTGCCTGCCTGCCTGCATGCACACCCCTGCCTGCCTGCCTGCATGCACACCCCTGCCTGCCTGCCTGCATGCACACCCCTGCCTGCCTGCTGCATGCACACCCCTGCCTGCCTGCCTGCAATGCACACCCCTGCCTGCCTGCCTGCATGCACACCCCTGCCTGCCTGCCTGCATGCACACCCCTGCCTGCCTGCCTGCATGCACACCCCTGCCTGCCTGCCTGCATGCACACCCCTGCCTGCCTGCCTGCATGCACACCCCTGCCTGCCTGCCTGCATGCACACCCCTGCCTGCCTGCCTGCATGCACACCCCTGCCTGCCTGCCTGCATGCACACCCCTGCCTGCCTGCCTGCATGCACACCCCTGCCTGCCTGCCTGCATGCACACCCTGCCTGCCTGCCTGCATGCACACCCCTGCCTGCCTGCCTGCATGCACACCCCTGCCTGCCTGCCTGCATGCACACCCCTGCCTGCCTGCCTGCATGCACACCCCTGCCTGCCTGCCTGCATGCACACCCCTGCCTGCCTGCCTGCATGCACACCCCTGCCTGCCTGCCTGCATGCACACCCCTGCCTGCCTGCCTGCATGCACACCCCTGCCTGCCTGCCTGCATGCACACCCCTGCCTGCCTGCCTGCATGCACACCCCTGCCTGCCTGCCTGCATGCACACCCCTGCCTGCCTGCCTGCATGCACACCCCTGCCTGCCTGCCTGCATGCACACCCCTGCCTGCCTGCCTGCATGCACACCCCTGCCTGCCTGCCTGCATGCACACCCCTGCCTGCCTGCCTGCATGCACACCCCTGCCTGCCTGCCTGCATGCACACCCCTGCCTGCCTGCCTGCATGCACACCCTGCCTGCCTGCCTGCATGCACACCCCTGCCTGCCTGCCTGCATGCACACCCCTGCCTGCCTGCCTGCATGCACACCCCTGCCTGCCTGCCTGCATGCACACCCCTGCCTGCCTGCCTGCATGCACACCCCTGCCTGCCTGCCTGCATGCACACCCCTGCCTGCCTGCCTGCATGCACACCCCTGCCTGCCTGCATGCACACCCCTGCCTGCCTGCCTGCATGCACACCCCTGCCTGCCTGCCTGCATGCACACCCCTGCCTGCCTGCCTGCATGCACACCCCTGCCTGCCTGCCTGCATGCACACCCCTGCCTGCCTGCCTGCATGCACACCCCTGCCTGCCTGCCTGCATGCACACCCCTGCCTGCCTGCATGCACACCCCTGCCTGCCTGCCTGCATGCACACCCCTGCCTGCCTGCCTGCATGCACACCCCTGCCTGCCTGCCTGCATGCACACCCCTGCCTGCCTGCCTGCATGCACACCCCTGCCTGCCTGCCTGCATGCACACCCCTGCCTGCCTGCCTGCATGCACACCCCTGCCTGCCTGCCTGCATGCACACCCCTGCCTGCCTGCCTGCATGCACACCCCTGCCTGCCTGCCTGCATGCACACCCCTGCCTGCCTGCCTGCATGCACACCCCTGCCTGCCTGCCTGCATGCACACCCCTGCCTGCCTGCCTGCATGCACACCCCTGCCTGCCTGCCTGCATGCACACCCCTGCCTGCCTGCCTGCATGCACACCCCTGCCTGCCTGCCTGCATGCACACCCCTGCCTGCCTGCCTGCATGCACACCCCTGCCTGCCTGCCTGCATGCACACCCCTGCCTGCCTGCCTGCATGCACACCCCTGCCTGCCTGCCTGCATGCACACCCCTGCCTGCCTGCCTGCATGCACACCCCTGCCTGCCTGCCTGCATGCACACCCCTGCCTGCCTGCCTGCATGCACACCCCTGCCTGCCTGCCTGCATGCACACCCCTGCCTGCCTGCCTGCATGCACACCCCTGCCTGCCTGCCTGCATGCACACCCCTGCCTGCCTGCCTGCATGCACACCCCTGCCTGCCTGCCTGCATGCACACCCCTGCCTGCCTGCCTGCATGCACACCCCTGCCTGCCTGCCTGCATGCACACCCCTGCCTGCCTGCCTGCATGCACACCCCTGCCTGCCTGCCTGCATGCACACCCCTGCCTGCCTGCCTGCATGCACACCCCTGCCTGCCTGCCTGCATGCACACCCCTGCCTGCCTGCATGCACACCCCTGCCTGCCTGCATGCACACCCCTGCCTGCCTGCATGCACACCCTGCCTGCATGCACACCCCTGCCTGCCTGCATGCACACCCCTGCCTGCCTGCATGCACACCCCTGCCTGCCTGCATGCACACCCCTGCCTGCCTGCATGCACACCCCTGCCTGCCTGCATGCACACCCCTGCCTGCCTGCATGCACACCCCTGCCTGCCTGCATGCACACCCCTGCCTGCCTGCATGCACACCCCTGCCTGCCTGCATGCACACCCCTGCCTGCCTGCATGCACACCCCTGCCTGCCTGCATGCACACCCCTGCCTGCCTGCATGCACACCCCTGCCTGCCTGCATGCACACCCCTGCCTGCCTGCATGCACACCCCTGCCTGCCTGCATGCACACCCCTGCCTGCCTGCATGCACACCCCTGCCTGCCTGCATGCACACCCCTGCCTGCCTGCATGCACACCCCTGCCTGCCTGCATGCACACCCCTGCCTGCCTGCATGCACACCCCTGCCTGCCTGCATGCACACCCCTGCCTGCCTGCATGCACACCCCTGCCTGCCTGCATGCACACCCCTGCCTGCCTGCATGCACACCCCTGCCTGCCTGCATGCACACCCCTGCCTGCCTGCATGCACACCCCTGCCTGCCTGCATGCACACCCCTGCCTGCCTGCATGCACACCCCTGCCTGCCTGCATGCACACCCCTGCCTGCCTGCATGCACACCCCTGCCTGCCTGCATGCACACCCCTGCCCTGCCTGCATGCACACCCCTGCCTGCCTGCCTGCATGCACACCCCTGCCTGCCTGCATGCACACCCCTGCCTGCCTGCATGCACACCCCTGCCTGCCTGCCTGCATGCACACCCCTGCCTGCCTGCACACCCCTGCCTGCCTGCCTGCATGCACACCCCTGCCTGCCTGCCTGCATGCACACCCCTGCCTGCCTGCCTGCATGCCACCCCTCCTGCCTGCCTGCATGCACACCCCTGCCTGCCTGCATGCACACCCCTGCCTGCCTGCATGCACACCCCTGCCTGCCCTGCATGCACACCCATGCCTGCCTGCATGCACACCCCCTGCCTGCCTGCATGCACACCCCTGGCCTGCCTGCATGCACACCCCTGCCTGCCTGCATGCACACCCCTGCCTGCCTGCATGCACACCCCTGCCTGCCTGCATGCACACCCCTGCCTGCCTGCATGCACACCCCTGCCTGCCTGCATGCACACCCCTGCCTGCCTGCATGCACACCCCTGCCTGCCTGCATGCACACCCCTGCCTGCCTGCATGCACACCCCTGCCTGCCTGCATGCACACCCCTGCCTGCCTGCATGCACACCCCTGCCTGCCTGCATGCACACCCCTGCCTGCCTGCATGCACACCCCTGCCTGCCTGCATGCACACCCCTGCCTGCCTGCATGCACACCCCTGCCTGCCTGCATGCACACCCCTGCCTGCCTGCCTGCACACCCCTGCCTGCCTGCATGCACACCCCTGCCTGCCTGCATGCACACCCCTGCCTGCCTGCATGCACACCCCTGCCTGCCTGCAATGCACACCCCTGCCTGCCATGCACCTGCCTGCATGCACACCCCTCTGCCTGCCTGCATGCACACCCCTCCTGCCTGCCTGCATGCACACCCTGCTGCCTGCCTGCATGCACACCCCTGCCTGCCTGCCTGCATGCACACCCCTGCCTGCCTGCATGCACAACCCCTGCTGCCTGCCTGCATGCACACCCCTGCCTGCCTGCCTGCATGCACACCCCTGCCTCCTGCCTGCATGCACACCCCTGCCTGCCTGCCTGCATGCACACCCCTGCCTGCCTGCCTGCATGCACACCCCTGCCTGCCTGCATGCATGCACACCCCTGCCCTGCCTGCCTGCATGCACACACCCCTGCCTGCCTGGCATGCACACCCCTGCCTGCTGCCTGCAGCACCCCCTGCCGCCTGCCTGCATGCACACCCCTGCCTGCCTGCATGCACACCCCTGCCTGCCTGCATGCACACCCCCTGCCTGCCTCTGCATGCACACCCCTGCCTGCCTGCATGCACACCCCTGCCTGCCTGCATGCACACCCCTGCCTGCCTGCATGCAACACCCCTGCCTGCCTGCATGCACACCCCTGCCTGTCTGCCTGCATGCACACCCCTGCCTGCCTGCATGCACACCCCTGCCTGCCTGCATGCACACCCTGCCTGCCTGCAATGCACACCCCTGCCTGCCTGCATGCACACCCCTGCCTGCCTGCATGCACACCCCCTGCTGCCTGCATGCACACCCTGCTGCCTGCATGCACACCCTGCCTGCCCTGCATGCACACCCCTGCCTGCCTGCATGCAGCACCCCTGCCTGCCTGCATGCACCACCCCTGCCTGGCCTGCATGCACACCCCTGCCTGCCTGCGCATGCACACCCCTGCCTGCCTGCATGCACACCCCTGCCTGCCTGCATGCACACCCCTGCCTGCCTGCATGCACACCCCTGCCTGCCTGCATGCACACCCCTGCCTGCCTGCATGCACACCCCTGCCTGCCTGCATGCACACCCCTGCCTGCCTGCATGCACACCCCTGCCTGCCTGCATGCACACCCTGCCTGCCTGCATGCACACCCCTGCCTGCCTGCATGCACACCCCTGCCTGCCTGCATGCACACCCCTGCCTGCCTGCATGCACACCCCTGCCTGCCTGCATGCACACCCCTGCCTGCCTGCATGCACACCCCTGCCTGCCTGCATGCACACCCCTGCCTGCCTGCATGCACACCCCTGCCTGCCTGCATGCACACCCCTGCCTGCCTGCATGCACACCCCTGCCTGCCTGCATGCACACCCCTGCCTGCCTGCATGCACACCCCTGCCTGCCTGCATGCACACCCCTGCCTGCCTGCATGCACACCCCTGCCTGCCTGCATGCACACCCCTGCCTGCCTGCATGCACACCCCTGCCTGCCTGCATGCACACCCCTGCCTGCCTGCATGCACACCCCTGCCTGCCTGCATGCACACCCCTGCCTGCCTGCATGCACACCCCTGCCTGCCTGCATTGCACACCCCTGCCCTGCCTGCATGCACACCCCTGCCTGCCTGCATGCACACCCCCTGCCTGCCTGCATGCACACCCCTGCCTGCCTGCATGCACACCCCTGCCTGCCTGCATGCACACCCCTGCCTGCCTGCATGCACACCCCTGCCTGCCTGCCTGCATGCACACCCTGCCTGCCTGCCTGCATGCACACCCCTGCCTGCCTGCCTGCATGCACACCCCCTGCCTGCCTGCATGCACACCCCTGCCTGCCTGCCTGCATGCACACCCTGCTGCCTGCCTGCATGCCCCCTGCTGCCTGCATGCACACCCTGCCTGCCTGCCTGCATGCACACCCCTGCCTGCCTGCATGGCCTGCTGCCTGCCTGCCTGCCTGCATGCCTGCCTGCCTGCATGCCACCCCTGCCTGCCTGCCTGCACACCCCTGCCTGCCTGCATGCACACCCCTGCCTGCCTGCATGCACACCCCTGCCTGCCTGCATGCACACCCCTGCCTGCCTGCCTGCCTGCCTGCCTGCCTGCCTGCCTGCCTGCCTGCCTGCCTGCCTGCCTGCCTGCCTGCCTGCCTGCCTGCCTGCCTGCCTGCCTGCCTGCCTGCCTGCCTGCCTGCCTGCCTGCCTGCCTGCCTGCCTGCCTGCCTGCCTGCCTGCCTGCCTGCCTGCCTGCCTGCCTGCCTGCCTGCCTGCTGCCTGCCTGCCTGCCTGCCTGCCTGCCTGCCTGCCTGCCTGCCTGCCTGCCTGCCTGCCTGCCTGCCTGCCTGCCTGCCTGCCTGCCTGCCTGCCTGCCTGCCTGCCTGCCTGCCTGCCTGCCTGCCTGCCTGCCTGCCTGCCTGCCTGCCTGCCTGCCTGCCTGCCTGCCTGCCTGCCTGCCTGCCTGCCTGCCTGCCTGCCTGCCTGCCTGCCTGCCTGCCTGCCTGCCTGCCTGCCTGCCTGCCTGCCTGCCTGCCTGCCTGCCTGCCTGCCTGCCTGCCTGCCTGCCTGCCTGCCTGCCTGCCTGCCTGCCTGCCTGCCTGCCTGCCTGCCTGCCTGCCTGCCTGCCTGCCTGCCTGCCTGCCTGCCTGCCTGCCTGCCTGCCTGCCTGCCTGCCTGCCTGCCTGCCTGCCCTGCCTGCCTGCCTGCCTGCCTGCCTGCCTGCCTGCCTGCCTGCCTGCCTGCCTGCCTGCCTGCCTGCCTGCCTGCCTGCCTGCCTGCCTGCCTGCCTGCCTGCCTGCCTGCCTGCCTGCCTGCCTGCCTGCCTGCCTGCCTGCCTGCCTGCCTGCCTGCTGCCTGCCTGCCTGCCTGCCTGCCTGCCTGCCTGCCTGCCTGCCTGCCTGCCTGCCTGCCTGCCTGCCTGCCTGCCTGCCTGCCTGCCTGCCTGCCTGCCTGCCTGCCTGCCTGCCTGCCTGCCTGCCTGCTCCTGCCTGCCTGCCTGCCTGCCTGCCTGCCTGCCTGCCTGCCTGCCTGCCTGCCTGCCTGCCTGCCTGCCTGCCTGCCTGCCTGCCGCCTGCCTGCCTGCCTGCCTGCCTGCCTGCCTGCCTGCCTGCCTGCCTGCCTGCCTGCCTGCCTGCCTGCCTGCCTGCCTGCCTGCCTGCCTGCCTGCCTGCCTGCCTGCCTGCCTGCCTGCCTGCCTGCCTGCCTGCCTGCCTGCCTGCCTGCCTGCCTGCCTGCCTGCCTGCCTGCCTGCCTGCCTGCCTGCCTCCTGCCTGCCTGCCTGCCTGCCTGCCTGCCTGCCTGCCTGCCTGCCTGCCTGCCTGCCTGCCTGCCTGCCTGCCTGCCTGCCTGCCTGCCTGCCTGCCTGCCTGCCTGCCTGCCTGCCTGCCTGCCTGCCTGCCTGCCTGCCTGCCTGCCTGCCTGCCTCCTGCCTGCCTGCCTGCCTGCCTGCCTGCCTGCCTGCCTGCCTGCCTGCCTGCCTGCCTGCCGCCTGCCTGCCTGCCTGCCTGCCTGCCTGCCTGCCTGCCTGCCTGCCTGCCTGCCTGCCTCTGCCTGCCTGCCTGCCTGCTCGATTGCTGACCGCCTGCCTGCCTGCCTGCCTGCCTGCCTGCCTGCCTGCCTGCCTGCCTGCCTGCCTGCCTGCCTGCCTGCTGCCTGCCTGCCTGCCTGCTGCCTGCCTGCCTGCCTGCCTGCCTGCCTGCCTGCCTGCCTGACTGCCTGCCTGCCTGCCTGCCTGCCTGCCTGCCTGCCTGCCTGCCTGCCTGCCTGCCTGCCTGCCTGCCTGCCTGCCTGCCTGCCTGCCTGCCTGCCTGCCTGCCTGCCTGCCTGCCTGCCTGCCTGCCTGCCTGCCTGCCTGCCTGCCTGCCTGCCTGCCTGCCTGCCTGCTGCCTGCCTGCTGCCTGCCTGCCTCCTGCCTGCCTGCTGGCCTGCCTGCCTGCCTGCCTGCCTGCCTGCCTGCCTGCCTGCCTGCCTGCCTGCCTGCCTGCCTGCCTGCCTGCCTGCCTGCCTGCCTGCCTGCCTGCCTGCCTGCCTGCCTGCCTGCCTGCCTGCCTGCCTGCCTGCCTGCCTGCCTGCCTGCCTGCCTGCCTGCCTGCCTGCCTGCCTGCCTGCCTGCCTGCCTGCCTGCCTGCCTGCCTGCCTGCCTGCCTGCCTGCCTGCCTGCCTGCCTGCCTGCCTGCCTGCCTGCCTGCCTGCCTGCCTGCCTGCCTGCCTGCCTGCCTGCCTGCCTGCCTGCCTGCCTGCCTGCCTGCCTGCCTGCCTGCCTGCCTGCCTGCCTGCCTGCCTGCCTGCCTGCCTGCCTGCCTGCCTGCCTGCCTGCCTGCCTGCCTGCCTGCCTGCCTGCCTGCCTGCCTGCCTGCCTGCCTGCCTGCCTGCCTGCCTGCCTGCCTGCCTGCCTGCCTGCCTGCCTGCCTGCCTGCCTGCCTGCCTGCCTGCCTGCCTGCCTGCCTGCCTGCCTGCCTGCCTGCCTGCCTGCCTGCCTGCCTGCCTGCCTGCCTGCCTGCCTGCCTGCCTGCCTGCCTGCCTGCCTCTGCCTGCCTGCCTGCCTGCCTGCCTGCCTGCCTGCCTGCCTGCCTGCCTGCTGCCTGCTGCCTGCCTGCCTTCCTGCCTGCGCTGCCTGCCTGCATGCCTGCCTGCCTGCCTGCCTCCTGCCTGCCTGCCTGCCTGCCTGCCTGCCTGCCTGCCTGCCTGCCCTGCTGCCTGCCTGCCTGCCTGCCTGCCTGCCTGCCTGCCTGCCTGCCTGCTGCCTGCCTGCCTGCCTCTGCCTGCCTGCCTGCCTGCCTGCCTGCCTGCCTGCCTGCCTGCCTGCCTGCCTGCCTGCCTGCCTGCCTGCCTTCCTGCCTGCCTGCCTGCCTGCCTGCCTCCTGCCTGCCTGCCTGCCTGCCTGCCTGCCTGCCTGCCTGCCTGCCTGCCTGCCTGCCTGCCATGCCTGCCTGCCTGCCTGCCTGCCTGCCTGCCTGCCTGCCTGCCTGCCTGCCTGCCTGCCTGCCTGCCTGCCTGCCTGCCTGCCTGCCTGCCTGCCTGCCTGCCTCCTGCCTGCCTGCCTGCCCTGCCTGCCTGCACTGCCCTGCCTGCATGCCTGCCTGCCTGCCTGCCTGCCTGCCTGCCTGCCTGCCTGCCTGCCTGCCTGCCGGCCCTGCCTGCCTGCCTGCCTGCCTGCCTGCCTGCCATGCCTGCCTGCCTGCCTGCCTGCCTGCCTGCCTGCCTGCCATGCCTGCCTGCCTGCCTGCCTGCCTGCCCTGCCTGCCTGCCTGCCTGCCCTGCCTGCAGCTGCCTGCCTGCCCTGCCTGCCTGCCTGCCTGCCTGCCTGCCTGCCTGCCTGCCTGCCCTGCCTGCCTGCCTGCCTGCCTGCCTGCCTGCCTGCCTGCCTGCCTGCCTGCCTGCTGCCTGCCTGCTGCCTGCCTGCCTGATGCCTGCCTGCCTCCTGCCTGCCTGCCTGCCTGCCTGCCTGACCTGCCTGCCTGCCTGCCTGACGCCTGCCTGCCTGCCTGCCTGCCTGCCTGCCTGCCTGCCTGCCTGCCTGCCCTGCCTGCCTGCCTGCCTGCCTCCTGCCTGCCTGCCTCCTGCCTGCCTGCCTACTGCCCTGCCCTGCCCTGCCTGCCTGCCTGCCTGCCTGCCTGCCTGCCTGCCTGCCTGCCTGCCTGCCTGCCTGCCTGCCTGCCTGCCTGCCTGCCTGCCTGCCTGCCTGCCTGCCTGCCTGCCTGCCTGCCTGCCTGCCTGCCTGCCTGCCTGCCTGCCTGCCTGCCTGCCTGCCTGCCTGCCTGCCTGCCTGCCTGCCTGCCTGCCTGCCTGCCTGCCTGCCTGCCTGCCTGCCTGCCTGCCTGCCTGCCTGCCTGCCTGCCTGCCTGCCTGCCTGCCTGCCTGCCTGCCTGCACCTTCAAGCACCGTGACTCCTACCAGCAGCTACTGACCCGCGTTGCTCATGAGGCACCACCTCCGCCACAACCCCCACCTCTCATGTGCCACTCACCTGCGCCTTGGCGTCTGCAACCTCAGCCTCCAAAGCGCCCACAGAGCCACGCAGCTGCCGCTCTGTCGCTGCCCTCTGCACCGCCTCCGCCCTCGCAGCCTCGCCCTCCGCCCCCACTGCTGCCAGGTCCCTCTGAGCCATCTCCAGCGTTGCCCTCGCCGCCATCTCCTTTGCCCTCGCCGCTGCCCCTTCTGCCCTTGCAGCTGCCAGCTCCTTCTCAGAACCTTCCAGCCTCGTTCTCGCTGCTTCCCCGTCCGCCTGTGCTGCTGCAAGCTCCTTTTCACAGATCTCCCTCCTCCTCCTCTCTGCCTCGCCCTCTGCCCTCGCGGATGCCACTTCCATCCTCGCTGCTGCCCCTTCTGCTCTGGCTGCTGCGAGCTCGTGTGTGAGCACTCGAATCTGCTGCTCCATGGCCGCCTGGGAAGGTAGGTAGCACACACACACACAGGCCACATGAGCAAAGTGCCAGGGCAGAGGAGGGAGGGCCGCGATGGGTTGAGTTGAGATCATGTGCAACGGGGACCCTGGGCAGGGCAACAACCGCAGTGTTGTAGTGTGTTTTTGAGAATTCTCAAAAACACCCTGCAGCATCAGGGAGGGCCGCGATGGGTTGAGATAATGGGCAACGGGGACCCTGGGCAGGGCAGGACCCTGGACGGGATAACGACGCAGTGTTGTGTTGTACTGCACCCCGCTATTGGTGATGCGCTCAAGGGAACATGGACAGAGTGTGTGGCTGGGCCATACCATGCAATGTCATGCTAAGCCATGCTAAAACATGGTAAGCCATGCCATGCCATGCCATGCCACGCCATGCCGTGCCATGAATGCATCTTACTCGCAGCAGCGCATCTCGCTCCAGCAATGCAAGCCGCTCCTCCATGCCCATGCTCATCACCTGCACGCCTTGTACCACCTGCACTCCTTGCACCACCGTCGCGCCCCCCACTTCTCTCACTCCATCCATCTCTATCCCTTGTGCTTCCCCTGCTCGCCCCCTCTCCCCCACTCGCTCCCTCGCCACCTCACTCACCCCACCCACTGCTCTCATAGTAGCACCATCCCTACAACTCCCGCCTCTGCCAAATCTCGCCTCCACATGCTCCTCCTTCCCCCCTTGTTCCCCCCTCTGCTCACGACCTCCCGCCCTCTCACTGGCCACATGCTCTACCCCATGCCGCCCCTCATGCATCTCCATGCATCCCCATTCATCCTCTCCCCCGCCTGTCCAGCCTCCCCTCAACTCTGCGCCACTGTCTCCTAGCCTCTCCCCCTCACAACCCCTCACTTCCCACCATCCCACTCTCTTCTTCCTGCCATGCATACTCCCCACCGCTTCTCCCAGCGTTTCCCCCAACGTTCCCCCCAACGTTCCCCCCAACGTTCCTCCCAACGTTCCCCCCAATGTTCCCCAGGTCATCCCCCCTCGGCCCACCTCCCCGCCTCCTCCCCCATCTCCCCTTGCAGCCACAGCTGTCCCCCCTCTCGCCATCTCTGCGCCTCTGCCCCCTTTCCCCCCTTTCCCTCTTCCCCCCCCTCCCCTCAAATGTCCCTCCTCCCCGTCTCTCCTCTCCCCGGCAGCAAAAGTTTGATCTTGGTCCATCCTCCTTCTCTTCGCCCCACTCTCCCTCTCATCCCCAACCACCGGACCTGTTTCCGAACCTGATGCCTCGGAATCTGAGCCTCCTTCCCTACCCACACCTAGACCCACCCTATCTATGCCCACAGCTCCACCCCCCTTCGCCGTCCCAACCCCTGCCGCTGCTGCTCCCTCCACCCCTCCCCTCAATCCAAATCCCATTCCCCTCACATCCCCTCCCCTTCCCCCATCGCCCTCCTCTCCCTCCTCCCTTGCCCCCCTCTCTCTCACCTCTCCAGACCCCTCCTCCCCTCGCCTGCCACCCCTCTCCCTGCCAGCGAAAGGGCTCTGCCTCACTAGCCGCCGAACGTCGCCGCCCACCAGGTCCAGCTGCTGCCGCTGCACTGCCTTCCACTCCCGCTGCTCCCTCTGGTGCTGCTGTTTCTGCTCCTGATGCTTCTTCTGCTGCCTCTGCCTCTGCTGCTGCTGCTGCTGCTGCTGCTGCTGAGTGGGCTGGGGCTGCTGCTTCTGCTTCTGCTTCTGCTGCTGCGGCTGTGGCTGCTGCTTCTGCTGTCCCATCACTCGTGTCTCACCACCCTCTAATCCCCTCCCTTCTGTTGCCTCCCATGCACGCCCACGCCCACACCCCACCACACCACCATCGCCCTCTCCCTCTGCCTTGTGTCCCCCCCCACCCACACGCCATGGCCCCAACCCTGTGGTGGCCCTGCGAGCCGTACACTGGGCCTGCTCCCCGCATGCTGCTGCTGCTACCGCTGGTGGAGCAGCAGCTGCTGCCGCTGCTTCTTCTGCCTCTTCCGCTGCTGCTGCTGCAGGTGCACGAGGCGATTTCGCACCTCCAGCTGCTGCAGCAGTGGAGCCAGCAGCAGCAGCAGCAGCAGCAGCTCTACCAGCACCAGCAGCGTTAGCAAAAAACACAGCGGGGCTAGCAGCAGCAGCAGCAGCATGAGGTAGAGCACGAGTGGCACGTGCAGCCTTGGCGTTGCCTCTATGCTCTTCATTTGCTCCTCTCCTCTTCACGCCCACCATTACTGGTGCACCTGCTGCGGCTGCTGCTGCTGCTCCTCCTTCTCTCACAGCTGCTGCTGCTTGAGGAGATGTAACCGGTACTGCTGCCGGTGATGCTCCTACCTTTTCCACTTTCCCTGCTTCTGCAACTTCCCCTCCTCCTCCCACAGCCACGTGCCGATCACACGGGCCTGCACTTGCTGCCCCACGTGCGTCAGCAGCAACCCCTGCAGTGACACGTGTCGCTCCACGATTGGCTCGCAATAGTCTGGGGCCAGCTGCCTGGATGCCTGGACTCTCTCCTCCCCCATGCTCGCCTGCCGACGTGGCAGCAGGTGATTGGCTGGCCGTTGCTGGGAAGGCAGTAGGAAGGTTCCGGAGAGCAAAGAGGTCGGCGTATGAGCAGTCTGCAGGGTGGGCACGAGCGTGGGGCAGAGGGGAGCGGAGGAGGTGTGGTTGGGAAAGGAGGGGGATGTTCAAATCTAGTACAATAATGGGAGGAAGTTTAAGAGGGTGTACGGGTGAGTAGGAGAGACAATCGGATGGGGAACGATCATGGGTTAGGCATGAAGAGTGTGGATGGAGGTGTGGAGATAGAGCAAAACGGAGAGCTCCCACCTGACCACTGTGCACGAACCCTCTCCATGCACCCACCCACCCATCGCCCAACGTCTGAGACCCACCGTTGCCACCATAGCCGCCAAAGAGGAAGAGCGATTGCCCCCAACGCACCACAGAGTGCGCTGCTTCGCTCGCTGCTTTCTTTTGAGTCGACTCAGTCAAACACACCCATCCCACAACGTCCCTCTCACCCACCGTTGCCACCATAGCCGCCAAAGAGGAAGAGCGATCGCCCCCAACGCACCACGGAGTGCGCCGCCCTCCCTGCTTTTGATTCCACTCACAAGTCAACACTCCCATCCCCCAACATCTTTCACTCACACCCACCGTTGCCACCATAGCCGCCAAAGAGGAAGAGCGATCGCCCCCAATGCACCACGGAGTGCGCCGCCCTCCCTGCTTTTGATTCCACTCACAAGTCAACACTCCCATCCCCCAACATCTTTCACTCACACCCACCGTTGCCACCATAGCCGCCAAAGAGGAAGAGCGATCGCCCCCAATGCACCACGGAGTGCGCCGCCCTCCCTGCTTTTGATTCCACTCACAAGTCAACACTCCCATCCCCCAACATCTTTCACTCACACCCACCGTTGCCACCATAGCCGCCAAAGAGGAAGAGCGATCGCCCCCAATGCACCACGGAGTGCGCCGCCCTCCCTGCTTTTGATTCCACTCACAAGTCAACACTCCCATCCCCCAACATCTTTCACTCACACCCACCGTTGCCACCATAGCCGCCAAAGAGGAACAGCGATCGCCCCCAGTGCACCACAGAGTGTGCCGCCCTCCCTGCTGGCCCCGCTGCTCCGCTCCCTCCCCACCCGTCTCTGTCATTCCCCCACTCGCCCACATGAGGAGGCACAGCGGGCATGGGAGAGGAGGAGGGGAGAGTGGCGATGCGGTGCCAGGCGAGAGAGATGGGTGGAGAGAGATGGGCGGATGGGGGTGATGGTGGTGTGTTGTGTGGTGGGGCCACCGCCTGGACAAGAGAAGTGGGGTAGGGAGAGGAGAGGAAGAAGAGGGTGAGGGCTTGTGGCTGTGGGATGCTGTCTGCCTGCCTGCCTGCCAGCAGTGTTTGGAGAAGTGTTTTGAGACGTCTCAACACACTTCTTCAAACATGTGGGATGCTGTCTGCCTGCCTGCCAGCAAGGAGCACCGGTGGGTTGTTTCTCCGTGTCATCCTCTGCACTCATGGCAACGTGCATGGCATGGCATGGCACGGCACGGCATGGCAGGGCAGGGAAGCACGAGAGGGCAGGGAAGCACGAGAGGGCAGGGAAGCACGAGAGGGCAGGGAAGCACGAGAGGGCAGGGCAGCACGAGAGGGCAGGGAAGCACGAGAGGGCAGGGAAGCACGAGAGGGCAGGGCAGCACGAGAGGGCAGGGCAGCCCAAGAGCGCACCTGCAGGAGCCAGAGGTCGTCGAGACGCTCTTTCTTCACGCGCCCCCCATGCACCACCGCCATCCCACCCCCGACACATGTCGCCGCGTGATTGGACCGCGGCTGTGCATGAGGCCCCCCTGCTGCCACTGTAGGCTGCTCCCACGCACTGGTTAGTGGGTCATATGCCCTGGGGGTTGGCGGAGTGGGGAGGCGCAGGGCGGAACAGGGAAGACTTGCAGTCAATGGGCATGGGGCAATGGGGGAGGATGAGGTGGAAGGGGTGCAAGAGCACCTGAAACTCACCTGAAGAACACCCAAGGAACGCCTGAAAATCACCTGAAGAACAGTCAAGCAACACCTGAAATTTATCTGAAGAACAACCAAGCAACACCTGAAGATCACCTGGAAAAAGCATGCCAGGGACTCACCAGAGGCTGTGCTGCTCCTTGTCGGCCCGCTGCTTGGTCTTCCCCCCAAAGACTACGGCGCGGCCGGCAAGGTTTGTCATGGAGTGGTAGCCGCGGGCAGGCGGCGGGGAGCCTGAGGGGCTCAGGTCATGCCAGCTCAGCGAGTCTGGTGCAGGGGGGCAGCAGGGCGGTGGGGGGGGACATGGGAGAGAAGAGGGGGCCAGGGGGAAGGGAGATTGAGGAGCAGGGAGAGAGGGGAGGAGAGGGGCCTGTGTTTAGGTGGTGGCTGATGCGAGAGCAAAAAAAGAGGTGGGGGGGTTGGGGAGGGGGGGAAGCAAGCAGCAGCAATGGGTGGGTTATTCAAAGCTGGCGAGTGTTGGAACATGGGGGGGTATTCAAAGACGGTGTGTGTGTGCGTGCGTGTGTGACACAATGGGAGGGGGCGGGAGAATGAGGAGAAAGGGATGTCTTGGACTACAGAGCACAGCACAAAGCATGGTAGCGGATTCACCTGTATCGAGTACACAGAGATCATCGAGAAACTCGAGTGTGGGTCCGTCCCCGCCGTATCCCCCGTGGATGAGCAGCCACGTGGCATGCTGTGGATGCACCATGGCAGCATGTGTGACACGTGGGTACTCTGCATACCTGCCACGTGTCTGAACCTGTCTCCACTGCAAACGAGCGGAGACAGCATGCGGTGGGAAGGCGGGATGGGGAGTAGGGAGTATGGGGAGGGAAGAGAGGGGGAGTTGACACAAGGAAGGGGGTGGTGCAGGGGGAGTGGCGCAGGAGAGGTGGCGCAGGGGAGGTGGCGCAGGGGGATTGGCGCAGGCAAGCAGGCTTGTCGCTCCTAGACGTGAAAGAGCAGCTGCACATACTGCGTTCCCCATGCTCTCAATCCCCAATGCGCACCCTTCCTCCCTTCTCCCACCGCGGCCAATTCCCCCCCTTGCGCGCCTCTCCCCCCATGACACCGCCCTTGCGCTCGCGAGCACTCCCCCCCATGCAACCACCTCGCCCCCCGCGCGCGCACCTCCCGGGTGCGCGTGTTGAAGGCGAACACGTCGTGCTTCACGGCGCGCTCGTCGCTGCCGCCCACCACCCATATCTCACACTCGCCGACAAGTGTCGCGCTGTGATAGGCTCGCGGGGAGAACGGCGCGTGCTCGTTAATTAACTCCCATCTGACTGCTCCTCCTCCTCCCTCCGCTCCTCCTACCCCACTTCGTCCCGCTCCCGGTTTGCAACCCGTCTCGCTCCCGTCGCAAGTAGGTCCTGCGACGTCTTCGCAAGCGGAAAGGTCGCACAGCCAGACGTCGTTGGCGTGCGTGCGATTCGCCAGTCGCCCGCCCATGACGTACATGCAGCTGCCGACGAGCGTTGCGCTGTGGCCGACACGTGGCACGAGGCCATTTGGTACTGCGCGAGACAGCAACGACAGACATGGTGATCAGGACAGGGTGCCTCAGGCTGCAGACAGAAACACTAATCGGTGGGCCCACGTGGTATTTGGACGTGCTATGGGATGCGACAATCAGACAGGCGCTCGGGACTGCCTACTAGTCTTTCATGCTTTCATGCGCATCGTGGTCTGGTTTCCCGATGCCTGACGGACACCCACCTTGTAGCTGCTGCCAGAACGGCACTGAGGTACTACCGCGAGCCATGCATGCTGAGTGGGTTGTCAATTAGAGTTTTATTTGGAGTGCACGTCCTCATCGATGCGCATAACCGCTTCCATTGCTTGAGCCCACTGATAATCAACTTTCATTTGTTGAAATAACGCATCACTAACCGTTTAAGAGAAAACATGGCTACTAAATCCGTATGATTGACGTCCTACATTTAGGAAGGTTTTTCATAGCTTCATATTACTTTTAATTGCACTTGTGATGCCCTGGTCAAAAAGCTCTGCTTATACGCTCACGACATTCGGCAAGGTACGCTTGCGAAATATATATGGGGGAAACTAAGTTAATATTGAGATACTGCAAGGAACAAAACTGTGTATCATCGACTGATTGGAAGGCTATTTACAATGTAGAGCATCTACAAGTCGATAGCCCTCTTCGAGGTGAACTTGACAACAGCGGGATCAACGTTCTTGCCGATGGAGCGGAGGTTCACGTTGGCGTTGGCGCGGCCAGCATTCACCTTCTCGGGGTACACGCCGTCCTTAGGGTGCAGGTACTGCACCTCGCCGCTGGGGAACACGCGGTAGAACTGGTAGTTAATCTTGAACTTTGTCCTCAGCTGGGTGCCGAGCGCGAGGCACTGCTCCTTCCTGGCGAGCTTCAGCAGGTTGGGACCCGCGCGCATGATGGCGGCACCGCCGGTGGGCATCTCGAAGATCTGCTCCTTCTTGGCCTCCCACGTGATCACGTAGAACTCCTCGACCTGAGCCTTGCGGAGAAGACCGCCGGTGCTGCCGCCGAAGATGGGCGACGGCGTGTCGGACTTCAGCTCCGGGGGGGAGAAGCCGGCGGGGGCCTCCGCGGCCATGGTCAGGCGCGCGGGAGCGGCCTTCACGGCGAGGGAAGAGCCGGCGAAGCTCTTGGCATTGAGCTTCTGGTTCTTGGCGCCGAACACGGCAGCCACGCGGACAGCAGAGGAAGAGGCGACGGCGGCCATTGTGTGATTTTTGCTGGTCAGGCGTGGCTGGGAGGAGTTCGGCGGAGAATGGAGGTCAAGTGCTGCCTGTACAACAAGGGTTTGCAGATGACAGGTGAGAAATGAGAACCTCCTGATAACAAATGCGCAGGCTCAGCAGGAGTCCCAGGACACCCCCTCAATCTGCGCGCTGCTGATCCCGTTTGCCTGGGGCCGTTGTGGATGACGCTTGGAAAGCAACATTCCAGGCCTATCTTAGCTGGCCAATCAGCGATGGACCTGACCTCGCGAAACCCATGCCGCCAATTCCTGTGAGCCAATCGAACGGGACCAAAAGGTCTAAGGATAGCCGAAGACCAATGAAGGGTCATCCGAGCTGTGCGAGAAGCACCTGGTATCGCGGGGTGCTTTCGTCGCTCAAACGATATTTTCAAAATTGCAATAGGGAATTATGTGGATACAATACTTTTTTTCCAACCATATTTCTAGACGGAAGGGAGCAAAAATGGTTCAAAAACAAATACCATAACCCTTCCATTTTTCAACACATCTTAACTCTCATTGATCACCTGACTCTCATGTAGGTGGCTACAAAAATGGATTTAGGAGCATAATTTCTCTACATTGAAATAGAAAACATAACTGAATTGCATTATCCCTTTGGTCATTCATGAAGTTGAATGCACAGCTGCAGCTGCCTCGGCACCTTGTGCTGCCCGCCCACTCTCCTGTGCAAGCTTGCAGAAAAGTGCCACAGATTCTTCAGGAGTCCCCTGCACCACCCCATGCCCCACATTGAGAATGTGCCTCCTGCCCCCTGCCTTGCTCAAGCAATCAGCCACAGCTGCTCTGATGGATGCCTCGGGACCAAACAGAACCATGGGGTCCACGTTCCCCTGAAGAACAATTAAAATGGAAGGAAGTGCGAGGGGGGTAGGGGGTGGTAGGAGGGTGGTGAGGGGGATGGGGTGTGGCAGTGGGGCACAGAGTAGGATGTAATGTGGACAAGATACATTCTGACTGAGTGACAGCAATGAAACACGAGCAAACACAAAAACAAGGGCAAATGCACACTCTGAAAATCAAATTCATGCCAGTCATGACCCCCTCACCTGCAGCACGGTGTCATGGCCAAACACCCGGCGGGCCTCAGCCATATCCGTGCCCCAGTCGAGTCCCACCACGTCAGCACTGCACCCCTGCTGCACCAGGTGCAGCTTGCCCGTTATGAGACGCCTGTAAAGCTACCCCCCCACCACCCCTCTCACCTGCAGCACGGTATCACTGCCGAACACACGGCGGGCCTCAGCCATTTCCGTGCCCCAGTCGAGCCCCACCACGTCTGCACTGCACCCCTGCTGCACCAGGTGCAGCTTGCCCGTTTTGAGACGCCTTTAAAGCTACCCCCCCACCACCCCTCTCACCTGCAGCACGGTATCACTGCCGAACACACGGCGGGCCTCAGCCATGTCAGTGCCCCAGTCGAGCCCCACCACGTCTGCACTGCACCCCTGCTGCACCAGGTGCAGCTTGCCGGTGCCGCCGTTCCCATGGAAGATGAGCGGCGTGTGCGGGTGCAGCTGCCTCACGCGCTGCACGATGCGCTCGGCGTACGGCAGGCTGAACTCGGCGAACTGGGCGGGCGTGAGGTGGTGCGCCCACGAGTCAAACAGCTGCACGATGTGCGCCCCACAGCTGATCTGGTGGCTCACGTAGACGACCAGTGCATCTTCTAAGGCAGCCAGGATGCCGTGAAGGAGTTCCGGCTCTGAGAGGGGTGGGGCGAGGGACGCATGGGGGCATGGAGGCACAGGGACAGGGAGGCATGGAAGATGAGTGGCGTGTGCAGGTGGGTCACGTACACCACCAGCGCGTCCTCCAGGATGCCATGCAGGAGGTCCGGCTCTGACAGGAGTTGGACAGGGGGGTGGGGAGAGGGAAGCACGGGGGCATGGAGGCATTCGGGTGGCTCACGTAGACCAACGAGTCCTCCAGCGCTGCCAGGATGCCGTGCAGCAACTCCGGCTCTGAGAGAGGTGGGGCGAAGGTTGGGAGAGGGGTGAGGAGAGGGAGGCATGGAAGCATGAAGGCAGGGAAGCATGGCAGCATTGCTGTGCAATGATGGCTTTACGGAACCAGTCAGTCGGCTCACCGCACCCACCCTCCACATGTACCCACAAGCCCAGCCAGCCAGCCAGCCACTGCATGTGCAAGCCGGCAGGAGTGAGCATGACACTGACCATGCAGCATCATGTGTTTGGTGGCGAGCAGGTTCTTGCTGCCCTGCCCCTCGATGGCGTATGCTGCCAGCGTCCAGGGCGTGCCCACAAACCCCAGCAGTGTTGCCTCGCTGCCCGCCAGCTCGCGCCGCAGCGATGTGAGAATCTCCCGGATGAACGGCAGCTTCGCATCCGGGTCCTCCAGGGGCCTGTGTTGGGCGAGGGGGGCGAGGGGCGCGAACAGAGAAGGAAAGGAGTGGGGGGGGGGGGGGGGGGGGGGAGGGGGGTGCTGAGGCGAGGTGCCTCAACGAGGCCAAGTGCTTTCGAGTGCATTTCTCGTCGGACCCAGCTCGCAACCTTGCAAGCTTGTAAGCTTGTGCATGATCACATGGTCTCGGCACATGTGAGCGTGGCATTGCACCATGCTCTCTGCATTTCCTGCATGCTTGTTGAACCACGACGTCTTTCCATTCCCGCCCACTGTTCCATTTCCTCCATGTTTCTTCTGCTTGTCTCCTAGTGGGCCCATCTGCCCTCATCCACCCACCCACTCACCCACCCCACCAATCCTCTTGCCTGTCCGCCCTTATTGCTTACCCATTCGTGCCCGCTTCTCCATTCTCTCTTTATTCTCCCCCCATTCACCCCCACCCTCTATTCACCCTCCATTCCCGTTCATCAAACTCATGTAAGGTCCCTCAGAGCCGTGCTGCTAGGGGCATAAGCATCAACAAGTCCATTTCATCCCGCCGTTTCAACCTCCATACAGGAAGGCTCCCCACCTCACCCCTCCCTTCCTTCCTCCTCCCTTCATCCCCCATCACCCTCCTTCCACCCTCCTGTCATTCTTCTCTGGCCCCCTGCTTCCTCCCTCTTCCCCTCTCTCCCCCCTTCTCCGCCTCCTCGTCCCCTCCTTTCCCCCCGCCCCCCTTCGCCCCACTCACTCGAGGTCGCGCAGGTCCGCCGCAGTGCGCAGCGGGTCCGCAATGACGGGCCCCTTGCCTTTGACCATATCGAATTCAACGCCCAGGGCGGGCAGGATGGTGAGGATGTCGGAGAACATGATCACGCCGTCCGTGCCGAACGCGCAATGCTCTCCCCTTACTGTTCCCCACCACTCACTTGAGGTCGCGAAGGTCCGCAGCCGTGCGAAGAGGATCAGCGATAACCGGCCCCTTGCCTTTGACCATATCAAACTCGACCCCGAGCGCAGGCAGGATGGTGAGGATGTCGGAGAACATGATCACGCCATCTGTGCCGAACGCCTTCCATGGCTGAAGCGTCAGCTCGATCGCGATCTCCGCCGTCTCCGACCGCATGCGGAACGGATACTTGTCCGAGAACCTGCGCGCAAGGGGGAGAGGGAGAGAAATAACCGGGTGGGGGAGGGGCGGGGGGGGCGTGGGAAACGGGAGGGGAGTGGGAAATGTTTGCCGTCTCCGACCGCATGCGGAACGGATACTTGTCCGAGAACCTGCGCGCGCGGAGGGGGGAGGTAAGAGGGTAGGTGGGGGGGGGGGGGGGGGGGGAAGAGGAGGGGGGGGAGGGAAGGGAGGATTGGGGAAGTAAAGGAAAGTAGTAGAGAATTGTTTGTTACCTGGGGGCCGATGAGGATGAGGAACCAGTACTTATTTGTGGGGATGCGGGACCGAAATGGTACGACAGAAGGGAGGATGTTTGTTGCGTTGTGACGGCGCTACTGGGTTCGAAAAGGAGGTGTGCGGTGCGGAGAGGGCGGCAAGGGGGAAGGGGGGGACGGGGAAGATGGGAGGGGATGGGGGGAAGGAAGGAAGCACGTACTTGCGAAAGTCCTTCATGTAGCGCCCGGCCTGGCGCATGAGCCACACGGGCGTCCTCTCCGCGTCTGCCACGCACCACGGGGGGCGCAACAAGCAAGCGCGCACGCGCACCATGTAGTCACATGAACGCACGCTCAATCACACGCGCTCACATGCAACCACACGCACCGACACCCGTCCAACCCCTTTAACATGGCCCCCCCATACCGCACACCACCACGACGAGCTGATTGACAGCAGATTCGTGCTACCATTGATTGAATACGAACTTCTGCGACAACGATGAGCTGATTGGCGCTTAGCGGGCAATCAAAAAGTACGTTGCGAACAGCATGAGCTCGCTGGATGCTACCAGCCCCAGACATGCAATGTTCATTGTAAGCTACCACGCGCATACACGAGGACTCGCTTCTCCGTGGCATGGAAATTCAGCCTGGCATGCATCGCGCGGGGTATTGACCTTCTCCGCGCGCCACGCGCAGCAGCAGCGGATCCCGCGCGCCGTCGTGGAGAATCTCCGCCGTCGAGCATCGGCATTTCCCGCGCCCCTCCGCCACGCTCGATCCCGCACGAGTCGCCCGCCTCGCGGAGGGGAAAGCGACGGAGGTCGCGGTGCCGGAGATGCCGTTGCTGGAGGATGCCACGTGGCTGAGCTTGGCGGGAACGGAAACTGCGGTCGACAATCCCGAGGTGGCAGCCATTGTTCCGGAATTACTACAAAAAGGTTTTACTCTGGGAAGTCAGGCCGCAGCGACAAGAAAGTGGAGGGTTAGGCCGCTTGGTGCCAGACAGAGTGAGCTGAATGGCTGTCACAACGTAATGCCCACACTGTTTCGACTGACGAAATTTGTCTGCAACTGACGACCAGTCGCCAGCCGCCTAGAAAGCAATGCCCGGAAGGAGGTGACTGATGCAGGGAATTGAAGGAAGGGAGGGTGGGCTGATGGAGCAAATGGAAAGCCGAAGCGCAACCCCAGGGATGTCTGGGTGAGGTGACGTGTCCCTCGACGGATTTCGTTGTCCACGTGTTAGGTTTGGGATTGCCGAGTTCGGAACAGGTAGGTCTATTACTGAGACTTATTTACATATGATTCTATATTTACAATGGCACTGCACTTCATGAGTGCAGTACCTATATTCACTTGAAACGGGTCTAGCAAGAGCGAGGTTTGGCAGACAGAGAGCCCTTGAACCTGGATCTGTAGCGTGGAATCATCTTCTGCCACCGTGTCTAGAGCATCACCGATTGGCTGAAGACTACCATCCAGCTCACCACCCCATCTTTTCCCTCCATTCAGCGCACGAGGTGTACGCTCGCCCCCAATGCCTTCTCAATGCGCGCAGCACTCGCGCGACATGGGGATTCTGATTCGGGGCACCCACACCCTCTTCCCCAGTTTCTGTGCTGCATTCTCAAATCACTTCTTTTAGCACGGCCCAAATCGGTTTCCTACGATATATGTACGGTACAGTGCGTTTCGCATCAATTTCTTTAGGAATTGAGCACGTTTTGTGCGCCCACCAACAAACAAGTCCAGCCCAACACAACACAGTTGCTCACTTTCCCACACCAATCTGCAACCTTCCTGTTCCCGTCTCAAATTCCCCCTCCTCATGAATGCTTCCCTATTTTCAGACCATCCATTATTTCTTCATCCACAGCTGCACCACTTTCAAGGCGTTTGTATTCCCAATTGACGATTGCTTCCGACAGCTCCTCCCTTCTGACGCCCTCCAGACACAAGTCCTGTAAACCGCCATCACATAATTTATCATGGCGCCTCTGGGTGCTCTTGCCGTCAGCCTTGTCTCCCCGGTTGGGTGTCCGCCCAAGTGCGTCGGTGACACCGTTTTGGGGACCAAGACTCCGTCGGCTCCGTTCAGGGTGACAAGGTACCATGTTATTCCCGCAATTACACCGTCGCGAAAAAATACCTTTTCCTCTAACAACCTCCAACATCTTGCAACAAGAGTTATCTTTCCGGTAGAGCCACGCCACCTTGTCCCGTAGTGCCTATCGTTGCTGTCAATTCGCATGTGAATTACATCCTTCGTTGTCTTTTGTCCCGTTCCCCCTTCAGCTCCGCTCCCGTCGCACTTCGCCCTCCGACGCGTCTCCCCTTGAAGCGCCACTCGCGCCCCCCCGTCACGTCATGTTCCGCCGGAGGAGCTGCGCGCGGGGCCACGGCAGGGGCGAGCCGGAGCGCCGGGAGCAGCGCGAGCAGCGCGAGCAGCGCGGGTGACACGCACCGCAGCCGCAGCGACAGCAGCAATGGCGGCGGCAGCGGGTCGTCGTCGTCGTCGTCGGTGCCGTCGCCCTTCGCGTTCGTGGGGCTGGACTACTATCAGATTCTCGGCGTGCCCGTCGGCGCGCCCCCCGCCGACATCCGCCGCGCGTACCGCGCGCTGCAGAAGAAGTACCACCCCGACATCGCGGGCGCTCAGGTGCGCTCAACGGTTGTGCGCGGTTGTGCGCGCGTGGAATTGACGCGCATGTCGCACATCCCCACGCGCATGTGAAGGCTTCGTCATGGGATTGGCTGACTGCCCAACTTCGAGGTGCTCACTCGGTGGAGTTTGTTTCTCTCAACACTTGAGTCTCCGCTCCTCGCGTTCTGCCCTTCATGTGCATTCGCCCAACCCTCCGCCCTCTGTTCTCTGCACCCACCCGTCTCCTGCCCACCTTCTAACACCTCTACAGACGCACGAGATGGCGCTGAAGCTGAACGAGGCGTACGACACGCTCATGGACGACACACGCCGCGCGTCGTACGAGAAGGAGTGGCGCGACGCGGCCGTGGCGGGGTACGTGGGGTTCACGGGGCAGCCGCGCAGCGCGTGGGCGGCGCCAGAGGGGCAGCAGCAAGCGATCTTCGTCGACGAGGCTGCGTGCATCGGTGGGTGGCACTGTAGGTGATGTTCCTGTTGTCGTCTGTGCTTGTTTCAAATGGATAAGATGGCGTAATGATAGTGCGTGAATTCGCTCCCTTATCACCGGTCCACTTCCCGTCATCTCACTTCCTTCCCCCACCGCCATCCCCACGCCCACCCCCCGCCCCCGCCTGCCAGGCTGTCGCGAGTGTGTGTTCGCCGCCAGTCGCACGTTCCACTTCGACGCGGAGGCGGCCGTGGCGCGCGTGCACACGCAGTGGAGCGACGCGCTGCCCGCCGTCCAATCAGCCATCGACAGCTGCCCCGTCAGCTGCATCCACACGGTGACACGTGGCGACCTCCCCATCCTCGAGTTCCTCGTGCAGGTCTCATCTGAACCCATTCAACCCCAGTTATCTCTCCCCCCCCCTCGCTTTCACTCCCTTTAACGCGCCATTGACTCCCTTCTAGTCCCACTGATCCTCCCCCACACCGCATGCCCCCCATCCGATTCTCCCGCGCTTCTCACGTTGCCCGGCAGCCGCGGGAGAGGGAGAGCAAAGGCATCTTTGGGGGCGGCTGGGAGCCCGGGCACCCAATCAATATTTTCACCGCTGCCCGCGAGTTCAAGCGCAAGCTAGAGAGCCAGCGGGAGGGGGCAGAGCGCAGGCGGGCAGGTTGGTTCTGGCAGGGGAAGAAGTGGGTTGGATGGGTGCTGGGTACTCTGCCATGTGTGAGTGATATAGATTGCAGATTATGATATAGCAATATGGCATTTGCTAGAAAGTGTTGCTATGTTGCTTTTCTTACATGCTCCCCTCCTATCTAGTTCTTCTCCCTAAATGATGCTCCCTTCCAACTTTCATCTGTCTATCCTTCTCCTCCCCACCCTCCTGCAGCCACGTCGGCAGCAGAACAGGAGACGCCAGCTCAGCGTGCCGCCCGTCAGGAGGCGGACGCGAGGATGAACGGATTGGGTGGCGGGTTTTGGCAGAAGTGGGCGCATGCATGGGGGGCGTGGGGGGGACCAGGGGGGGTGGCAGGCGCGGATGCGGGGGAGGGCAGCTCTCAGTGGGCCAGGGCGAATGCTGCAAGCAGCACTGCCGGCAGCAGCGAGGGTAACAGTGAGGGTAGCCGTGAAGGTGGGAGGCAGGCAGGTGGGGGGAGGGGGGAGGAAGGAGGAAAGGGAGGAGGAGGTGGAGGGGGAAAAGGAGGAGGAAAGGAAGGGAAGAAAGGGGGTTGGTTCCCGTGGCATGCAATGCTGGGCACCGCGGCATCCTCGGAGATTCTCAGGCAGCCGGCCGGGGAGGGCGTCAAGGAGGAGGTGAGAGGGACGCACTCTTGAGAAAGAATTTGAGAGTCACTTATGAGTATTCTCACAAGGCATCCTCGGACATTCTCAGGCAGCTGGCCAGGGAGGGCGACGAGGAGGTGAGAGGGGGACGGGTGTGGTGGTGAGTGGGGAAGGAGGGAACGAAGGGATGGGGCACAGCTGTGTTTTCTGTCATCTCGAAGTCTGTGCTTCAGTAGTAACTTGATTTCACCCTCCCGTCTCCCCCCTTGTTGGCAGCACGCAGAATTCATTTTTGTCAATCTAACCTTCCCACCTCCCCCTTTCCCCTATCCTACTCCTCCCCATCCTCCCCATCCTCCCCATTCTCCCCATCCTCCCCATTCTCCCCATCCTCCCCATCCTCCCCATTCTCCCCATTCTCCCCATCCTCCCCATCCTCCCCATCCTCCCCATCCTCCCCATTCTCCCCATTCTCCCCATCGTCCCCATCCTCCCCATCCTCCCCATCCTCCCCATCCTCCCCATCCTCCCCATTCTCCCCATCGTCCCCATCCTCCCCATCCTACCCATCCTCCCCATTCTCCCCATCGTCCCCATTGTCCCCATCCTCCCCATCCTCCCCATTCCGCCCTACTGCCCCCATCATTCAGCTCATAGCATTTATCCAGCAGTGGGCCACGCTCTGGTCTTTTTCCTCCGAGCTGCCCCTTCCTCTGCCCGTCCGTGTGGACAACCAATCGGACGGCACCGAGCTGACGCTGATCACCATGCGCGGCGATCTCCTCACATCTGTCGGATCGTTCGTCATCACTGTGGAGCCGTTGGATGCTGATGCTCGTGGTGAAACAAGTGACGGTGGTGATAGTGGTGATGTTGGGGAAGAGGGGGAGTGGGTGGTGGTGGTGAGGAGAAAGGGAGCAGTAGACAACAAAGCTCTTCCAGGAGAGGGTACTATAGTGAAAGCACTGAGAGGGGCATTGGCAAGGCATGACAGCATGAAGGGGTATGAAGCGTACCATCTCCCCAGGAGCAGCAAGCCCGTGCAGTAGGTCGTTATTGGTGTACATAATTATTCAGTTGGGGGTGCTGCTGTAAACAGATGGTTGAAGGGAAACACTTTCTTACTGTTGTTTTTTTTCTTGCTTGTAGTATGGTACTCCATCCTCTGTTTCAAAATGTAAACGCCATAAAGTTGAATGTAGATGGAAACGTGGCGCTCAGGGGGACACACTCGACCTAGGGACCTAGGAAATGACGTGGCGGCCCCTCAGTTCCTGGCCCACATCATCACACCCTTCCCTTTTCCTCCACACCGCACATTCGCATCCCCGTTTTAGTGTAGTTCACTGCAGTGCTCACTCGTTATTTTCATCGGGAAAGTTCAGGTCAGCAAGTGGGAGCAGAGAGGACGAGAAGAGCGTCAAATTCAGCAACATCATCCCACCCATCACATACCCAGCACTCGCCCAGCAGCCCAACGGCACATCAGCAGCGGCGTTCCTTGCATCGCGCGCTAGCTTCAGCGATCCTCTTCCTCTCCGTCCTCTCCTCTCACGTCCTTCGCCCTCTCACGACGACCTCCGCGCCTCGAGGCGACTGGCATGCGCGAGTGTCTCCGCGCGCTCCTCTCGTTCCTCTTCCTCTGCGCGTGCGCTGTCCTCCTCCTCCTCCTCGTGCTGCTCTCCGACGCGCTCGGCTTTCCGCCCGCCGCCCGCGCCGTGCGGCAGTGGGAGGAGTGGCTTTGCCGCCTCGAGCATCGCGAGAGCGAGTCGAATTGCTCGCAGTCTAATTCTTCGCAGCGTGCGCAGACCTCATCCTGCCACGCAGGGGTTACAGGATACACAGGAAACACGGGAGAGACAAGAGAGACAGGAGACACAGTAGTCACTGATTTCAGCTCGCTACAGGCGTTCAATTCGCTGACAGCCATGGCGCATCGCCTCTGCGGCCGATGTGTCTCCTCCACCACCTCCGCCTTCCCCGCCGCCAAATCCGCCGCCTTCCCCGCCGCGACTCACGCTCTCCAATCGCACCTCTCCACCGCCACCAGCTCGACCAGCCCCTCCGCTCATCATCGCTCAACCCCCGCCACTGCGGCGCTCCGTAGCTGTCGCACGACGGCCAATTATCCGCCGCCACGTGGCGCCAAGGCGTGGTGGTACCAGCCGTGGCTGGCGCATTCCGCCGTCACCGGCGCGCGCAGGCTGCTCCCCGCAGCGGGGGGAGGGGGAGGCCCGGGGGGAGCAGGCGCGGGGGGAAGGCGCTACGTGGGGACGGTTCCGCCCGCAGCTGGCGGGAGGGGAGTGGGCGTGACGAGATGCGAGGGGGGAGGCGGCATGTACACGTGGCCTGATCCGACGGTCAGTAGGAAGCCACAGGAAAGGAGGGAAGAAAGGGGTATATGACGGGTGCATATTAGGGAGACGTTTCAGGGGAGGCTGTAGCCAACTCTCGCATCCACCTGTCTGCGGGTTTCCCAGTGTCGCCGCCACCTCTCTCGCCCCTCTTCGTCCCCATCCTTCATCCCCCCCCCCTTCTGACTTTGATTCCACCACTCGGTCCACCTACCTTTCCGCTCTCCTCCCACCTTCTTCCCCGGATGTTGTTCTACATCTCACCCCTCCTCCCCCCTCTCCTCCGCTTCCCCACCCCCCCTCACAGAGGCCGCGAGTGTGTGTACTGGGCGGCGGGTTCGGGGGCCTGTATGCGGCGCTGCGGCTGGACTCGCTGCTGTGGAGCGACGAGCGCCGCCCACAGGTGCTGCTCGTGGACCAATCTGAGCGCTTCGTGTTCAAACCGCTACTCTACGAGCTGCTCTCGCAAGGTGGGTACCCTGCTGGCTCCTTACCCTTATCTGCTGGCTCCTTACCCTTATCTGCTGGCTCCTTACCCTTATCTGCTGGCTCCTTACCCTTATCTGCTGGCTCCTTACCCTTATCTGCTGGCGGAGTGGCTTGAGATCTACTTGCTCGTGCTCTTTTGCCATTCTAATTCCTATTTACTTATCCATTCTGCTCCTTGATTGCCCATCACCCGTTCCTCTCACTGCATGCACCAGTGCGTTGCATTGCCTACCCCTCGCATTTTTTCCCTCCGTTACTTCTACCCCAACACCCCCGTTCACCTCACTTTGATCCTCTCTCGCTCTCGCCTGTCCTCCCCTACTCATTCTCTTTCCCACTCACTTTCTTCCCCACTCACTCTCTCTCCCACCAGAGATAGCACCCCAGTTCTTTCATTCTCTCACCCCCTCTCACGTCCATGCTCGCTCTCGCTCTATACTCCCGCCGCCCACCACCAGACGTGACGGTGTGGGAGATAGCACCCAAGTTCTCGGACCTGCTCAGAAGCACCTTCTGATCCGGCTTTGAAATCCCCTCTCTCGCTCCCCCATTCACTCCCTCACTCTACTCTCTCACCTCCCACCAGACGTCACGGTGTGGTAGATAGCACCCAAGTTCACGGACCTCCTCAAAAGCAAGTTTTAAGTCGCCTCTAAATTCCCACTCTCACTCCCCCACTCACTCCCACTCGCTCGCCTCCCCCCATGCCCACCAGACGTCACGGTGTGGGAGATAGCACCCAAGTTCTCGGACCTCCTCAGAAGCACACAAGTGGCGTTCCTGCAGGATGGCGTGCAGGCAGTGCACGTGATTAAGGGTGGGGCTGCTGATGTGGCAGGAGATAAAGGTGGACGCGTGCGATTGGCTTCTGGAGTGGAGGTGGAATACGATTGGTAGGTTCACACCTGTCCCACCTGTCCCACCTGTCCCACCTGTCCCACCTGTCCCACCTGTCCCACCTGTCCCACCTGTCCCACCTGCCCACCTGTCCCACCTGTCCCACCTGTCCCACCTGTCCCACCTGTCCCACCTGTCCCACCTGTCCCACCTGTCCCACCTGTCCCACCTGTCCCACCTGTCCCACCTGTCCCCTGTCCCACCTGTCAGATCTGCTCTTCACCCATTCTCACCCATTCTCACCCATTCTCACCCATTCTCACTCATTCTTGCTTTCCCACTCTGCACTTCTCCTCCACCCTCCTCCTCCGTGTTTCATGAGTCATACTCATACGCTCTTTTCCGTGCCCTTCCCACCTCTCCCTTACCTTCCCCTCCCCTCCTCTCTCCACCCACACCTCCCGGCCAGGCTGGTGTTGGCGTTGGGCGCGCAGACCAACATGGCCTTCGCACCAGGCGCCTCCCCCCTTCCATACTCCCGTCTTCCTTACCTTCGCCTACTCTCTCCTCCCACTCTCCCTCCACCGACCCTCCCCTACCCCCCTGTCAGGCTGGTGTTGGCGTTGGGCGCTCAGACCAACATGGCCTTCGCACCAGGCGCCAAGGGGCGAGCTCTGCCCTTCAGCACCCTGGACGACGCTCTGGTACGCTGCGGTGGACTGCGGTAGAGTGCGGTATGGTGCGATCTGATGCCGTATGGTTATGTATGCTGTGTTACGATGTGGTGTTGTGGGGTAAGTGCTGTCTGATATGGTGCAGCGTGGTGCAGTGTGATGTCGTACGGTGCAGTGCAGTATGGCCATGCGTCAGCAATGCTTGCTCCAGTACGCGATGGGTGTTGGTCAGTGTTTTTTTGCCGTCACGTCTCCTCAAACCCACACGTCCTCACTCTCCCGCTCACAGGCAGTGGATCGGTGGTTGCTGCTGCTGGAGAAGCGATGGCAGGCGGCGTGTAGAAAGGAGATTTTTGAGACGTCTCAAAAATCTACTTTCTACACGCCATTTCCGCCTCGTCACAGGCAGTGGATCGGCGGTTGCTGCTGCTGGAGAAGCGATGGCAGGCGGCCAAGGAGGCAGGCGACGACCCACCACCCATGCGGTGACTGTTGAGTCCGCTCAAGCATGTTCCTTCACCCACCCCCGACCTCCTGCCCCACCCCCCCCTCACAGCCAGTGGATCGGCGGCTGTTGCTGCTGAAGAAGCGGTGGCAGGCGGCAAAGGAGGCAGGCGACGACCCAGCGCCCATGCGCGTGGTGGTGGTGGGGGCAGGCTATGCGGGGATGGAGCTCGCATGCACCGTGGGGAGCGACTGATGGGGCGCCTCAAAAGTGGAACTGGCTTGAACAGTGGGGGAGCGCCTAGGCAGCAAGGGGACAAAAAATGCTGCTGCTCATTCCATCTCTCCCCAACCTCTCAACCCCTCCTCTCCCCGCTCACAGGCAGTGGATCGCCGTTTGCTGCTGCTGGAGAAGCGATGGGAGGCGGCCAAGGAGGCAGGCGACGACCCACCCCCGATCCGAGTGGTGGTGGTGGGGGCGGGCTATGCGGGGGTGGAGCTGGCATGCACGGTGGGGGAGCGCCTGGGCAGCAAGGGCAGCATTGAGATTGTTGACCCGGCTGCTGCTGTGTGCCCCGCTGCTGCTCCGGGCAACAGACGCGCTGCAGAGAGGGTATGCTTCTTTCGTTCCTTGCATCATAAATCCCCACTCCTGCATTTCCCCCTCTTTCCTCGTGGGCTGTCCATCTCTCCCTCCCTCCTCTGTGCTCCTCCCTAATCTGTATTCCTCCCTCCTCTGTGTTCCTCTCTCCTCTGTACTCCTCCCTCCTCTGTGCTCCTCCCTCCTCTGTGCTCCTCCCTCCTCTGTGCTCCTCCCTCCTCTATGTTCCTCCCTCCTCTGTGTTCCTCCCTCCCCTGTGTTCCTCCCTCCTCTGTGCTCCTCCCTCCTCTGTGCTCCTCCCTCCTCTGTGTTCCTCCCTCCTCTGTGTTCCTCCCTCCTCTGTGTTCCTCCCTCCTCTATGCTCCTCCCTCCTCTGTGCTCCTCCCTCCTCTGTGCTCCTCCCTCCTCTGTGCTCCTCCCTCCTCTGTGTTCCTCCCTCCTCTGTGTTCCTCCCTCCTCTGTGTTCCTCCCTCCTCTGTGCTCCTCCCTCCTCTGTGCTCCTCCCTCCTCTGTGTTCCTCCCTCCTCTGTGTTCCTCCCTCCTCTGTGTTCCTCCCTCCTCTGTGCTCCTCCCTCCTCTGTGCTCCTCCCTCCTCTGTGTTCCTCCCTCCTCTGTGTTCCTCCCTCCTCTGTGTTCCTCCCTCCTCTATGCTCCTCCCTCCTCTGTGCTGCTCCCTCCTCTGTGTTCCTCCCTCCTCTGTGTTCCTCCCTCCTCTGTGTTCCTCCCTCCTCTGTGCTCCTCCCTCCTCTGTGTTCCTCCCTCCTCTGTGCTCCTCCCTCCTCTATGTTCCTCCCTCCTCTGTGTTCCTCCCTCCTCTGTGTTCCTCCCTCCTCTGTGCTCCTCCCTCCTCTGTGCTCCTCCCTCCTCTGTGTTCCTCCCTCCTCTGTGTTCCTCCCTCCTCTGTGTTCCTCCCTCCTCTATGCTCCTCCCTCCTCTGTGCTGCTCCCTCCTCTGTGTTCCTCCCTCCTCTGTGTTCCTCCCTCCTCTGTGTTCCTCCCTCCTCTGTGCTCCTCCCTCCTCTGTGTTCCTCCCTCCTCTGTGTTCCTCCCTCATCTGTGTTCCTCCCTCCTCTGTGTTCCTCCCCCTCCTCTGTACCGTGCACAGGCGCTCAAGGAAAGGGGTGTGCATCTGCGCCTGGGCACCAAGGTCACACGCATGGCTGATGCCACTCACTCCTCCTCCCCCTCATCCTCCTCCTCCTCCTCATCATCATCCTCATCCTCATCATCCTCATCCCCCCCTTCGGACTCAGACCCATCGCCCTTCGCCGTGCCAGCCGCGCGCCTCTTCCTCCAGTCAGCATCACCTGGCAGCGCTGGGAGTGACAGTGAGAGAGAGAGTGAGATGGAGGCGGACGTTGTTCTCTGGACCGTCGGCAGCTCGCCTGTTCTCCCAGCCTCTGTTTCAGAAGAAGATTTATCAGAAACATCAGGAGGAGCAGCAGGAGCGGGAGGAGTGCGAGGAGCGGGAGGGGAGGGGGCGGTGCAGTGGTTGAGGAGGACAGCAAGGGGGCAGGCGGATGTGGAGGAGAGTCTGCGAGTGAGGGGGCTCACCAGGGTGTTTGCGCTGGGGGATGCCGCATGCGTGCCGGACGGCAACGGGCGCCCACTGCCGGCCACCGCTCAGGTGAGAGCTCTCAGGTGATGCTCTCAGGTGGTTCTCCAGGTTGTGCTCAGCTTGTCAGGTATCTGTAGTTGACAGCTGAGAGCTGCAGGGTCAGGTGGCTTTCAGGTGGCTTTCCGTATGTGCTGTCAGAGCAGGAGCTAGTGTTCACAGTTCAGCACGGTACATGATTCTGCCACTTCAGGCGCCCATCCCGCACGCTCCCATACCTGTGTCGGCCAGAGCACATAGGCCATCCACAGTCAAATCACCTCTAATGCTCTCGCTCTCGTTTCCGGCCGCATCTCTTGTGCGTTGTTGATCATGGCAGGTGGCATTCCAGCAGGCGGACTATGTGGGGTGGAACATCTGGGCTGCCATCAACAATCGCCCCCTGCTTCCCTTCAGGTGAGAATGCTTCTCTTGTTGATATCATGCGCATGGCTACTTCATTTTTGCACGTGTCAAACTCCCTCACAGCTCACAATGAATCCATCTAAAGCACCACTGCAATAGCACCTTTCTTGGATTTCACAGTCATTCAGCCATCGCTTGTACCACCGTACTGACTCTCTCCCTGCACATGTCCCCTCCCCCAGGTACCAGCATTTGGGCGAGTTGGTTCTGCTGGGGTCCAAGGATGCAGCAGCATCCGTGGGCTTCATTGATGACTTTCTCATTGAGGGCCGAGCGGCGCACACAGGTGAGCGGCACACACGGGCTAGATGCATTCACTGAGACGCATCACTGCCTGTAACTTCGTGAACAAAGCTGAGCACCTTGGTTGGTGGGCTTTATTGATGACTTTCTCATTGAGGGGCGCACTGCACACACAGGTGAGCAGTCAGTGCCATTTCTGCCTGCAACTTTGAGTGCATGTCTAGCTGCTGCATCTCTTCCATCTGTGCCTGCACCGTGTGATGCTACTCCTGTTTCATACATTTTCGTCTGTTTGCCTATCTACTCAGAGCCCATTGGTTCCTTCTGTCCTTGCGACACCCGCCCCCTGTCTGTGCATTGACCCCTGTGCTTTCCAGCTCGCAAGCTAGCATACCTGTACCGGTTGCCAACCAATGAGCACAGGGCACGTGTTGGGGTGAGCTGGTTGACACGTGCCATTGTGGACGGCATCTCGGAGGCGCAGAACCTTCTGGCAGCTGCCACCAAGGGTCAAGGGGACAAGAAATGAGCTGTAGATGTTGTTACGAACAGTAAAAGATGAAGCATTACTGTGCACTCTTTACCGCAGCACACACTACCGAGGCCGAAGACGAAGAGGTGGAAGTGACGCGAAGGGTCGTACGGTTACGAAGGGATCTGGACCGTCGGGCAGACAGCATCAGGCAGCAGCAGTGGCGAGGATTCTGCCCAGGCAGTTTGTAACCGTCTGAAGTTGCACGGTTGGGTCCGCTGCAATAAGGGAATGTACCCCTTAGAGTACATGGCTAGCATAGGTCGATCCGAATTTCCTTGTAGGTACTCTTCTTTATATTCCTGTATTCGCATGTTATTATCATCTCAAGCATTTTCCCATCCACTCTGCTATTGATTGAGGTCAAGGGCCCACCACTACTCAGACGTGTGCGAAACTTTCTGAGGTCATACTAGATACGATCAACATCTGATCGCAACAGATGTGCCATGCCAACCAGTTTTTGGTGTTCCAACTTGATGTTGTTGGAAACAACTGATTTAAGCGCCTCTGTCGTGTCGAAACACCAAGACAAAAGCGAAGCGGATCGTATCGAAACATCGGTGAGTCAACCCTCGGAGGTTGAAACTCCTGGAGGTTACGCGAAAGTCAAAGGTCAGCGACCTTTGACCTGACAAATGCAGCGCGACAGCAAGGACAAACAACTGTCTCGATACTGAGCAGTTGCCCGAGTCGACACTGTATCGAACCGCAACAGCAACAGTAAAACAGTTATTAACTGTATCTCTTCATATTCCTTTGTATTCTTATAAAAGCTTGTATCTCTTTTGTTTAATCAATCAACTTTGCCCTCACATACCAGCGCAAGGTGGTTCACAATCTTTTCATTAAAACGCTTCCGCTACTACATCATCCTACTCTTGAATTCTGTCCTGCAAAGATCCTAAGGGCCTTCTCAGCCCAACATGGTATGAGAGCAGTAAGGAAAAATTCAACTACGATCAAGATATCTACAACATCACAAGACATGGCAACGCAGAAGGAGAACAACAGCAACAACAACAACGCAACACCAATGAGCCTAGATGGTTCATCGTACGCACGTGGAAATCAACAGCAACGGCCTACCTTTGCTCCGTACGAGCCCCAGCGTGGCTCCGTCAGCTTTATGCCACACCCGCAGCCTGCACCTGGACAAGAAAAGACACTGGATGCACTTCAAGTTCAGTCGCAGTTCGCGCACGTCTTAAAACTGCAAACGACAAAGCCTTTCGACGGAAAGGACTTCTTTACCTGGTCATTCGAGTTCGAGCTTATGATGGAAGGCGCGCAGATCCTTGGCTTCTTCGACGGGTCCCTGCCATATCCAACACACGGTACACAGTACGATAAGCAGCAGTACACGTATCAGTCAATGATGGCGTACACAATACTGCTGAGAAATATCACTCCAAGTCAGCAGCAGAACATACGGTCTTACCGGGGTTACGGCAACTCTGCAGAACTCGCGTACAACCACCTGAAGAACCTGTATCAAGCAACAGACAGCGTAAATCAAAGTCGGTTAATGGCGCAACTGACGACAGTCGAAATGAAACCAGGCGAAAAAGGGATGGCGTATATCAGCCGTTGTCGCGAATTACGCGACAAACTCCTTCGATGCGGAGGGTCGATTTCAGAAGACGCCTTCGTCACAGTCATCATCGGTGGCCTCGGTCCTCAGTGGCGCTCCACCCGCGCCATACTCCGAGCGCATGGAAAGATATCAGAAGCAGCACTCTGCGCCGAAATCCATGCTGAGCAGCAAGATATGGATCTGCAAGAGGAACGACACAGGAAGAAGGCATTAGTGCCCGAATTTGCATTTCACACTCAACGACGCTACAATAACAACAATCGGCATCAACCGAAACCAGTACCTCCGTTCTGTCACCTTTGTAAGACGTCAGGGCATTCCCGCACGCACTGCCCCAATCGACAACAGTCAGTACCAACGCAGCGGCAGCTTCGGCCTTCAAGCAGTCAAGTTGCCTCAACGCAAGCGAGTTCGACTTCTCAAGTACAAGCCTCAACGACATCGACGGAACAACCTGCGCAAGGAACAAGAAACATCGTCAGTTGCATGACACGACTGACCGACTCCTGCATCACAGAGTCACCACCATATTACTCACCGGAAGAGCAACTCGACAACAGCACGCCTCGCCGCGAGTCACTTCAACCAAATCCGACGTATGCAGCTATCGCTCAAAGCGAGCCGTCCGGAAAAGATACGTGGTTCTTGGACAGCTGCTGTGGACAGCATATGTGTTCTTCAGGACGTTTTGTTCAACGTGAACACCAACTTCAACGCGAGGTTGTCATCACCGTCGCCAACAATCAGAACCTGCGCACACGACGACAAGGCGTAGTGCAACTTCAGTCACGAGAGACAAACGTTATACTGCAAATGTCAAAGGTTTTAATAGCAGAGGGACTCGGCTACAACTTACTAAGCGTCAACCAACTAATGGCGAAGGGGATCCATCTTGAAGCAGACAGCACTACACAGGAGTTCAAGCTCTTCCACGGTCGAGGGGGACTCTACATCGGCAAAGCAGTACTGAAAACAACGTCTTCGTCCTCGACTTCGTCCCAGATCTTGGCACTGCCGACAGCGACGGGATTGTCACCTTTACTTCTTGGACACATCCACCGGATCTTGACCCCGACTTCAGTCTAGAAGGCTTCTGGTACTCGCACACCATCCCTGAAGCAGAATGAACAAGAGCATTAGCAACGATTCAACAATCAGCAGCAGCAGAAACAACATCGGCAGCAGCAGAAACAACATCGGCAGCAGCAACATCGGCAGCAGCAGAAACAACATCGGCAGCAGCAGAAACATCGGCAATACCAACAACACTTACAACACCAGTCGCAAGTTCTTCAACGACATCGCCACACATCGACAATACTTCACCGACTCCTGCGCAGCAGCTAACTCCCACTCCTCGCGAAGTTCACAGAAGCGCCAACTTCACCGCCGCCTTCTACTCCAACTCCGACCTGTATCGTCGTTCACCCGGACATCGCGCTAGCGAAGACATCTGGCACGCACGAATGGGACATCCATGTAATACGGTGTTAAACAACACAATCAGAGCAGGAGTTCTCCACAAAGATTCACTACTTCTAACTGACGGAAGTGAACTTCGACGAGCGCGAGGAACGTGTTTTACCTGCCCCGAAGCTGACTTATCGCATCGACCTTTCACTTCTCACCACAACCCCAGCGCACCAGCTTACGCACCACTTGAAAAGGTGTACAGCGACATCCTGTACAATCGCAAACCCGGACAAGGAGCATACAGTTATACCATCACGTTCATCGATGCAGCTACACGTTACGTTTGGCACCTCAATCTTTCGAGCAAGGACATGGCCTTCGAAGCCTTCATCGCTTGGCTCCCAGTAGCAGAACGAGAATCAGGCGAGAAACTGAAAAGCTTTCAGTCAGACGGAGGAGGAGAATACACCTCACAGAGGTTCAAGCAGTTCTTGGCAGAAAGGGGAATCAAGAGGCTCATCTCGCTTCCTTACGCCCATCAACAGCAAGGCGTGGCGGAACGGATGAATCGAACTCTCCAGAACACCATGCGCAAATTACTGCGTGGCATGCGACTGCCCAATCACCAGTGGCCTGAAACGATGGACCACGCTGTCATGCTGCACAACTTGCTTTCGTCTGTCAAACATTATCCATATGTTATTGCTGTGTAGGCTATAGTGGGTTAGCCTTTAGGGGGTACACAACTTTAGGGTTGCATACTTGTACTCCAATCTTTCATAGTTCAATCACTTCTCATTTCTAACATGGTATTAAGAGCTTAGGTTCTAGACCTATGGGCCCACCGTTCCGCTAGAGGTGCCCTCGAGCGCCCTTTTTTTTTAGCGCCCTCGTGCGCCTTCTTCCCTAGTGCGCCCTCGTGCGCCCTCCTCTCACGCTGCCCGTGTGCAGCCCGCTAGCAGCCCGAGCGCGGCCCCGCCGCTTCAGCCCGCGAGTAGGAAATCCGCCGCCTAGGGCGGCCCGATTTTTTCTTGCGAGCCCCAGCAGGCCGTCGCCCGTAGGCCCCTAGCCCGACGCGCGACCCCTAGGCCGACGCGCTACCCCTAGGCCGACGGTCGACAGCCGCCCAGGAAGTCGCGGCCCCACCTGTAGGCCGCCGCGACGCCCCCCCCTTTAGGCCGCCGCCCTCGCACTAGTCCGGCCCATGCACAGCCACGGCCCGCCCGCTACAGCCGCCCACGCGCACGCCCCCCCCCCTGGCTGCGCATTGCTGAGTAGTCCAGCCCGAGCCAAGCCGCGCCGCCCGACCCGAGCCGCGCCGCCCGAACCGAGCCGCGCCGCCCGAACCGAGCCGCGCCGCCCTGGCCGAGCCGCGCCACCCTCCTGTGCCCCACCTACTCCTTTTCCTGTTCCTACTGTGCTACTGCTACTACTGCTACTGTTCCTGCAGCTGCTACTGCCACTATGGCCACTCCCTCTGTTCTCACCTTTGACGCTGAGGGCCGCCCGATTAAGTTTGAGGTCTGGTTAGATGACCTCCACCTGTTCCTTCAGATCACTGCCAAAGACGATGTCTCCCTGTATTACCACACGTCCGGCGCTGCTCCCGCACCTCCCACTACTGCTGACAGCACTGCTCGCTCCCAGTGGCAGACCCGTGATGCTCACGCTCGCCTAGCCGTTCGCAGCCACCTACCGTTAGATGAGCGCGAGCACTTCGGCCAGCATAAGACCGCTAAGGAGCTGTACGACGCAGTAGTCGCACGCTACTCCTCCCCTGCCACTGCTGCTATAGGCCGTCTCTCACTGCCCTATCTCTTCCCTGACCTGTCCGCGTTTGCCACTGTAGCTGATCTCATCACCCACCTCCGTACCAGTGACCTCCGATACCGTGCCGCGCTCCCCCCCGATTTCCTCGCCAAGAACCCCCCCCCGATGTACCTCACACTGTACCACCTTGTCACCCGCCTCCCTGACTCCCTTCGCA